AATTGCCTTTTAGAAAGAATGGGCTATTTTAATTCCTATAGTAATATCTAATTCAACATATTTTTCTGCAAAGTATTATTAAGTTAATTTGTAGATGGAATATTAAGCTTTGTAAAAGCAAACTGAAAAAAAAACAATGAAACACCTACCACTTTTCTTTAGAGGCCTAAGATGGAATCATATCTAAAATGTTTTTAAAATATTTATTTGAAAGATAAAATTATAGAGTGGGAGGGACGGAGGAAGAGAGAGTAAGTGAGTGTTTTAGTCACTGATTCCCTCCCCCAAATGCCCATAACACTTGGTGCAAGGCCAAACTAAAGTTGAAGAGCCAGGAATTCCATCCAGAAACCCACTTGAGTAGCGATCCGTTGCTTTCCTGGCTGCATTAACAGGGAGCAGGACCAGAAGCAGAAGAGCTGACACTCCAGCCAAGCGTCCTGCTCTGGGATCTAGGATTCCCAAGTAACTTAACTTACCCATCAGCCATGCCAGTATCTAAAACTCTGAATCCAGTTATATCAGCAGTTTATAAATTTTTTTGGATGAGTGCTAGAAATTTGTTATGGTTAAGTAACATTCTAATTTCTAATTTCTAATTTCTCTTTGCCCTGAAAAAAAAATTTTTTTTTAACATTCCAAGGGGGGATTTGCTTACTTTGTCTAAACTTTGTGTGATTTTATAAATATTGTTCATTTCTGTTTTTAAGATTTGTTTTATTAAAAAAATTTATTTTTCTATTGGAAAGGCAGATTACAGAGAGAAGGAGAAACAGAGAAAAATCTTTCTTCCACTGGTTCACTCCCCAAGTGGCTGCAATGGCCAAAGCTGAGCCAATCCAGAGCCAGGAGCCAGGAGCTTCCTCCACGTCCCCCCGCAGGTGCAGGGTCCCAAGGCTTTGAGCCATCCTCCACTACTTTTCCAGGCCACAAAGCAGGGATGGAGCAGCTGGGATATGAACCAGCTTGCGTATGGCTTCCCAGCAATGCAAGGCAAGGACTTACCTTGCCTTCTCTTCTTCTTCTTCTTCTTTTAATAGATTGAAGAGTTCTCATTTTCTGTCTGTCACTTTTTATAGGATTCCTTTAATCCCTTGATGATTTGCTTTAACCTATATAATACTTCCCAAGGGCTCTGAGCAGTCAGCATGATAGGACATACAGCTCGAGTCACAGGTTTTCTTTGGCTAAAAGGGCCTGTGCTTCATAGACGGCTTGCATGTGTTTGCCATTGTTGAGTAGGGTTAGCATATTGGTTGTCTCTGCTCTTCCTTTTCACAAGTGTTGTTGCACCCATAGAATTAAGAAATAATAATAAGAAAAAAAGATTTAAGTAGCAGAGACAAGTCCATTTTAATATACATAAATTCATAATATACATAAAGTTCACCTTGATTATTTGGTTGAACGAAAAATTTGAGAAAGGCTCTGTGGAGTAGAATTGGATATTACTTACTCATGTTTGTTTTGAAGAACAAAAGTTTTAAAATTCTGTGTAAATCCAGTGTATCCATTTTTTTTTATGATTAATGCTTTTAGTGCACTGTCTAGGAAATTATTCTCCCCCAAGAATATTAGGCATTTCCTTCATAATGTTTTATAGTGTGGCTTTTATACATAGGTTTGTAGCCTGTTTCAATTTTTCGTGTGTATGAGTGTGTGAGGGTCTGGATTCTTTTATTTATTTTTTTGAGATTTATTTATTTCTATTGGAAGGACAGATATACAGAGAGGAGGAGAGACAGAGAGGATGATCTATCCGATGATTCACTCTCTAAGTGACTCAAACGGCTGGAGCTGAGCCAATTCAAAGGCAGGAGCCAGGAGCTTCTTCTGGGTCTCCCACACTGGTGCAGGAACCCAAGGCTTTGGGCCGTCCTCGACTGCTTCCCCAGGCCACAAGCAGGGAGCTGAATGGGAAGTAGGGCCACCAAGATTAGAACCGGCGCCCATATGGGATCCTGGCACATTCAAGGCAGGGACATTAACAGCTACACTATCATGTCTGGCCCTGAGTCTGGATTCTGTTTCCGATTCCAGCATCCCACTAATGTGTACCCGGGGGAAGTAACAGGTGATGGTTCAAGTACTTGGGCCACTGCCACTTTCATAGGTGACTCAGAGTTCTAGGCTCCCAGCTTTGACCTATCCCAGCTGTAGCTATTGTGGCCATTTAGGGGGTGGGATAGGGAAAGAACTTCCTCAAATGCCTGCCTAATCTGGAGGTAGGCCATGTTGAAGCTAGGATCAGGAACTCCAAGAGATAGCCCTTGTGGGTGGCAGAAACACAGTTGGGGCATCCTCCCTTGTCTTCCCATGCATATTAGCAAGAAGTTGGGCCAGAAGCAGAACAGTAGGGACCTGAACTGGCACTCTAGTATGGGATACTGGGACATCACAAGCAAAGACTTACTCTATTGTCCTGTAATGTGTGCCCCTTAAACTCACGTGTTATGCTTAGTGGTCACAGGAGAGAAACTACCCTCACCCACTGCCTTCCCCTGCCTCCCATCCACCCTCTCCATCCTAATTGAAATCAAAGACCCACTTGGGTCTGTAACACATTTCAGATCAAGTGTTAATTGAATTTAATTGGAAGGATCTTATTTGCAACTAAATTTCCAGTGGCTAGATAGTAGACAACCATGTCTGTTTCCCTTGCCTCTGTTTGCTAGAGCCTGCTTGCAGATTGACATTAGTAATAGTAGCTTGCTTGGGTGATTTGGGAACATTCAAACCTAATATTTAAGCCTGAACTGCCATTGGGTAATTTTCAGTTACTTAATTTTATTCAAAAGGTTTATTTATTTTTATTTAAAAGACTTACAGAGAGGAGAGAGAGAGAGACAGAGACAGACAGAAAGAGGTCTTCCATTTTCTGGTTCATTCCCCAAATAGCCACAATAGCCAGAACTGAGCCAATCTGAAGCCAGGAGGCAGGAGTTTCCCCCAGATCTCCCACGAAGGTGCAGGGTCCCAAGACCTTGGGCTGTCCTCCACCGCTTTCTCAGGCCATAAGCAGGGAGCTGGATTGAAAGTAGAATGACTGAGACTTGAACTGACATATGGGATGCCAGTGCTGTAGATGGAGGATTAGCCTGTGGAGCCACTGTGTTGACTCCTTAAATATATTTTTTTAAGGTTTATATGCTTTTATTGGAAAGGTAAATTTACAAAGAGAAGGAGAGACAGAGATAAAGAGCTTCCAGCTACTGGTTCACTCCTCAAGTGGCTGCAATAGACAGAGCTGAACTAATTTGAAGCTAGGATGCTGGAGCTTCTTCTGGGTCTCCCATGTAGGTGCAAGATCTTAAGGCTTTGGGCCATCTTCTACTGCTTTCCCATGCTACAAATAAGGAGGTGGGTGGGAAATGTAGCAGCTGGGACATGAACTGGTGCCCATTTGGGATCCCAATATGCAGAAGGTGAGGATTTAGCTGCTGAACCATTGCATTGAGCCCTCTTCAAATATTTATTTTTATAAAGCAATACTTGATACCTGGAAAGCTGCTTTTTAAAATTGAAGAGTGAATGATGATGTTAATGAAATTTGCATGAAGTATTAAACCCACTTATTGTGGGACGCAGAAATTTGATACAAGCAGACATAGGCTTTCCTTGATTTTAATGCCTTCTACATCATTCCAACTGGTAAAATGCCTTTAGTTTGACTTTTTCCATAATGGCTCATTTTGAGATTATCCATGATGTTGTTGTAATAGCAGTTCATTCCTGTTATTGCTAAGCAGTATTCCATGGTTGCTTATTCCACAGTTTATTAATTTGCCAGTTGAAAGGAAATTGGATTGTCTTCAGTTTTGAGTGATTATAGATACTATAACATTTGTGTCTTAAGCTTTAGTGTGAATGTAAAATTTTATATCTTGGGTAAATACCTAGTAGTTTGATTGCTGGTCATATGCTAAGTGTTAAATTTTGCTTTGTAAGAAAATGTCATTCATGTAAAGGGACCTTACTGTTTTGAGTTTCTGCCAACAGCTTCCTTTCACGGATTTTTCTGTATCCTTGTTGACTTTGACTTTTTTCTTTTCTTTTTTTTTTTCCTTTTTCCTTTTTTTTTTCCCCCTTGGAGAGGGAGAGGGTGAAGGGAAAAAAAGGGAGGAACAAGCACACTTCCCAACTTCCTGTAGAACTAGCAGGGACTGGCCCGGGGCTGTAGTGGGAAGCTGGGAGTTCCCACATGCATGGTGGGAACCAGTTATTCCAGCCATCACTGCTATCTCCCAGGATCTACATTAGGGAGTAGCTGGAGTCAGGAGCAAGAGACAGAAGTTTCACCCCAGTACTCATATGGGGACATGGGTATCTTAATGGCTAGGCCAAATATCTACCCTTTTTGGCATTTGAAATTGCTTTTATTTTCTCTCTCTCTTTTTTTTAAATTTTGGTCAGTTGTACAGAGGTATCTCTTTGTCATTTCAGTTTATATTTCCCTGATCACTAATGACGTTGAAGCCATTTGTAACCATTTCTTTTGAAGAATGCATGATATTGCTTTTGGTGAGGTCTACTTATTTTTGTATATATGTTCACACACAAGATATATGAATATATATGTGTATATATATGTATGTATATGTATAAATACATATATGTATATATATGTATAAATACATATATATATACACACATATTTGTTATCTAGTTTAGCAGGATGGTTCCTTGAAACAGTTAAAGTTAGAGGAAAAGTTTTGTACAACCTAAGATGATTGTGGAATCACTTAGCAAGAAGTGCTGATTCCAGAATGGAAGGGTAATTCAAAAGTGGAGAGACAACTGCTATGATTGTTTTTTCCAGTTTTCTGTGATATATGCACAATTGCTTATATGTTTTTGAAATACCCACTTTCTTTTGGAATTATTGAAATATAAAATATAGTGTAATCACTTTGGAAATATTATGCTATTGCTTGTGCCTCTAAATCATTCAGAAGGAACTTGTAGGAAAGTCTAATCTTCATCTTCATTTTTTTTTTCAGTGGTGGGATCAACATATTGATTTTTATACTGCTTTTATGCAACATTTGGCACAGTTGGTACCAGAAATTTATTTTGCTGAAATGGACCCAGACTTGGAAAAGCAGGAAGAGAATGTACAAATGTCAGTATTCACTCCCCTGGAGTGGTACTTGTTTGGAGAAGATCCAGATATTTGCTTAGAGAAATTGAAGCACAGTGGAGCATTTCAACTTTGTGGGAAGGTTTTCAAAAGTGGAGAGACAACATACTCTTGTAGGTAAGAGTTAGAAATTCTAGGATTGATTATAATTATGGATTTGTTCTTTTGTACCAATTTCATGATTTACTTTTCCTTATTTACAATATGTTTAATCCTACATAACTTCCTTTTATTATACATTTTTAAATCTGTTTTTGCAAGTACAGCTGTTTTTTGAATGTGTAATTCCTAATTAAATAGTACTTTAGTCTTTGCTTACTGTCCTTCAAAAGCTAAGTTGTTTATAATATAGTCAACATACTTTTGTGTGTAACCCTAGGGTCAAGATTCTAGAATCAGAGTTATTTATTAATATCAAGTGAGATTTGGTACCAAGGACTTACAAATACAAAAGCTTTTGTCACAGGACATTTTGGATATCAGAATTGTGTATCAGGGATTATGGACTGGAAGGAATAGGCATAATTTAGTTGAATACAAGAGGATGGATGAAGGGAAACTAGGAGCAGTTTTAGGATTTTTTTTTCTGTAAATCAGTTGCCTTAAATGTGGTGGCACAGAGAACTTCTTTAATTTTTAACCGTGCTTGAAATTTCTATCTTAGCTCTCAGCAGCACTTCTCATTATCTTGCTTTATTCAAGGTAGCTTAAGTTAAGATTGTGCATTTTTTTTTAAAGATTTATTTTTATTATTTTTTTTTATTGGAAAGGCAGATATACAGAGAGGAGAGACAGAGAGGAAGATGTTCCGTCCGATGATTCACTCCCTAAGTGAGCGCAATGGCCGATGCTATGCCGATCCGAAGCTAGAGCCTCTTCCAGGTCTCCCACACGGGTGCAGGGTTCCAAAGCTTTGGGCCGTCCTCGACTGCTTTCCCGGGCCACAGGCAGGGAGCTGGAAGGGAAGCAGGGCTGCCGGGATAGAACCGGTGCCCATGTGGGATCCCGGGCGTGCAAGGCGAGGACCTTAACCACTTGCGCCACCACGCCGGGCCCAAGATTGTGCATTTTTGAAAAAAAATTTATTTATTTTTTATTGGAAAGGCAGATTTACAGAGAGAAGGAGAAACAGAGAGAAAGATCCTTTCATCTGCTGATTCACTTCCCAAGGGGCCGCAACACTGGAGATGAGCTCATCCAAAACCAGGAGCCAGGAGCTTCCTCTGGTCTCCCACACAGGTGCAGGATCTCAAGGCTTTGGGCCATCCTCTACTGTTTTCCCAGGCCATGAGCAAAAAGCTGGATTGAAAGTGGAGCAGCCAGGAGGCGAACTGGTGTCTATATGGGATCCTAGTGGTAGAAGGGCAAGGCTTTAGCCACTGTACTGGATCCAAAAGTTCAATTTTTAAACTTTAGAAATATGGAGAAATGCTTTTGTTTCACTATTATTCCTGGCTTCACTGATTTCTGTATCACTAGTTGTTGTTAAGAATGTAAATTTTTTTAAAGATTTTTATTTATTTATTGGAAAGCCAGATATACAGAGAGGAGGAGAGACAGAGAGGAAGATCTTCCGTCCAATGAATCACTCCCCAAGTGAGTGCAACGGCCGATGCTATGCCAATCCGAAGCCAGGATCCAGGAACTTCTTCTGGGTATCCCACAGGGGTGCAGGGTCCCAAAGCTTTGGCCTGTCCTCAACTGCTTTCCCAGGCCACAAGCAGGGAGCTGGATGGGAAGTGGAGCTGCCGGGATTAGAACCGGGACCCATATGGGATCCCGATGTGTTCAAGGAGAGGACTTTAGCCGCTAGACCACGCCACTGGGCCCTGTAATTTTTTTTTGTCCTGTTCTTTTCTCTGGTGAAAAATTGTTCCCATGTTTTATGTACTATTTTGTTATACAACATAATGAAGCTTATTTAGCCTCTCCCATATTTTCAGCTAAGCTCTAATCAACTTCAACTAAAGTATAGGAACCTTTTGTAAACCTCATGTATCCAAAAGTTTCATGGAGACAGTTTTCATTGTTACAACTAGGGACTGGTACTAGCATCTAGTGGGTAGAAGTTGAGGTTGTTGTATGGCCATACCACCCTGAATGCTCCTAATCTTGGAAGCTAAGTTGGGTTGAGCTAGGCTATTACTTGGATGGGAAAAGACAAGCTTACTGCTAGATATCCTGCAATGAATAGGACAGTTCCTTGTACCCCTATAAAGTAATTAACTGGTTCAAAATGTCTGTAGTATTTGTAAGTATTGTCCTAAAAAGTTCAAAAGTCATATGTATTTTAAAGAATATTATTAACCAAACTTTCCTGTTAACTAGCCTTTTTAACATTTATTTCAAAAATTTCTCAATGTTATGTGTTCATCTTGAACAACTTGAAAAGTTAATCTTGTAGTTTGTGCTAATTTGTATTGCTCTGAATATTTCCCTGGATATGTTAAATCATATACTTAAAAAGTTACTAGTAATGAAAAAAAGTAAGAGAGATGAATTTTTTTGTCATTCATTTGATAAACAATAACCACTGTGTGCCAGGCACTTTTTGAGGAGTTTGGGTTTCTAATGAATTTTGTCTTTATTCAAGCAACATTTGATCAAGAAAATTGTCTTTATAAAGTATGTTTACAAATTTGATAGAATAAGATAAATGAACAAAATTGAATCTTTTCATAAAATTGATTTTGAGTTATAATTTAACAGTGTGAAGACATGTGAAGGCTAGACTTAGGAAATACCAAATATATAAATTTGCAACTAAAATGTATTTGAAGTGAAGCTGAATTTATGCACAATGTTGTCTTTATTTAAAAACATTTTTAGAATTCTGCTTTTGAAGCACTGTCATGTTCAGTTTGTATGCCATACAGGAAACTTACTCACTTGATATTATTGTCATATCGTGAGTATCAGCAGAGTCTTCTAAATTTGCAATCTGATTGTCAATCTATTTCAGAGACTGTGCAATCGATCCAACATGTGTACTCTGTATGGACTGCTTCCAGAATAGTGTTCATAAAAATCATCGCTACAAGGTATGAAAATATATTCATTAGGATCCTGATAACCATCTAGTCCAAATTCTTGACCAATACTTGACTTCCTGCTGTAACAGAGCTTTGATGCATGGACTTTTTAGCTTCTATTTAAGCATATCACGTGATAGAACATCTACTATTTCAAGAGATAGCCCTCACAAATTTTTGGTGAGCTTTATCTTTTTATTTTTAAGAGCAGAGTTGGAAGCTATTTTTTTAAATCTATTTTATTTATTTTTCTAAAGACAGTGTTACAGAAAGAGAGACAGAGACAGATTTTCTATCCACTGGTTCATTCTCCTAATGTCATAACAGCTGCAACTGAGCCAATTTGAAGCAAGAGTCAGGAATTTTTTTTTTGGGTCTCTCACATGGGTGTTCGAGCCCAAGGACTTGAGCCATCCTCTGTTGCTTTTGCAGGTTGTAAGCAGAGGGCTGGATGCATATGGTCAGCCAGGGCACACACTGGTGCCCATATGGGATACTCGCACCACAGGCAGAGGCTTAAGCTACTTTGCTATGGCACAAGTCCCAATATATAATTTTTTTTAACAAAATATTGTATAACAACTGTGAAATAAGCACTTGCATAATAGATACTCAGGCTGGGAAATAACATTGCCAAATCTTAGAGTCTCTCCCATCCCGAACTTGTAACGCTTCTGGATTACAGTTGCAGCTTCTCTCCTGTATCTGTGATAGTGATACCCTTGATTTTTATCTTTATATGGTCTGCAACCTAAGTCATAGTAAATGGTTTTTATCTGTTTTGGAACTTGTAATTATATTATATAGGTGGTGTACTATGATGCGTGTATAGTATAAAATTATAATTTTTTGATTGTTTAGTAGCATAATATATGTAGGTATAATTTATTAGCTTTTATAATAACCCTTATCTTCATTCATTTTCCTAAAAATGGGTATATAAGATTGCTTCTAATGTTACATTTTGGTACACATGTAAGGGAGTTTCTCCTAGGTACATATTTAAAATAGAATTGCTGAGTTCTAGGGTATATATTGATAATATATTTCATAATGTCAGATTTTTTGTAACATGATTATATTAATTAGCAGCTTTTCAGTTACATATGAAAGTTATCTTGAGTTTAGATATATTTTTCAAATATAGTGCTGGTTCTGTATTCTAGGTCTTAACCAGACAAGATGGTTGATGTTTCTCTGTATGTACGAGTGTAGCATACCTAAAGCCCTGTGTAAATGGAAATAATATATTGAAGCTATGCAGACCATTGAAGTTGCATAAAAGTTGTTTTAGTAGTTTTGGGCTGATCTCAATATTAATTTATCCATCTGAGGAGGTGATAGGCTGTAAGTTCAGATTATAGGTATCGTTATGCACAAGAAAAAAGGAGATTGGAAACTTAAGAGAAGTTAAAATGTTCCAAGATTGCAAAGCTAGCCCATCACGATGGCTAAGTAGCTAGATCCTCACCTTGTAGGTGTTGCGATCCTGTATGAGCATGAGTTTGTGTCTGGCTATTCTGCTTCCCTTTCATCTATCTCCCTGCTTGTGGCCTGGGAAAGCAGTAGAGGATGGTCCAAAGCCTTGGGACTCTGAGTCCATGTGGGAGATCCAGAAGAAGCTCTGGCTCCTGGCATCGGATAGGCTCAGCTCCAGCTATTATGGCCATTAGGGCAGTACACCAATGGATGCAGAATTTTTTTTTCTCTCTCTCCATCTCTTTGTAAATATTATCTATATTTCCTATAAAAACAAATAAATATTTTTTAAAAGATTGCAAAGCTAATTATTAATAGAATTCACAAAGTTTGTTGTTAGCGATATTCTATATTTCCTGATCATTTCTGTGAGTTGTAATTTTCTTGTGCTGGAGAAATTCAGAAATAATGCTAGAAATAGAGACAAGCAAAAGGTTAATAATTTTGTCTTATTTCTGCTTTGGGAGACTAAAGAGAAGAAATGCTGAAGGCTCAACATCAAATTCCTTAGATATAAAGACTCCTAAACATATGTTTCCCAAGCTTTGGGATATTATGGGACAATTTCAGAAAACTCTTGAGTAATACCTAAGGGACTTTGAACTTTTTATCAACCAACGAAGTTGAATTTTAGTTTAAAAAATGAGGACAAGAGGAGAGGAAAATGAACAGTAGCTTAAAAAATTGTGCCATCTGATATGTAATAAAGGAAAACATATTTTAATCCCGAGAAAGTATTATAACCTCAGAATAAAGAGTAAGCCCTTTGAATACATGCAACACTACAAAAGAGCTTACCATATTGTCACCCCCTTCTTTTTTTCTCATCTAATTTGTGTTAGTTTCAGGAACCCCTTCATTAACTGCCTTCATTTATTTAAATTTATCGGTCTCCATCTCTACCACAAAGCGACCTTAGGTTTCCTATGTTTAGATTGTTGCAGTGCCCTCCTTATTACTTAGACAGCCTGTGCATGAATCAATACTCATTAGAAAAATGAGCCATTGTGTGGAATCTGAAAAAAATTATATTTATAAATTTAAAAAGTATTACTCATCAGAAATGTGTGTGAAGAAAATGGAACATTTTTGGTAGGTGAGTTAAGTTGATATGAGTGTGCATGTGTGAGTTTTGGAGGAAAATGAAGGAGTGATTCCTAAGTGAATAGGTAACCTCGGAGGCCGTGTGTCGGACTCTGGGTGTCCACACTGATAAGCATCTTCAGCAGTGTCGGTCACTCTCTCAGTTTGGCTACTGGGTTCATGGGTGTTTATTGTATTGTTATTATATCTTGTAACTTACCTATATGTTATATTCTCTCATTTGTATAATAAAACACTCATAAGAGAAAAAATTGAAGTTATTAATAAAAATTAAGAGATAGGAAAGTATTTGTGTTGCTTCAGAGAAAGGTGGAAAAGATTATAATAGCATTGGGAAATTCAAAATTGGATATTCTATAAGAAAGGACCAAGAAAAACCTTTAGTAGCAAAATGATTCAGTGAACCTTTTTTTTCCCGTTTCTAAAGATGCATTTCTTTATTTGAAAACCGGACAGAGAGAGAAAGGGAAATTTACTAGTTTACTCTCCAAATGATCTTAACTGCCAGGGTTTGGCCAGGCCCAAGCCAGAAGCTTCTTCCAGGTCTCCCACGTGGGTGCAGGGACCCAAGGGCTTAGGCCATACTCCATGGCTTTCCCCAGGCACATTAAGTAGGGAACTGGAAAAGAAATGGATCAGCCAGGACACCAGGACACAAACCGGTATCCATATGAGTTGCAGCCATTGCAAGTGATAATACAAAGTACAAAGTATCTAAAAGCACATGCAGGTGTTTAGCCATTAAAGTGCCAGATTTTGATGCCTGTGAATGGCTCCCAATTCCAGCTTGCTGCTAGCTCAGACCCTGGGAGGCAGTGGTGATGGCTCAAATATTTGGGTTCCTGCCATCTGGGTTGAATTTCTGGTTCCTGTCTTTGCCTTCATCCATTAACAACTGTTGCAGACATTTGGGGAATGGCTAGTAGATGGGAGCTCTCTGTTTTTTTCGTTTGTTTTTGTCTTTTAAGCTATAAGCTCCAAACCCACTCTTAAAGATTATTGGATTATTTTTTCTGTGTGCATAAATGTCTTTAATGTGCTATTAAGTGAGAAAAATGAGTTATAAAAAATATATTCAATTAGTGATCTATTCAGAAAAAATTAATTTTAAAATGAAATTTCAGTTATAGAAGTTATACTATAAACAAAAACATAAAATTATGCATTTTTGGTGTTTTTTTAAAACATGACTGTGCTATTTAATCATAATTTATGTTCACATTTTTCTGTTAGTGGGAGACTTTGAGTTTCAGTTTTCTTAAAATGCTAAATTGTTATAGTAAGCATCATTATATGTACATCATTTTTGTATATGTAGGATTTTTCCTTTGGATAGAATCAAAAGGAATTACTAGATTAGAAGTATAGAACTTTAAGAGAAGTCAGGTTGCGCGTTGAATGTTTTTAAGATTTATTTTGTTTATCTGAAAGGCAGAGCTACAGACAGAAGGGGAATGATAGAGAGAACTTTGTTCTGCTGGTATCCTCTCCAAATGGCTACAGAGACTAGAACTGGGCCAGGCCAAAGGCAGAGGCTTCTTCTGGGTCTCCCATGTGGTTACAGGAGAACAAGGACTTGGGTCATCTCTTGTTGCTTACAGTGCATATTAACAGTGGATTTGAAGTGGAGTAGCCAGGACTCAGACCAGTGCTCATTTGGGCTGTCGGCAAGGCAAACCTTGGCTTAACCAGGTTAACCTGTTATGTCACAATGCTGACCATGTGATTTTTAAAAAATCTTTAAAGTCTGCTAGTTTTACTGGAATATTTTGTAATCATACTGTTTACTTATTTATTTTAAAGATTTATTATTATTTGTTGGTATTATTGGAAAGACAGATTTACAGAGAAGGAGCGACAGAGGGAAAGATCTTCCATCCACTGGTTCACTCCCGAAGTGGCTGCATTTTTTTCTGATTCTGCTTCTTCATCTCATTTGTGTTCTCATAAAAGCTTGTCCTGCTATGTTCCAATATTAACTTTTCATTTGTATCTGGTACATCTTGTAATTTGGAATTCATTTCTCATGTGTTATTTTTCATTTCTTTTTATTTTTTCCCTAAGTTCAATTGAATCTTTGTCTTTTGTGCATTTCTGTTCTGTTTTTTTTTTGCCAAGTAAAGGTGTTTTAGTCCAATTAAATTTTTTTGATATCCCCAATTGCAGGTTTTGAGGCTGTGTGATTTAGTTTGGAACATCATGTTACAGTTTTCTAAAGTGTTATTTGTGTTTTGACTACTATTACCCTGTTTTGTCTGTTGTCATTGTTACAGTATTTATGTGAAGATGGTCTGCTTTTTTTTCTTTTCTTGTTCATTTCCTGGAGCTGAGTCACAAATGCTGTCTGTCAGTTCTGATCCCTCTGTGTAGCAGTGATTGGAGGGGAGCGTTTGGCGTGTATTACTTCTCTCACGTTCCTTAATTTTCCCTTGTTTATTTTCTTTTTTTTTTTTTTTAAGTAAATATGGGGATCAGAACATTTTGGATCTATTTGCTTTTCCCCTAAAGAGAGCATTTCTCTGAGGCTGCCACTTCTGGTCCTCCTCATTCCTATGAGCCTCGTGTCCCAGCCTGTGTTTAGATTTTTATCTTCGTTTTAGGTTTTCCCATTTTGTCTGTTTCTCTGTACTTCATTTAAATCCTCTGTCTCCCTTACTTTTTTTTCATGGAGTAGCTTCACTCTCAGATTTGAAATGATAATTAATGGGAACTTTGTTGGAATAATTTCTATGAAAGGTTGTGGTATTTCTATTTTGTCACTTATTACAGTAGAAATCTTGGATCATCTGATTCAGTCTTTATTGTATGGTTTAAAGGAAGAAATTTTGGGGAGGATTAAAAATATCAGACTGCTGGGCCTGGCGTGATAGCCTAGTGGTCCTCACCTTACATGCGCCAGGACTCCATATGGGTGCTGGTTTGTATAAGCTGCTCCACTTCCCATTCATCTTCCTGCTTGTGGCCTGGGAAAGCAGTAGAGATTGGCCCAAAGCCATGGGATCTGAAAGAGGCTCCTGGCTCCGGGCGCCTGTGTCAGATCGACACAGTTCCAGCCATTGCAGCTGCCACTTTAGGAGTAAATCAATGGATGGAAGATCTTCCTCTGTGTTTCTCCTCTTTGTGTATCTGACTTTCTAATAAAAATAAAATAAATCTTAAGAAGATTTTTTTGGAGTGACCCAAATCATTTTTGGGTTTCAGTTTCTATTATACTAAAGGCAATTAAAATTGAAGTATTAGTTAAACAATTGTTATCTGAGTCATTTTTGTCTTTCTTGCTTTCTTTGAAATCGAGACAAACTCATTTTTTGTTTATCAGATGCATACCTCTACTGGAGGAGGATTCTGTGACTGTGGAGACACGGAGGCCTGGAAAACTGGCCCTTTTTGCTTAAATCATGAGCCTGGAAGAGCAGGTACTGCAAAGGAGGTAAGAATGTTGTTTTTAAGAGACAGCTAGGTATTTTAACCTTGTTGAAATGGGATGATAATACATGTTACGTGTATGGATTATGTTCAGTATCATTTAGAATTTTAGTATTTTTGTTTTAATGTTTTGTGTAAGGAGTTTTTTCCTCCTTCAAAGAAGTTAAAGATTTGATAATTTCTTAAAAGAGGTGATTAATTCACAGAGAAAAATGGATATCCAGGCTCCTTTTTAAAGTATCAACTTGATAAGCACAAATGAATAAAGGAAAATAACTGTAAGCAGGTATGAGAATTAGGAAACAGTATAATTGGCACATAAATTCAGTAACTGCAGTTCTTAAAGAAAAAAGTCAAATTTATTAAATAGATACATGCTAATCAAGAAGAAAATTACAAATGAGAATAGGTGAATAACCTATGGAGCCATAGAAACAAAGAAATAAAAACAATAATAAAAGACTGAATGAATGTGTAAGTATATTTGAAAACGGATTGCTTTGTTATGATGAAGCAACAAAATTTATTCAAGAGCAGAAAAGTTGGGAGGTAATCATTCAAGAAATTAGAAAATTGTCAAAAAAAAAAATTTCCTCCAAAATGCCATATTCAAATAGTTTCACAGGTAAATCCTTCAAAATTTAAGACTTACGTAGTTTTTATTCTCTTTAAATTGTTCCAGATTCCCTAATAACAGTGAGTACCGCTGGGTCCCAGGTGTTGATCTCTTATGTATCATTTCCCACTAAAAAAATAAGGCTTTTGCTGACTTAGTTGGATAATTGGAGCATTATCACTGCAGGATTAAATCACAGTGACCATGTAAACACCAGGCGTTTCTAATAGGACTTAATGAGAGTTAAGTAAAGCAAAACTTCTGTGTCACCATGCCAGTACATAGTATATCAGTTCCTTGGTAGTTAAAAATTGGTGACTAAATGGAATGAAATAAGCTTTTATTCTGCCTTTTTTGTAAGAATTGTTTTTCATTGTAACTAGGTATTCTGTTTTACCAGGAAACTTCTATCAGGAGTAACGTTAACTAAAGAAGGAAAAATAGAGTTAAAAAAATTTTGTTTTAAAAGATTTATTTATTTTTATTGGAAAGGCAGAGAGGAGGAGAGACAGAAAGGAAGATCTCTCTGATGGTTCACTCCCAAAGTGACCGCAAAGGCCATTGCTGCACCAATCCAAAGCCAGAAGCCAGGAACTTCCTCTGGATCTCCCGTGCGGGTTCAGGGTCCCAAAACTTTCTGGCAGTCCTTGGCTGCTTTCCCAGGCCACAGACAGGGAGCTGGATGGGAAGCGAGGCTGCCGGGATCAGAACTGGAAACCCATATGGGATCCCGGCGTGTTCAAGGTGAGGACTTCAGCAGCTACGCTATCGCGCAGGGCCCAAAAATCCTTTTTTTTTTTTTTTTTAAGATTTATTTCTTTTTATTGGAAAGGCAGATTTACAGAAATAAGGAAAGACAGAGAAAGTTCTTTCATGCACTCGTTTACTCCCCATGTGGCTGGAGATGAGCCAATCTGGAGCCAGGAGTCAGAAGCTTGAAGTCTCCTCAGGTCTTCCATGCAGGTCCCAAGGCTTTAGGCCAACCTCTGCTGGTTTTCTATGCCACAATCTTGGAGCATGTGGCAAATAGAGCAACCAGGACATGAACCAGTGTCCCATGGGATTCTGGCACTTTTAGGTAGGCAGAGGATTAGCCAATGAACTATCATACTATCCCTGAGAGTTTGAGAATTCTTTTTGTTTTTTAAAGATTTATTTTATTTTTATTGGAAAGGCAGATATACAGAGAGGAGAGACAGAGAGGAAGATCTTCCGTCCGATGATTCACTCCCCAAGTGAGCGCAACGGCCAATGCTATGCCGATCCAAAGCCAGGAGCCTCTTCTGGGTCTCCCACGTGGGCGCAGGGTCCCAAAGCTTTGGCCTGTCCTTGACTGCTTTCCCAGGCCACAAGCAGGGAGCTGGAAGGGAAGTGGAGCTGCTGGGATTAGAACCGGCGCCCATATGGGATCCCGGGCATGCAAGGCTAGGACCTTAACCACTATGCCATCGCGCCGGGCCCGAGTTTGAGAATTTTAAGGAAACATTTGATTCAGACAAGGATCACTAATGGATGCTAAAACTGTTCAGGCTTCAGTTGCTGAGAAGCAATATTCATATGGTTCTTATTTGCTGGCTTTTGAGCTAAAAAAATGAAACTTTAACACAAAAATATTCTCCTATCACATCAAACTGTCATAAATAAACTCCTTATATGATATAAAATGAATTATTGCTTTTGGTATCCCTTATCCAAAATATTTCTGAAACAAAAATGTTTCAGGTTTTGAAGTTTTTCAGATTTTTAGAATATTCGTGTTGACTTTACAGGTTGTACATTTCTTCCATGCATTAAATATTTCAGAATGTTTGGGGTTTTGACTTTTTGGATTAGGGTTGTTCAACCTATAAATAGTCTTAACTCTTGAAAATTTATCAGTGTCATATACCATACAAGTAGAATCAAAGACAAAACCAGATTGTGATCTCATCAGATGCAGCAAAGGCCTTAAAACATTCAGTAGACTCAAGAACAGCAGAGGCTCCTCAACCTGGTGAAGGTTATCTTTATTCATCAGTGTTTTTTGTCACAACTAAATACGTAAGATAACAACACTTTCAAAGGAGAGAGGTTTATTTTGACTCATGGTTTTTGGAGTGTCACAAGGTTCAGTGAGCCCCATTGTTTTTGCTGATCTAGTGGGATTAGAGGATGGCGTTGATGAAGCATGTGCAAAGAAATGATCATGTGGCAAACTAGAGAGCCAAGAAATACAGAACATACTTACATCTATGCATTCTTACCTTTTCATTTTTCATTTTACACCTTACACCTAGAGATGGCTCCCCACCATAATACCTAACCGTCTAAGGCAAACATGCGTGTTCATCCCGTCCAGTGCATTCAATATTGTTTGATTCTTTTTTCTTTTCTTTTTTTTTTTTTTATTAGAAAGGCAGGTCAGATATACGGAGAGACAGGAGACAGAAAGATCTTCTGTCTGCTAGTTCACTCTCCAACTAGATGCAACGGCTGGAGCTGAGCTGATCCGAAGCCTGGAGCCCAGAGCCCGGAACCTCTTCCAGGTCTCTCAGATGGGTGCAGGGTCCCAAGGCCTTGGGCCATCCTCTACTGCTTCCTTAGGTCACAAGTAAGGAGATAGAATGGAAATAGAGCAGCCAGGTCATGAACTGGTGCCCCATGGGATTCCAACACTTGTAAGGTGAGGCTTGCCATTGAGCCATCACACTGGCCCAATATGTTCAATATCTTACTAGAGATTCTGCCAGACCAGTTAATTAAGAAGAAGTAGCTAAGGCTGCCTAGATTAAAAAGGAAGAAGCAAAACTACCTCTTTGGTTGGCATGATTTGATATATGGAAAATCCTAAGGAATGTGTAAAAAAATTACTGAGACTAATAAAGTAACTTGGCAAGATTGAGGATACAAGCGAATTAAACAGAACTTACTTGTGTTTCTACGAAAAGCACAAGAATGAAATAAGAAAATAGATCTTTAATATCAAAAAAGCAAACTATTTACAAATAAATTTAACCAAAGAAGTATAAACTTTTTTCTCTGAAAAGTATAAATCACTATTGAAAGAAATTAAAGAAGATCCAAATAGATGTCAACACATCCTGTTTCTGGATCAGAAGCTTAATATTAACATGGTAATGCTTCCCAAATTGATGTATAGATTCAATCCAATTCCTGTTAGAATCCCAGATGAGATTTTTTTTTGTTGTTGAAAATTAACAGTTATTCTGAAATTTATGTCCAGTTACCAAGGACCAAAAGTCGCTACAATAATCTTGAAAAAAGAACATAGTCAAAGAACTCATATTTCCCTGTTTTAAAACAAAAGAAAACAGAAGTGATCAAGACAGAGTGGAACTGGTATTATAATAGACATAAGTTGATGGGATAGAATTGAGAATCTAGAAATAAACCGATTTATCTGTAAGTAACTAATTTTCAATAAGGGTATCAAGACCAATGAATGGTGAAGGAGTACTGTTTTCTCCAAATGTCGCTGGGTCAATTGAATATCCACATATATATATTAAAAATAATAATAATATGATAATAGGGCCCATTACAGTAGCCTAGTGGCTAAAGTCCTCGTTTTACACATGCTGGGATTCTGTTGGGGTGCCAGTTGGTGTCCTCACTACTCCATTTCCCATCCAGCTACTTGCTGGTAGCCTGGGTAAGCAGTAGAGGGTGGCCCAAATCCTTGGGACCCTGCACCCATGTGGGAGACCTAGAAGAGATTCTGGGTTCCTGGCTTTGTATTGACTCAGCTCTGGCTGTTGCAGCTACTTGGGGGAATGAACCACCAGACAAAAAATCTTTTTCTTTGTATATCTGTCTTTCCAATAAAAAAATAAACCTTAAATATATATTTACATATGTGTGTATGTGTGTGTGTAAGCAGCCGATAAACTCACTATTGTCATCAAGAAAATGTGAATATAAAGCACGGTGCGCTATGTCCTCCCACCAAATGGGCTCTGTAGTCAAAAAGATAACAAAGAAATGTTGGCATGGATATAACAAAATTAGAACCTTTGTACACTGCAGTAGTGTACATGTTGCAGCTACATTGGTAAATGAAGCAATGTGTCAAAACAGTCAAATGTAGAGTTACTACGGAACTCAGCAGTCCCACCCCTACATGGGAGGATATTTCAAAAGTTCAGTGACAATAGAATTAAAAGACAAGTTTATCTTGACACAAAAGACTTGGAAAGCCTTGCATTGTAGGGTCTTCAAAAAGCATATTGTGAAAAAGCTATGCATGGATTTAAAAATTGTAGGCCCTACAGGAAACTTGTTTTAATTCCCTTTTCCATGAACTTTTTCAAGTACACTCACATACTCTCAGTTTTATATAGGTATTCATATGTTAGGACACAAATGTTCATAACGATATTATTTATGATAGCCAAGAATGTGGAAGCAACCAAAATGTCCAAATGATAGATAACTATACAACCTATGTTATATGCATATAGTGGAATGTTCTTTGGATAAGCACACAAACTTTGAAAACATGGTGAGTGGGCCTGGCACCATAGCCTAGTGGCTAACGTCTTCGCCTTGCATGCACCAGGATCCCATATGGCCGCTGGTTCTAATCCTGGCTGTCCCATTTCCCATCTAGCTCCCTGCTTGTGGCTTGAGAAAGAAGTTGAAGATGGGCCAAAATCTTGCAATCCTGCACCCACACAGGAGATCTGGAAGAGGCTGTGGCCTCCTGGCTTTGGATTGGCTCAGCTCCAGCTGTTGTAGCCACTTGGGGAGTGAATCATTGGATGGAATATCTTCCTCTCTGTTTCCTCCTCCTCTCTGTATATCTGACTTTGTAATAAGAATAGAATAAACCTTAAAAAAAAAAAACAACCACATGGTGAGTAAATGAGCCCTTTGCAAAAGATATAACATAATTAGATAATCCACAGGCATAAGATTAGTGTGACCCTGAAATGTAGGCCTTTTAACAGAAAGACTGTTGTTTCTATCATTAAGAATAAAAGGCTAAGGGTAAAACTGAGCTATATATACTTAGATGTAAATAATTCAAGACATGCAAGTAAAATGCAGTATGTGAGATGGGGGTGCTGTTTGCACTTAGCAGTAAGCATTTGGCCTCATGTTTAAGACTCCTAGATTCTCACCTCGTATCATAGTCCTTTTTTGGGGGTCCAACTGCTAGCTCAGCTCCCAGTTTCAGTCTAGTGCTAATATGTAGAATCCTTGAGGGCAGCAGTGCTGGCCTGGTCCAAACATAGGTGATACAGCCATTTGAAAAGTGAGTCAGCAGATGGAAAATCTCTCCAATTCTCTGCTCCCCCAACTCTACTCCCCATCTTAGATCCACTCTCCAAGGAACTAAATCTTTTAAAAAAAAATCTTTACATTGCATTTTAAATTTTTTCATTTGCTTTTTTTATTTGGGAGGTGGAAAGACAAGATGAGAGACGGAGTGTTCTCACACGCTGCTTCACAGGCCAAATAACCTCAACAGCCGGTGCTGGGCTTGGCTGGATCTAGGGGCTGAGAGTTCAATCTAGGATTCCCGCATAGGTAGCAGTAACTTAATTATTTGAATTGTTACTGCTGCCCCCTAAAGGTGCACATTAGGAGGAAGCTGGAATTGGGACAGAGGTGGGAGTCAAACTAGAACCCAGGTACTACAATATGGGGCACTACAATGAGAGTCCTAAACACTAGGCCAAATGCCTGTCCCCATTAAGTCACTTAAATCATTTACATACAAATATATTTCCTATTTCCACTCTCCTCTTTTATTCTTTTTATTTTTAAGATTTTTAAATTTTTATTTATTTATTTAATTGCTATTTAAGATTTATTTATTTTTACTGCAAAGTCAGATATACTGAGAGGAGGAGAGACAAAGAAGATGTTCCATCTGCTGGCCCACTCTCCCCAAGGGACCGCATTGCCAGTGCTGTGCCAATCCAGTCAGGAGCCAGGAACCTCCTCCAGGTCTCCCGTGTGGGTGCAGGGTTCCAAGGCTTTGGGCCGTCCTCCACTGCTTTCTCAGGCCACAAGCAGGGAGCTGGATGGGAAGCAGGGCTGCTGGGATTAGAACCATCACCCATATGGGGATCCTGGCGTGTTCAGGGTGAGGACTTTAGTTGCTAGGACACTGCACCAGGCCTTCTGCCTTTTTTTCTTAGTGATAGATATAAGACAGTATTTCTTTTAAAGATCTTGTATTCTAAATTTACTTTTTTTAAAAAAGATTTATTTTTATTATTTTTTTATTGGAAAGGCGGATATACAGAGAGGAGAGACAGAGAGGAAGATCCTCCGTCTGATGATTCACTCCCCAAGTGAGCGCAACGGCCGATGCTATGCCGATCCAAAGCCAGGATCCAGGAACTTCTTCCCGGTTTCCCACATGGGTGCAGGGTCCCAAAGCTTTGGGCTGTCCACGACTGCTTTCCCAGGCCACAGGCAGGGAGCTGGAAGGGAAGCGGGGCTGCCGGGATAGAACCGGTGCCCATATGGGATCCCAGGCGTGCAAGGCGAGGACCTTAACCACTGAGCCATCGCGCCGGGCCCTAAATTTACTTTTAAAATGTTTTAAAATATTTTCATTTATTTGAGAGTGATGTCTGCAATGACGAGGGCTGGGCCAGGCCTAAAGTTTGGAGCCAAGAATTCCTCTTACCCTGTCAACCTGGATTGAGTTTCTTGCACCTGGTTTTGGCTTGGCCCAGCCCAGGCTTTTGTGGGCATTTGATGAATGAAGTTGCAGTTAGGAGATCTCTGTCTCTTGATTTCTCTGCCTTTCAAATTAATAAATAAGTATTTTATTAAGATGCTTTACTTGAAAATATACATAGTCAATATAACTCCACCTAAGAACCCTGCTATTGATACAATATGGAAATGGTGTTTTTAACTCTTCAGGCTCTTTTTATGAAGAGGCTAAAGGAAACTTTGAACCAAGAGTGGAGTTTGTAAGGGGATGTGTAGTTAACAGACGTCTGAGCAAAATCTCCAGAAGAAACTGTTAGTTGAAGGAGTAAAAACTACAGTTGTAAAACTTTGTGTAAGGAGGCAAAATAGGTGATCGAGAGTAATTGAATGTGTTAGTGATTTTGTGATCACAGAATGGAACAAAGTTCATTAGCTCGTTCTATAAAAGTTAAGTTAAAATATAACATTTGGGCCTGGCAGTGTGATGGCTTAGCACCTAAAGTCCTCGCCTTTAATGCACCCGGCTCTCATATGGGCACCAGTTCTAATCCCAGCAGCCCTGCTTCCCATCCAGCTCCCTGCTTGTGGCCTGGGAAAGCAGCCGAGGATGGCCCAAAGCCTTGAGACCCTGTACCCGCGTGGGAGACCCAGAAGAGCTCCTGGCTCCTGGCTTCGGATTGGCTCAGCTCTGGCTATTGAAGTTACTTGGGGAGTGGGCCAGCAGATGGAAGATCTTCCTCTCTGTCTCTCCTCCTCTCTGTATGTCTGACTTTCCAATAAAAATAAATAAATCTTTTTAAAAAATTTAACATTAAAAGCCTTGTACACCATTTTATTGAATTTTATAAAATATTTATTTTTGTCGGAAAGTTTACAGAGAGCGAGAGACAGAGAAAAGATTTTTGTTTTAAAGATTTTACATTTTTATTGGATAGGCAGATTTACAGAAAGAAGAAGAGACAGAGAAAGATTTTCTATCTGCTAGTGCCTTCCCCAAATGGCTGCAAGAGCCTGAGTTGAGCCAGTCTGAAGCCAGGAGCTTCCCTGCGTCTCCTGAGTCATTAGAACTTGCACTCAAATGGGATCCCGGTGCTTTCAAGGCGAGCAATTAAGCTGCTGGGCTACCATTGCCTGGCCCAGACATTTTTTTTTCCTATTTTGGTTCTTGTGCACTGTTCTGCTACAAACATTTATATAAAATTTTATATAAATTTAGTGTGAATGCATGTTTTTATTATTCTTCAATTTATACCTAAAAGTGAAATTGCTATGAAGTATTATTAACTGTGATTAATATTTTATTTTAAAACTATTTATGTATTTTCAAAAGATTTATTTATATATTTGAAAGACAAAGAGAGAGAGAGAGAGAGATCTTCCTTCTACTAGTTCACTGCCTAAATGGTCATTAAGTTTGGGACTGGTCAGGCCAGGCTAGGAACCTGAATTCCATCTGGATCTCCCACATGGGTGGCAGGGACCTAAGCACTTGGTCCACCTTCCGCTGCTTTCCTAGGTGTATCAACAGGGATTTGGATTGCAAACGCAGCTGTTGGGACTGGAACCAGTGCCCAAATAGGATCAGCTGTACCTAGCTGTGCCACAGTACCTACTTCTGTGCCTAACATTTTAAGAAATTGTTTACTTGGGAGGCAAGGAGATATCACTTATCCACTGATCCACTCTGCAAATGTGTATAGCAGCTAGGGCTGCCAGGCCAAAGGCAGAACTCAATTGGTTTTCTAGCTATAGACAAAGGGCTGAATGAGTAAAATGTCATGCATTGTTTGTGAAACAAAATTTTCAAAAAAATTTATTTGATTATTTAAAAGGCAGAGTGACAGAGAAGGAAAGTTGGAGGTGGGGTGGGGGGTGGGGGAATCTTTCATTTGTTGTTTCAATCCTCAAAGGCCAGCTGGGACTGGACCAGGCCAAAGCCAGGAGCCAGAAACTCCATCCAGGTCTCCCACATGGGTGGTAAGGATCCAGGTACTCTGCCTTTTAAATAATCAGATACATTTTTTTTTGAAAATTTTGTTTCACAAACAATGCATGACATTGAATTTGCTGTATTAGTTATTTTGTGGGTGCATTTTGGTATTGTAAGTATGCATTTACCTTGAGTGTAGCAGGTCCCAAGGACATTTTACTCATTCAGTGCTTCATCTATTCCCACTAAACACTAATTCCCCCTCCTTTAAACCCTTGGCAGTCAACCTTCTTCTTTCCTTTCTGTAATTTGAGTGAGTTGCTTGAAGGGAACAGAATCATGGGATTTTGTCCATTTATGACTGGCGGAGTTCCGTATCTTTTAAGTGGCATTGATATCTGTTCTCCTTTCTTTTGGAGTAGCCATAAGGATCTGCTGAAATAAATTACCAGAGAAGTTTTTATAAACTATAAAACAAAAGCAGTTGTGAGGATCTGGTTGTGCGCTCCAAAAGGCAGAGGAAACATCCAGAAGGGTTCTCCTTGGTTCTGTCTTTTTTCCTGTTATCTGTAAAACAAATTTGGCCATGAGGGTAACCAACAGTGAAGGGAATAGCAGTTCTCTTGAATTCAGCCATGAATCAACTCCTGGAGGGTTTTGTAATGAACTCAGTAAGATGATTATTTCAAGTTTACAACATTATCTTCCTCATCCATTTTTATATACAGTCTTGGTTAGTATAGTATGTTTTTCTCTACTCTATTACAGAATTCACATTGTCCGTTGAATGAAGAAGTAATTGCCCAAGCCAGAAAAATATTCCCTTCAATTATAAAATACATTGTAGAAATGACTATATGGGAAGAGGAAAAAGAACTGCCTCCTGAACTCCAGATAAGGTGGGGATATTGTCAAAATGGATGTGTGATAGTGATGAATATTCATATTGCAAAATAAGTGTTTGATAGCTTTTTTGTTATCTACTGGCTAATATTATTCTGAAAAATTTAAAGGGAATTATATTTTGAGAACATTTATTTAGTTAATTTTTAAGGCAAAATTATACAGAGAGAAAGAGAGGGAAAGAAAAAGACATCTTTCATCTGCTAATTTACTCTGAAAATGGCCACAATGGCCAGGGTTGGGCCATGCTGAAGCCAGGAGCCAGAAATTTCATTGAGGTCTCCTAAATGGGTAGAGGGGCCCCAAGAATTGTATCAACTTCTGCTGCTTTCCCCAGGCCATTAGCCAGGAGCTGGATTGGAAGTAGAGAAGCCAGGACTTGAACTGTTACCCATATTGGATGTCACATCAGATATCAGTTTTTTAGGCTCTGACCTACCCTACTTTGTCACAAGGCTGATCCTTCTTGGGAATGTTTTTTAAACTGTACGCTAGATACTATGAGTATGGAAATTAGGCCAGAAGAGGAGCCTGTCAGGAGCTTTTGACTTTCTTGATATCCTTTTTTTAAATTTTTATTTTTAATATTTAATTATTATTATTGGAAAGTCAGATTTTATATAGAGAGGGAAACACAGAGAGAAAGTTTTTTGTCTGCTGGTTCACTCCCCAAGTGGCTGCAACAGCAGGAGCTGAGCCGATCCAAAGCCAGGAGCCAGGAGCTTCTTCCAGGTCTCCTGTGTGGGTGAGGCAACCCAAGGCTTTAGGCCGTCCTCCACTGCTTTCCCAGGCCACAAGCAGGGAGCTGGATGGAAAGTGGAACAGCCAGGTTAAAACCTGGTACCCATATGGGATCCTGGCACATGCAAGGTGAGGACTTAAGCCACTAAGCTACCGTGTGCTGGGCCTCATACACCATGGGCATTTGTTGAGTGAAATAGTTGGTGAGAGTTTTTTCTCTCTTTCAAATAAATGTGTTAAAAATCATATTAAAACCAATGAAAGACAGCCTGGTGCGATGGCCTTGTGGCTGAATCCTTGCCTTGCATCCACAGGGATCCTATATAGGTGCTAGTTCATGTCCCAGTTGCTCCACTCCCCATCCAGCTCCCTGCCTGTGGCCTGGGAAAGCAGTGGTGTTTTGCCCAAAGTTTTGGGACCCTGTGCCCATATGGGAGACCCAGAGAAAGCTTCTGGCTCCTGGATTTAGTGGTTGTGAACATTTAGGTAATGAGCCAGCAGATGGGAGATCTTTCTCTCTGTCTCTCCTTCTCTGTAAATCTGCCTTTCCAATAAACAAACAAACAAGCAAACAGATAAATAAATGTAATTTTAAAAAATAATAAAAGCAGTTAAGTTACCTGAGTTCCTGTAGCTATAGTGGGAAATTCTGACAGCTTTTCAACTCTGTACCTACTATTTTCTTTAAAATTTAAATATATCTTGATAGCAATATTACTTAAAATAAATAATATATGGGGTTCAGGTTGATGACTCATTGACTAATTGTCTACATGCAAGCACTAGCATCCTGTCCGGGCACAGATTCATGTCCTGGGTGTCTCACTTCCCATCCAGCTCCCTGCTTGTGGCCTGGGAAAGTAGTGGAGGACAGCCCAAAGTCTTGGGAGCCTGCTCCTGTGTGGGAGACCTGGTTGGAAGCTCCTGGCTCCTGGCTTTGGATTGGCTCAGCTCCAGCCATTGCAGTGATTTGGGGAATGAACCAGTGGATGGAAGATCTCTCTCTCTGTGTCTTTCCTTCTCTCTATAAAATCTGCCTTCTCAATGAAAAAAAAATCTGAAGAAAAAAATTAGTATATAGACATGAAAATCAGTTTGTTAAAAACTAAATGTTAATAAAATCTGATTATCCTTGCTCACCTGAAGAATCTGAATATGTGGCTTATCTCCGCTTGTCAAAATGGGAGATGAGTATTAAGCATATTGTTAAGAACATACTGCTTCTAGGCTGCAATTGAAAGTAATTGTAAAAATTGGAAGTAAAACCTAGAGAAGGTCATACTTGTTTCAGTATTTTAAAATTCTCTGGCACTGTACTATTTGGAATCTTTTCTTGTGTCAGTATTTCAGTGTTGTTTTCTCAAATCTAGGAAGCTGCATGGTACTGTTCCAGTACAGATGTTGTATATTGTTTTTGTTGTTTTCATTTTAAAATTTTATTTGTTGCAGTGTCTGAATATATCTTTCTTTTCAAAACAGGGAGAAAAATGAAAGATACTATTGTGTTCTTTTCAATGATGAACACCATTCATATGATCATGTCATATACAGCCTGCAAAGAGCTCTTGACTGTGAACTTGCAGAGGCCCAGTCGCACACCACTGCCATAGACAAAGAGGTATGTGGTCTCCAACTGACTTACGCTGTTGTCCAAGCATCAACTTCCTTGACTGTAGGCTGTTGACCCAAGTACCTGTCAAGTGACTGAGTACATGTTAGGTTCAGCCATACTCTCCAATTTTTCCCTGTATCCTAGGTAAATTAGCTAGGATTCTGATTTTGTTTGTGTGTATTTCACAGGTATAGATAGCTATAGATTTTGTCTTTTATTCTAAATAATTAGAAAGGTAATGGATATATTTTACAAAGTATAGTAAGACTGTCAGCTCAAGTTTAAGCTTTCCTCATTGTCATTTAATGAATGTGTGAATTGTTATCAGATTTTTTATTTATAAGTTTTTAGCATAGTTTATTTAGAATATTTCCAGAATAATGTTAATCTATCATTGAGCTTTTATTTAATCTCCAACCAAAGCAAAATTAATTATTCAGGTGAATACAGGTCCCTGTGTTTCTTTTTTTTTTTTTTTTATTGGAAAGGCACATGTACAGAGAGGAGGAGAGACAGAGAGGAAGATCTTCCGTCCGATGATTCACTCCCCAAGTGGCTGCAACAGCCGGTGCTGCGCCGATCCGAAGCCAAGAGCCAGGAATTTCTTTCCTGGTCTCCCATGCTGGTACAGAGTCCCAAGGCTTTGGTCCATCCTCAACTGCTTTCCCAGACCACAAGCTGGGAGTTGGATGGGAAGTGGAGCTGCCGGGATTAGAACCGGTGCCTATATGGGATCCTGGTGCATTGAAGGCGAGGACCTTAACCATTACACAATTGCGCCAGGCCCAGTCCCTGTGTTTCTTATGGATGTCTTAAATAATTACAAATTGTTGTTTTGAAGGGTATTTATTTATTTGAAAGTTGGAGCTATAGAGAGAGGTCTTCTGTCCACTGGTTTACTCCCTAAGTGGCCATAATAGCTAGGGCAGAGGCAGGCCAAAGCCAGAAACCTAGAGCTTCATTCATGTCTCCCCGTGGGTACAAAATCTCAGTGATTTGATCCATCTTACAGTGCTATCTCAGGCACATTAGCAGGGAGCTGGATGGGAAGTGGAGTAGCTGGGACTTAAACCAGCCCCCATATGGGATACTGGCATTGTAGGTAGTGGTTTTACCTGTTAAGCCATAATGCCGCCTCCAGAAAATTAGTAGATTTTTTTTACAAGGATAAAGGGATGAATTACCAGGAAATCCTCTTGGTACCTACTTGGCCACCTCCGGGCTGAAGGAATTAGTAGCCTGATTATACCCTCAACACATTAGTGGATCACAAAAATGTTGCAGAACACATTGAATGTACTAAACCACATAGCAGCAATTTAGTAAACAAATCTAAATTATTATCTGAAATAAATACAAAGTCCACCACAATAAATAAAGAATTGGCATCCTTATTAGACAAGAAAGTTGATATCCTAAATTAGAGCAGTTGTTTCCTACAGGTACTGAATATTTTGAGGCTGCATAAAGGTATTTAGTATATATGTGTGTCTGCTAGGTACTGTCCTAGAGTCTTAGAATTTTTAGATAGTCAACTGTTGATTTAGTATTGAGAGTTCATTAGGACTTTGGGATATTAAGAATGTTGTTAAGGACTTGCTGCCTGTTGTTATTTACTGATTGTGGTTATTGTTCCATTACCTAATTCTTATCTTTTTCTTATATCAGGGTCGTCGAGCTGTTAAAGCAGGTGCTTATTCTGTTTGTCAGGAAGCAAAAGAAGACATCAAGGTAATATTACAGGTTATGAGGGACAAAAAGATAGTTGAAAGGCCAAGTTACAGAGAGAGATGGAGAGAGAGAATTCTTCATTCCTTCTGCTGGTTTGTTCTTTAAATAGCTGCAGCAGCCACGGATGGGCCAGGCCAAAGCCAGGAGCTGTGAATCCTACTCTGGTCTCCCGTATGGGTGGCAGGTGCCCCAGGTATTATACCATCTTCTGCTTTCCCAGGCAGATTAGCAGGGAGCTAGATTCACAGTGGAGTAGCTGGGACTTAAACTGGCACTCATGAGATGCCAGCATTGCAGGCAGAGGCCTAACTTGATGTGTCACAACACTGGGTCCAAAGAGAGTTTTAAGAAATATGTACATGAACAGGCCTGGCGTGGTAGCCTAGTGGCTAAAATCTTCACCTTGCATGTGCTGGGATCACATATCTGTGCCATTTTGTGTCCTGGCTGCTTCGCCTCCCTTCCAGTTCCCTGACTGTGACCTGGGAAAGCAGTAGAAGATGGCCTAAAGCCTTGGAACCCTGCACCCGTATGGGAGACCTGGAAGAAGCACTTTCATTTTTGCCTCTAACTTGCTCAGCTCTCGTGGTTGCAGCCACTTGGGGAGTGTGCCAGCAGATAGAAGACCTTTTCTCTGTCTCTCCTTCTTTCTATAAATCTTACTTTCCAGTAACAAACCAATCTTTAAAATAAGAGAGATAAATGTGTACATATGGAAGCTTATGTAGAAGGATTAGAATGATCATCTTGTTGAAGTAGTTTGACATCCTAAAGATAGGATTAAAATAGATTCAGGGAGTTAGAACTGACATGGTTATATGATTTCTTTCTTTGTTTTTCAGAGATCATTTAGTTAAAAGTAAAATTGAAATACTAATTTTGTTTTTAACGTCTGTCATTTGTAGAGTCATTCAGAAAATGTTTCTCAGCATCCACTTCATGTAGAAGTATTACACTCTGATGTCATGGCTCATCAGAAATTTGCTTTGCGTCTTGGCTCCTGGATGAACAAAATTATGAGCTATTCAAGTAAGCATGTAATTTATTTTTAGTATTTCTCATCAAAACTATGATTTTGTAGCAAAATTTAAAAATGTTAGTGTGCATAAATCAAAATTTCTTTTTTTGCTTTATTTGGATCAATATTCAGGATTAGATTTAAATATACATATTATCGAATCATTGTTATTTGCCTCAAGTTTACTATGTTGTTAGAATTATTCTTGACATTAAGCATTGGAGAGTTAGTTTTGATTTTTTAGTATGCTATTGCAAAACAGGTATTTTTAGAAGAGTTTACTTCTTGTGTTTGTAGGTGATTTTAGGCAGATCTTTTGCCAAACATGCCTTAGAGAAGAACCTGGCTCTGAGAATCCATGTCTCATAAGCAGATTAATGCTTTGGGATGCAAAGCTTTATAAAGGTGAGTAGATGTTTGCTTATGCTGCTTGCCAGGAATCAAAAGATTATAACCTTCTTGTAGAACTGTGCCTTCTTCCTTTATAAACTAATGACATATCTGTGATCTTGATTGATATAATACTATATGTGAGGCTTAAGTTAAATAGTCAGCAAGTATTCTACCTTTTAATTTCACTTAGGTTCCGTTAGAAGAGTATGTATGTATTCATGGATTATTGCTGTTATTAAAGCTATGCTAGCTTTTGCTTTAAAATCTAAATGAGCAATAAGTAAAAGAAAGATTAAAGCGTATAGAGAAGAAAATAACAGTCTTAGAATAGTTTTAAGTGGAATAGAATGAAAACAAATAAGGGTTGTGGGAGGGTAAAATTAAGGACGACTACGTGGCAGGAAGGATACAAAAAGAGGGAAAAGGCAATTGAATGTATGGATTTAGAATGCTACCTATTAAATGTTAATGCAATACATGCTGTTTCTATTTTAGAGTCCTTGAAGTATATTAGCATGTAAAATGTTTTCATGGTATCTTGCCTTGCGTAACAGCTGGTATTTTGTTTTTTTCTTGATGCTGCCTCCCTCATTCAAAATGATGTGTAGGTGCCCGTAAGATCCTTCATGAATTGATCTTCAGCAGTTTTTTTATGGAGATGGAGTATAAAAAATTCTTTGCCATGGAGTTTGTGAAGGTAATTGCTTTGTATAAATAAATAAAAAAGTAGAAATGAAAACCAGTTTTTTTTTAAAAAAATATTTATTTATTTATTTTGTTGGATTGTCAAATTGACAGAATGAAGTAGAAAAATCCTCTATCTGCTGATTCACTCCCCACGTGGCTTCTCCTACCTGTGTGCAGGGTCCCAAGGGTTTGGACCACCTTATAACTGCTTTCCCAGGCCACAAGCAGGGAGCTGGATGGGAAGTGGAACAGTCAGGACACCATCCAGTACCCATATGTGATCCCAGCACATACAAGGCAAGGACTTTATAGCTACTAGGCTACTATGCTGGGCCCAGGAAACACTTTTTATTAGTGGAATAATCATGAAGACAAGGGATAATTATGAAGCAAAATAATTGGATTTTATGAGTAATTTCTTTATCCAAAGTCTATTATTTTGAGACCAATGTGGTACAATGGATAAAGCCATCACTTGCAATACCAGTGTCCCATATGGCACAAGTTCATGTCTCAAAATGCTCTGCTTCGGATCTAGCTCCCTGCTAGTAGCCTGAGAAAGCAGCAGAAAATGGACCAAATGTTGGGGCTCCTGTCATGGGAGACCCTCACCAAGCTGGCTTCAGCCTGGCGCAGCGCTGGCTTGCTGCAGCCATTTGGGGAGTGAAGGAGCAGATGAACCGTCTCTCTTCCTCTAACTTTCCCTCTCTTTAACTCTGAATTCCAAATAAATACATCTGTTGAAAAAAGAAGTCCATTATTTGTTTTACATAAAGGCTTTCACAAGCAGCTCTGGTTAATGTAGGAACTATCAGTCTTAGGAAATGTGTAGAAGAGGACATGTTCACCCAGCATAGAGAAAAGGTAGATTGTCACGTTCACAAAAGTGTTCATTCTTTCTAATTATTTGCCAGTTATTCAAATTGTAATGAGTAGAAATGCTTAACTGAAAGGCCTAGCAGGAAGCAGAGTTAGATACCCCAGCTAAAGGAACATAGAAATTAGGTAGAGGTAGTCAAGAGTTATATTTACTTGATTATATTGTTAAAAACATGAAGTTAAATCTTAAAGAAAAAGTACTGTTTTGTTGTGTGGTATGCCCGTTATGTTTTTGTGTCTTTTTGTCTGTGTCACAAGTTAGATTGCTGGTTACAACATGATGAGGATTTCTTTGAATCTTCCACTTTGCCTCATACAAAATATCCAGTAAATACAAGGGTATTCCAGAAAATTGATTGAAGGACTGACATTGTGGCAGTAGTAAATTAAGCCATACTACCTGCCATGTCAGCATCCCATATGAATACTAGTTTGATTCCCTAATGTTCCACTTCCCATCCTACTCCCTGCTAATCTGCCTGGGAAAGCAGGGAAAGATGCACAAATACTTGAACTCCTGCCATCTTCATGGGAGACTCAGAAGGAGTTTTAAGCTTCTGGATTCTGTCTGGCCCATCCCTAGCTTTTGTGGCCATTTGGGAAGTGAACCAGCAAACAGGGGAAAAAAAAAAAGAAGAAGAAAAATACAAAAGAAAGGAAGTTTGTAGAAAATAGAATTCAAAGTTATATTCATTGTAGTGCAAAAAATTTTGAATCTATGCATGTTGAGGCATCTTTGAAAAATTTGTGAAACATGCATATTATGAAAAAACTTCATTGGTGGACCTAAAATAATTTCTTAAACTAAGATAAACTTAACTTTTTGTTTTGTTTTCCAAAAACCTGTTGACCTTGTACTTGTTGGGTTCCTCTGACTGAGTCATAGGAGATGTGTCAGATATAAGACTGGGCAGAGATGGGTGCCAGGATACAATTAGAGGCAGAGAGAGAGCAATGCTTGTTACCGGCCTGGAACACAATGGGCTGAAATACCTACAGCCCCTGAACTTTGTAAGCAGATTACTAAAAGTAACATTTGCAACATATGTGGTGCTGGCAATTCATAATGTCAACTGTTCTCTGACTCTTCAGAAATAGAATATTGGGCCATATGTATGATCTAGTACAGAATTAATTATGTTTTCTTATGCAAAAGCTATATGCCTTTAGATTTTATTTATTTGGCTTTTTTCCTTAGTTTGTGTACCATGGTTTCCTCTTAGACTCTGAGAATTGTGCACAGTAAAATTAGATACAAGTGTCCAGTGCTGCTTATACAGAATAAATATTTCCAACATCTATTTTTGTTATTTTTGTTCTGCTAACATATCAGGCTTGCTTTTCATTTAACTTTGTTCCAGCATAAATAAGTGACTAGAGAAAGAATGAACTGCATTTTGTGATTTTTACCTGTGTTTTCAGTTAACTTTCTCTTTAGAGTTCCACAAACTTGACTGGATCAGGCAGCTGAATTTATATTTGGTCTAATCTGTTACTCTTTCTAGGATATTTCTGTTGACAATGATATCTTCCTTTAATTGGATTTTTGTTACTATATAACAAATATAAGCATTTTACAAATATAAGGAGACTTGAAGTTACTAAAACTAGACTTTAGAAGTTATGAGCAATAATTTGTGGTTGACTTTCATGTGTGTCTTTCAGTATTATAAACAGCTGCAGAAAGAATATATCAGTGATGACCACGACAGGAGTATCTCTGTGACTGCACTCTCAGTTCAGATGTTCACTGTTCCTACTCTGGTAAGCGTCAGGTATTTCCTTTCAGTCTTTCTAAGTAAGACTTAAAAATTTCACTTAAAGATTGATCAAGCAATAATTGAGCACTCTCTGCATGAGAACAATACTTTGATGCCTAAAGGACTAGATAATTAGGTGTTACTTTTGTCTAAAGGTCCCAATCCTTACAGCTTACATCCACTGTTCTCACTTTCTGGCTCCACTTTTTTCACATCAAAGCTTAAAAAACAAGCAAACCCCAAACTGTCCTGTTGTTCTTTATTTATTGTTGCTGGAGGGCAGCGGGGATCAGTAACATAAGATAAAATTAAGAAGGGACTGCTGTGCCTTTCAAGCATCTGTGTGAGATGGTGCTGCACAGGTCTGTAAGAAGAGAGCGGGGGTTTCTTTTTCCCTTTGTTTTTTTTTTAACTGCTTTTTGATATTTATTCTGGACAATTTGATAAAGTGCTTCTCCTTCCCCTTTTCCATATGTGAGAGAAATGATGAGAAGGGAAATTGGTTGAGGATGAGAAGGAGAGGCTAAGAAAGATAGTATGTTATGGAAATCTTTCTTTGTTTTTCCTTGCATATATTATGATTATGATGATAAACATTTACTAAATAAGCTGTATAGTCTGGATATGGGGTATCCAGGCACAAGATTTTTTTTTTACTTACTGAAAAGGACAGAGTTTTTCCCTTTAGAAAGTGACTATTTAGTAGTTGATATTTTGTGAGACTAAGCACTGTTTAATGCTCATTAAATATTTATTAGTAGATACCTACTGCCAGTCAGATGAATAAATAAATAAAGTTGATAGTATAATGTGTCAATCCTTAAAAATAATGTTCTTGGAATATTCTACAGGCTCGACATCTTATTGAAGAGCAGAACGTTATCTCTGTCATTACTGAAACACTGCTGGAAGTTTTACCTGAGTACTTGGACAGGAACAATAAATTCAATTTCCAGGGTTATAGCCAGGACAAACTTGGAAGAGTATATGCAGTCATATGTGATCTAAAGTAAGTTGTTGGAGTCAAAAGTGAGGGCACCCGTTTAACGGTGTGCTTATTTCAATTCAGAGTAAACCTTGTAAGTGAGTGAAGAATGATGATTGTTTAATGTTTTATTTCATTGCCTCTTCGAATCCGCAGTCTGCTTCCATGGATCAAAAATATTTGGAAAAAAGAATTGCATCTGTACTAAATATGTACAGACTTTTTGTTCCTGTTCTTCCTGGAATAGTACAATAAAACAACTATTTATATAACATTTACAATGTATTAGGTGTAATAAGTAGTTTAGAGCTGATTTAAAGTGTATAGGATAAGGTGGGCATTTTGCATAGCATTTAAGACACTGTTTGGGATGACTGCATATTGTCTCAAAGTGCTGGTTTTGGGTCTAGACTATAAGTAAAACAGTAGGATATACATAGTTTATATGTAACTGCTTAGAAACACAGCTCAGGCATCCTAGAACCAATCCCCACAGATACTAAATGGTACTGCATATGTGTTAAGGGAAGAATTCTTACTGAGTTATAAAAGTCAACTTAATAAGGAAGATAATGAGGGTGCCTTCAAAGAACTATGAAAAAAATGTGCATAGACTCAATATTTTCATACCAAAACACACTTCTTTTAATTTTTCTGTGAATTAAAAATCTTTTTAAATTTTACGTAAATCGGAGGACTAGGTTTCACCTACTTTTTCACTCTCCAAATGCTTGTAATGTCTGGCCAAATCAAAGCTTAGTGTCAGAAAATCAGATTTAAGCCAGGAACCCAGTCATTTAAGCCATCATCACTGCCGCCTGCAGGAAGCTAGAGCTGGGAGTTGGAGCTGGGTGTCTAACCCAGGTTCTTTGATGTTTGTCACAGGCATTGTAACTGCTTGGCTAAATGCCCGAAGCTTCTAAGGTATATTTGTAGATACCTTTTGTGACATGAACATGGGGACACCAAAGTATTCTGAGCAACCACTCAGTAGATACCATATAATTCAGTCTCATAAAGATGCCATGGAATTTTTGGGTGGGCTGCTGTAGGCCGCAGAGTCTTGCTTATTTTATCTCATTTAAGTCTTGATTATAAGGTAGGTGTTAAAATATTGATTTGTAGGTTATAATTACTGAAAAGTCATAAAAATAAGGGCAGAACTGGAATTTGTGCCCGGGGACTATTTGCCTGTCAAATTCATAATCCTTTTATAATACTTAAGGTAACCCTCACAGAAGACATAGGAGTGTACTCTGAAATATAGCCTGAAAATTTGTCAGAAATACCTTTGTTTAGCAAATAATTATTGGGCCCTATTTTATTGTTTTGTAGAAACTTTGCAGTCACATCTCATTTTTCTCTAATCACTTCTCTCATTGACTATTTCTTCTTGAAAACTAATTTAAGGGCCCAGTGTGATAGTGTAGTGGTTGAAGTCCTCGCTGTGCATGTGCCAGGATCCCAAATGGGTGCCAGTTCTAATCCCGGTGGCCCTGTTTCCCCTCCAACTCCTTCCTTGTGCCCTGGGAATGCAGTCAAGGACAGTCCAAGGCCATGGGACCCTGAAACCTGTATGAGAGACCCAGAAGAACTCCTGGCTCCTGGCTTCAGATCGGCTCAGCTCCAGCCGTTGCGGTCATTTGGGGAGTGAATCATCAGGCGGAAGATCTTCCTCTCTGTCTCTCCTCCTCTTTGTGTATCTGCCTTTCCAATAAAAATTAAAAAAAAAAAAAAGTAAACTAATTTACGCAAGTTCACAATCACCACTAATGCTTACTGTATTTTAGACTTCATAGTTTTCTGTAGTCAGCCATCTATTCTACTTCTCTGAATTGACTATATCTCTACAGGAGATATGTTTGTTGGTACTAGCTTATATTCTACCAGGAGACTCAGAGGAAGCTACTAGCTCCAGCCTGACCGAATCTTCCTGGCTGTTGTGGCCATTTGGGGAGTGAGCAGGTAAAGGATAGAGAAAGGGGGCAAACAGAGAAAGACTCTAGTTTTTCTTTCAAATAAATAAATAAATAAACTTTTAAAGTAACTCTCTTTCTATATATATATAATTTTTTTTTTTAATTGGGAAGGCGGATATACAGAGAGGAGAAGATAGAGAGGAAGATCTTCCATCCGATGGTTCATTCCCCAAGCTGCCATAATGGTTCGAGCTGAGCCAATCCGAAGCCAGGAGCCTCTTCCGGGTCTCCCACGCGGGCGCAGGGTCCCAAAGTCTTGTGCCGTCCTCGACTGCTTTCCCAGGTCACAGGCAGGGAGCTGGATGGGAAGGAGGGCTACTGGGATTAGAACCGGCCACCATTTGGGATCCTGGCACATGCAAGGGGAGGACTTTAGCTGCTAGGCTACCATACCCGGCCCGTAACAATATATTTCTAACACTCTAACCAGTTCCTGTGTCCCATTTGTGAAAAGTATGTGTTTTCTAAACCAAATTGCTCCTTTACATTCCCTCTGGGACTTAACCATATGCCTTTCTTACAGACTTTAGTGCTTGGCATTTGATTTCAGTGTCCACAATAGGTGTCTGTTTTCTCTGCTACACTTGGAAATTCAAGCACAGAATGAATCTTGTGCTTGTTTATGTTCTCAATATCTTATATAAGAGCCAAGTATTTTGATTGACTACAAATTAATTTTTCATAATTGTTAATGAATGCTTCCTAAGAAACAATCCCATGATAAACATTAGATGTGAAACCAGTCATTGTTTTTTTGGCCAAAAGAAATATTGATCTTGGGTGTCTCTCCCTCCTTTTTCAAGAGGCACCTCACCTCCTGGCTTTCCCTCCGGAGGTGCTTCCCCTTCCCTCTCCCTTCCCTGCTCACCTGGTCCCTTCGAAAATAAACTTTACTGTCTGCAACAGAAAAAAAAAATATTGATCTTATAAGTTGTAAGCTGAAATGAGTCTGTTTATCCTCTGAAGCTAGTATAGCCTGATGTGCAAGCCAGGGTGACATAGTTGTTTAGATCCTTCCAGGTACAGAGTCATGAGAGCCTGGAGGTAGGAAACTGATTCCAAACCCAGGGCTGGAAGAACTTGAGCTGGGCCTTTGAATGATGGGAAGTCTGCACTGTGATTTCCATGATTAGCTATGACAAGATGGGTTAGTTTTGGGTTCATTTTATCAAGCTAACTTCCGAGAACATAATGTGTAAGGAAATCAGGCTTAGCTTTGGTGTCTATTCCTTGTAAACCATTCACATTTTGTTGTTTATTTAAAGTAAAATAGACCAAAGGATTCTAACTCTGCCCAGAGAGTCCTAAGAAATTAGAATTTGTAATTTTGATAAATTAGCATTGTCTGTAACCTGGGAATCTTAAAATTACCTCAAAATAATGGAAGTGTTTCATTCTTTCTTGAAATAATAGATATATACTGATCAGCAAGCCCACAATATGGACAGAAACACTAAGACTGCAGTTCCTTGAAGGTTTTCGTTCTTTTCTGAAGATTCTTACTTGTATGCAGGTATGATAATTCTATATCAGTGAGAAAAATTTATTTTGAAAAATTCAAACCTGGTCCTTTAAATCCTTTAAGCCCATTGTATGAGCTTTATGTTATTTATTATACATGCCCACCTGTCACAGCAGTGTCAGTATTGGAACTTAGGCTGTGTAGAGAATGATAGCATTTGTGTTTTATGAACTGGTTGTTGCTCTGACGTTGGCCCTGGCCTCCCCATCGCCTTCCTGATGCCCAGTGTTTGGGAGGAGGCTGGCCATGACCTCCTTCCTGTGATAGAACCTCTTGTGTCCCTCCTTGGAGTATTTGAGGCAGTTTGTTGGTGCCTGGATCTCTTTGCCTAAGCAGTGTTGCAGTGTGGTTGGGAGACCAGTGCCTCCAACTGTCCGACCCAGCAAGACTACCTGTACTTCTCATGTGGGATGGCAGAGTCTGTCTCTCTGGACCTTGGAAGCTGCCTGCCCGCCTGGGCTCTTACATTCGTTTTCTTGGTTTGGAGGTCATGTGTGTGCCAACATTGCCTTGGCCCTCCAGTCTGTCCTGCTGTGTGATGAGGAGCCCCCCAGCCCTTGCATGCTGTATCATAGTGTCCGTTTCATGCCTCTGAGCAGTGAAGCTTTCTGCACACGGTGTCCTAAAGCTGTGTACATGAACCTGTGGAAGCGCAAATGCCGTGTATAGGTTTCCTAAGCTGTTTGTCATGGTGAATGCATTTTGTAACTCAAATGATGTTGTAGACTTGCAGTCTTTTATTTATTTTGTACCAGTTTATTTGTAAATTCTGTAGTTGTTTTTAAACTGTTTTGTTTGTTCTATTGAGATAAATTATCTTTCTGCTCAAAAAAAAGTTTAAACCTGGTCTTCTTTGAAATCTTCTTTTGAAAACAAGTAGGTTTTTTGTATGAGGAAGAATTTATCAAGCAAAGCAGAAATAAGATTGAAACACTGACCTGCAGCTGCTTTCATGTATTTTCCATATATTTTAGTTTACTACTGCTGTTTATGTGTCAAATGCTCACATGTGATTAGGATGTACCAAGCATTTTACATGCGTTTTCACTCTTGATCTTTTATGGCAACCTTATTCTAGTTATGGTTATTATTCCCTTTTTACTTACAAGGGAACTAGAGCTTAGATGTATTTCACAGAAATAGCTAGAAATTCCAGCTGGGAATTGCGATCAGATGTTCTACTCCTGAGCTGTACCCCTGAGAGCTGGGAATTAAATTCTGGGAATTAAATTCTACATATTCTGACCTGATGAAACAGCCATGTTTAAATACTTTGTATATGTAAATGTGAATCCTGGCAGTTTTGCATATTGTCAGTAGAAAAGTAAAGAAAATGGGCCATATGCATTCGTGTTGACTAATCTTTTCTTGTAGGGAATGGAAGAAATCAGAAGACAGGTTGGACAACACATTGAAGTGGATCCTGACTGGGAGGCTGCCATTGCTATACAGATGCAACTGAAGAATATTTTACTCATGTTCCAAGAGTGGTGTGCTTGTGATGTAAGAATTTGTTGATGGGATTGGTGCCTTTTAAATGCTGTAATAGTTTTTATAATATAATTTTATGTTGTGGCTTCTTTCATGAAAACTTTTATTTATACAGTCTCATATTTAAAGCTAGTCTTATCTGATTTTTAGGCAGAAAATCTAATTTCCTATACCTAATTAAAAGTAATGTGTCTCGCAGTAATTTTGCTTATTTTGAGGAATTGGTCTGAGTTAAAATAAAAACATGTTTATAGTCACATGCACATTTGTTTCTTGGAAAATGAATATTAATAATTATTAATGGAAGTACATGGACTTTTAAATATTTGAAGAATGGAGAGGAATAGATACATATTGAGTCAATAGCTTTGTTATATTGTCAATCCATTGAGGAAATTAATTTCAAAATACAGAAGTAGCAGTGGACCTTTCATGTAGTGATTAAGACACAAGTTAGGATAAGATGCTCATGTCCCATGATACAGGGTCTGGGTTTGCTACTGGATCAACTCTTGACTCTAGTTCTCTGCTAATGTGGGACCTGGCAGGGAGCAGTAGTGGTTCCTGCTACCCGTGTGGGAGACCTGGCTTCAGTTCCTAGCTATTTTTTTTGGCCCTAGCTGGGGACTGTTGGCAGACGTTTGGAGGATGAACCAGTGGATTGAAGTTCTTTCTTTCTTTCTTTCTTTCTTTCTTTCTTTCTTTCTTTCTTTCTTTCTTTCTTTCTTTCTTTCTTTCTTTCTTTCTTTCTTTCTTTCTTTTCTTTCTTTCTTTCTTTCTTTCTTTCTTTCTTTCTTTCTTTCTCTCTCTCTCTCTCTCTCTCTCTCAACTAAACAAAGGTTTTTAATGTATTTCCTTGAGTAGTTATTTTAGACCATAACTCTCTAAACATAATCTCACTTCAGCTTCCCTTTTGAGAAGGTGATCTCATTAATTTTGTTTTACAGAAAATTAAGATGATCTGAGTGAAATTCCTTTTAGATTCTCTGTACCTGGACCATAATCTGTTCATTGACTATGTTCCTCTGTCCTTAAGTGTTGGTCTCGTTTTTGTGTCTTTCTAGCACAGCATCTGCCTAGACTCTTGGTTCAGCTGTCACTATGCTTTTCTTGTACTCTGCCTCCTTAATTGTCTTCACTTAGGTTTCCTATAAATGCACAGAATTCCTCTTTCCTTAAAACACCCGTCACAAAGCTTCCTTCCTTTATCATCTGTGAACTGTCTTCTCTCTCTTTTTCCATCCCCTTCTGCTTTGCCACCAGCAGTCAGTCACAGATTCAGAGTGGTAGTCTGACAGGTGCAATGTGCTTGAAAGAAAGATTGTCTAGTGATTACAGTATGTGTTTTTTCCTTCCCTTCACCCTTGTTAGGGACACACATAATTGCTGGAAGAGGGGATGAAGTGTTTATTGTTCATATGCACATCTCCTAAAGCTTCTCAAGTCATTTACATTTACTGTCTTCACTCACTAGCTCCGAATATTTCTTTAGTGTCTGATTCTGCCCTTAGTGATTGACAAATTATGTTTCCAAAAGAATCTCAAGGGATCCATTTAATAGCCGATTTTTTTTTCATTCTTGTATTTGACTTTCTGTAGCCTTGCGTTCAGTAAAATACATTCACCTTCTTAAACCCTTTTCCCCTTTAATTGTGACAAATCTGCATTATCCTAATCTATCAATGGTTAGCCATTTCAGTCAGTAATGCTTCCCCATTCTTCGTGCTTGCCAAGTAAGACATTTCTTTAATATTCTTTTCCTTACAGATCTTTTGTTTCTTGCACTAAGTGAAGTCTTCAAGAAATGACTCTTCTAAGCTGTAGTATTACTTCTGTTTGTAGTCCTACTCAGCTCTTAAACTAATTTTTCAACCTCAGAATGTCTTAAATTGATTTGCTCCCATTTCCTTTCATTTCCAATTTGTATTTTCTCATTGACTTCCATTGTTCTAATGATACTATTATTAATACATCTATTCATACAGGAAATCTTAAAGCTGCAATGTTTTGTATTTGATATCAATAGAAGTTTTGAGAGGAAAAAATTTCTTGTAAGGTTGGGAAATTTAGGATTGAACAAAACAGAATCTTTCTAGGCCACTATATTTTAAGTCCTTTAATTAGTGTGATAATTCTAAGGAGAATGTTCCAACATGTATTTGAACCTGGGATTCTTTTTCAAGGTAAAAACCAGTGTGAAGAATAATTTTCTCAAGAGAGTGATTTTTTTTTTAAGAGAGATTTTATTTTTGTTTGAAAGGTAGCGTTTCTGAGAGAGAGAGAGAGAGAGAGAGAGAGAGCGCGCACGCGCGCGTGCGCTTTGTATCTGCTGGTCTACCTCTCTAAATGGTCTCAATGGCCTGAACTGGGCTGGTCTGAAGCTAGGAGCCAGAGTCTGTTCCAAGTCTCCTGTGTGGGTGTAGTGGCTGAAACACTTACGCCGTCCTCTGCTACTTTCCCAGACCATGAGCAGGGAACTGATTTGGAAATGAAGCTGCTGGGACTCCAACGCAGTGTCCATATGGAATGCTGGTGCTGCAGGTGGAGGATTAGCGTGCTACCACACTGCACCGGTTCAGAGAGTGACCTTTGACTCTTCTTTCTTCTGTCATACTTACCCAAGTGTGATACTTCTTAAACCAAAACTTACTTTATAATCCTAATTTATTTTCTGTGAACTCATTAGTTACTATCCTAATTGTTTCACTCTAGTTTTGAGTTTTAGCCCTCACATGTACATTTTATAGTAGAGTTCTATAGATTTCCTATCTTCTAACTTCAAACACATTTTTGAAAAAGTGTGTTGACTGTATTATCACGTTAGACACCATCTGTGTACTCATATCACAATTCCAAAGAAATATTTCTACGTTAATTGCTGCTTAATTCTATCCCTAAATTCTACAACTTACCTAGATTTTATTCTTTCTACTGCCTGATCAGGAGTTGTGGTTTTTCTTATTTTTAGCTTTTTTCTACACATCTACTTTGCTGTAGTGCTACCTTTTTCTTGTCTTTCCCTGACCTGAACTTCAATTATGTATATTTTTTAGAACCCACTCAAAAGCTACTGAAACATTTTTCTAATTGTTTGTGATCCTTTTCTTTATCTTGTTAAGGCAATTAGTTTATGCTATTTAAACAATACAAAATTTTACATTGATTATATGTGTATGTTTCTTATATTTCCTGTTGCTTTGCAGATCCTATCAAGGTAGCCCTAGCTTTATGTAGAATAATTTTGTGCTCATATTTAGTAAGTATTGAATAATCAGTGGTAAAGTAGGTAACTTGTTCTCTTTTATTTTTCCTTTTTTTTTTTTTTTTTGCCTTTTTTATTTTCCTTTTAGGAAGAACTGTTACTAGTGGCTTATAAAGAATGTCACAGAGCTGTGATGAGGTGCAGTACAAGTTTCCTGTCAGGTAGCAAGACAGTAGTGCAATTATGTGGTCATACTTTGGAAACTAAGTCCTACAGAGTGTCTGAGGATCTTGTAAGCATACACCTGCCACTCTCTAGGACTCTTGCTGGTGAGTTTTATTTTTTGCTTTGTGTGTATTTCTGGTTGCTTTGTTTTCCACATATTCTGAGTGGTAAAATCACTTCTGTTCTGGTTCTGTGCTTACTTTGTGCAGACATGCTTATTCCAGGCAGAAAACTGTAGTTGCAGCTGCCACCATCCTAATAGCTGTCACCAGATGGCTGTCTAAGGATGCTTGTGCACCTAAAACTTTTTAGTCTGGTCCGCTAATGGATCGTTACAGTCTGCACTTTAGGACTAATGTAGTAACTCATCTCTCACTCAGGATTAACTGATCAAACCTTGTGACTAGATTCTGATCCTGCTTCCTACCTAGTGTATTGTCTGTGTCACTGTTTCTTCATCATTAAAAGAATGAAATCATTGATTTTCTTTAGGCATTTGAATTTCCATATTAGTTGATCCTTCATCTGTTGGTCTTTCTTTTTTTTTAAATAACCTTATTGAATGAAGTATTTTTAATGGTAAAATATATATAACAAAAATTACCTATTCATCTCTTGAGCCTTTTCATCTTCCAAAAATGAAACTTGTAAATCTTAAATATATTATTATTAGTAATAATAACGATACCCTGCTCCTCCAGTGTACACACACCACCTGTGGCAACTAACATTCTATTTTCTGTCTAAAGATTTGACTACTGCAGTACCTATTACAAATTACCTATTACTTATTACTTTTTTTTAACCTTAGTTCACTTAGCATAGCATTCTCAGCTCTGGTTTATGTTGTTGTATGCGTATTAGAATTCTCTTTTTAAGGCTGATAATATTCCAGTGTATCTATATGCTACATATTGTTCCTTCATCAATTGATGGACACGAGTCATTTCCACAATTTGGCCATTGGGAATAATACTGCTAATTTAATTCCTTTGGATGTGCATCCAGAAATACAATTGTAGAATCATATGGGAATTCTCCTATTTTATGGATTGCCTTTTTACTATACTATGTTGGTGATATTCTGTGATGCACAATAATGTTTGAAGTGGTCCAATTATTGCCTATGTGTTTGATCTAAGATATCATTATGAAATTTAATGTCATAAAGCTTTTTCCTTTGTGCTTTAAGAGTTCTATAGTTTTGGCTCCAGTTTTTACATCTTTTATCTATTTTTTTTAATATATTTTTATTTTGATATCTGAAATATGTGGTACACTTTTATGTAGGCTGAGATTCCCCGTTTTTTTTTTTATTATCTATAATTGCTATTATGACTTTTGTGTTGCTTCTATTTTTATTTAAAAAAATCTTAGATTTCATTTATCTTGATTCTTAAGAGCAAAGTAAGCATATTTTAATGGTGGAATTTTTTTTTAAGATTTATTTTATTTTTATTGGAAAGACGGATATTCAGAGATGAGAGACCGGTAAGATCTTCCATCCGATGATTCACTCCCCAGGCGGCCGCAACTGGCCACAATAGCTGGAGCTGAGCCAGTCCGAAGTCAGGAGCCTCTTCTGGGTCTGCCATGCGGGTGCAGGGTCCCAAAGCCTTGGGCCGTCCTCGACTGCTTTCCCAGGCCACAGGCAGGGAGCTGGATGGGAAGCGGGGCTGCTGGGATTAGAACCGGCGCCCATATGGGATCCCGGGCGTGCAAGACAAGGACCTTAACCACTGCACCATCACGCCGGGCCTTTTTTTTTTTAATATTATTTTTATATAATATGACCATACCTGGCACAATGTAAGATTTTAAATATTAGGAGATTTCAAAAGAAGGAGCTGGTGGTGTTTGGCAGAGCATCTTGGAGTGTCCACGTCCCATATGAAGTGTCTGGACTGTAGTCCCGCCTCTGCTGCTCATTCCAGTTTTTTGCTAATACATACCCTGCAAAGCAGCAAGCTCAAGTCGTCGGATTGTGTCCTTCACGTGGGAGACATAGATTGAGTTCCATGCTGCAGGCCTGAGCCTGGCCCAACCCAGCTTTGGCTATTCCAGGCCTTTGGGGATAATGTAGCAGATGGAAAATCTCTCTCAGTCTCTGATTTTCAGAGGAAAATAAGTTTTAAAGTTCATGGATAAAATAAGGAGTTAAATTTATTTTCATCAAAAAAATTTTTTAATATCCCTGGATAGTTTTTTCTCTTCATATGCATTCTTGGTGAACATTTTTTAAAAAAACAAAAACCTGTTTTCATCTTCTTGGGAAGGAGAATGACAGAGAAAGATGAAAAAAGAACTCGTCCATCCTCTGATTTCACTCCCCAAAAGACTGCAATTGCCAGGGATAGGTCTAAGTATGCATTTAGAAGGAAGATGAATCAGAAACAGAGCAGCCATGATGCAAAGCAGCATTCTGATAGGGAATGCAGGTGTGTAGAGTCACAGCCTAACCTGCTATGCCACAATCACAACTTACTTCCACCCCCTCCAAACACAAACTTTTTGAACACCCCTTGTAGATTGGTAATATATTTCTAAATCAGGTGTCATTAATTTTGCATTTTAGAATGTCATATCATATATTCAAATCACTCAAGTTGTCATATTTGTTCACTACTAAATTGAGTAAGTTTAAATGTTTTCTCATGTTTTCCTTTTTGAATTTAGGTCTTCATGTACGATTAAGCAGGCTGGGTGCTGTTTCAAGACTACATGAATTTGTGCCTTTTGTAAGTGATTCTGCTAATTGCTGATTTGCTTTAACTCTGTTTCTGAGTACTTCTTAGTTGATGACTGGGAAAGAAAATATTCTGAAACTCGCTGAGTAATTGTCTTTTGCATTTTCTAGTCTATCTCAATTATAACTGCATATGATACATTGAGCTTTGAGTCCCAAGGACTTGGAAGACATTTAGGTCAAGCCCTTCAATTTTATAGAGGAGGAAACTAGGAAATATGTGCTGGGGTAACTGAGACACACCCAAGTTCTGTAAGAAATGATGAAGTTGGCCTCACTCTGTTTCAGGAGGACTTCCAAGTAGAGGTACTAGTGGAATATCCTTTGCGTTGCTTGGTGTTGGTTGCTCAGGTTGTTGCTGAGATGTGGCGAAGAAATGGACTGTCTCTCATCAGCCAGGTATACTAAGGTCTACTGTTTATATTTGTCAGTGTGTTTTGTCATTTCCTAAACATTTTAGATGTAATTTTACCCTGAAAGCATTTTGCTAAGAATTTATTTCTGTTCTTTAGAATAAATTTTTAGATGTAAAAATTCTGGGGATCCTATAGCCATTTCTCCTTTTAACCTATTCACTTGAAGGTCTTTACTCTTCCCATGTAACTCAGTCAGATGCTGGCTTACAATTTTTTGTCAGAGCTTTTCTCAATAGGTAGAAAAGCAGAACCTGTAAATTACTACTTAGAGCAAAAATGGTGTTAAGAATTAATATAGAATATTACTTACTTTTTATTGGGAAGTATTTTAAATAAATACTTAAATAAATAAAATAGGAGTAAATAATTCCCTTAGGTTCTCATCTTTCTCATCTACCTTTTATTTTATAGGTGTTTTATTACCAAGATGTTAAGTGCAGGGAAGAAATGTATGATAAAGATATCATCATGCTTCAGGTACCCCATCAAGTTACATTAAAATACTCTTTTTTTTTTTAATTAATTAATTTTTATTGGAAAGGCAGATATATAAAGAGGAGGAGAGACAGAGAGAGGAACATCTTCACTCCCCAAGTGACCACAACGGCTTATCGGCTGGAGCTAAGGCAATCCAAAGCCAGGAGCCAGGAGCTCTTCTGGGTCTCCTACGTTAGGTGTAGGGTCCCAAGGCTTTGGACCATCCTTGACTGCTTTTCCAGGCCACAAGCAGGGAGTTGGATGGGAAGCAGGGCCACCGGGATTAGAACCAGCGACCATATGGGATCCTAGCTTGTGCCAAGGCGAGGACTTTAACTACTACACTATTGCCCTGGGCCCTGAAATATTCTTTGTAATAAGAGAGGATATTGTATTAATTTTTATATGAAATTTTCTTTCCATTAAACTGAAAATATGAGATGCAGTACTACTATATTATCTTCTGAAAATTTATTACTAATTTTCTTGCAGTGTTAACAGAGGCAAAATGTGTCTTCATTTAGTACATAGAAAAAGTGATGCAGTATTTTTTTTAAACAGATTGGTGCCTCTTTAATGGATCCCAACAGATTCTTGCTATTGTTACTTCAGAGGTATGAACTTGCAGAGGTTTTTAACAAGACCATATCCACAAAAGATCAGGTAAGCAACAGAGATTTATAGGCAAATTAATTCCAAAAGAAGTGTTAAAGTTTGTTTAGTAAACTTCTAAAAAGCATACAAATGTTGTAGGCATTGTGGCATACCCGGTTAAGCCACTGCCAAGGGCTCCCCACATCTTAAACCAGACTGTCTTTTCAAGTCTTGGCTGCCCTGCTTCCAATGCAGATTCCTGTTAACGTGTCCTGCGGTGCAGCTGTTGGCTCTCAAGGGCTTGTGTCCTTGCTACCCACATGGAAAATCTAGACGAGGTTCTAGGCCGCTGGCTTTGGCCTGGTGCAGCCCCAACTGTGGTAGGAATTCCTTTCTGTCTCTCTTTCTTCCTCTCTCTCTGCACTTGTAATAGATGAAAAAATAAATTTCTGAAACCTCATATATACTGTATCATGGATATTTTAAATATGTACACACATTTTTTATACTATAAAATTAAAATATGTAAGTTAACAGAGAGGAAAAGAAAAAATTACATAAATACTCTTTAAAAATAATCACATTTCCAAGTTGCTGTCTTTTTTTTAAGCAGGTAATTTTTTTTAAGGTTTATTTTTATTAGCAACATTGACAGAGAGAAGGAGAGACAGGAAGCAGGTTCCATCCGATGGTTCACTCCCCACATGACTGCAGCAGCTGGAGGTGAGCCCATCCAAAGCCAGGAATGAAGAGCTTCTTCGTGTCTCCCACATGTGTGCAAGGTCCCCAGGCCTTTGAGCCGTCCTCTACTGCTTTCCCAGGCCATAAGCAGGGAGCTGGTTGGGAAGTGGAGCAACCGGGATACAAACTGGTGCCCATGTGGGAACCTGAGACTTTCAAGGGAGAGGATTAACTAATGAGTCATCATGCCGGGCTTGTTGTGTATTATTCTGTGTATACTATTTTGTAATCTGCTTTTTGTACAGAATTCAGATTCACAAATTACAGATTCACAGAATATTGTCATGGGTTTCTTTTAGTCATTAAGTAAGTATTTTTTGCTTTTTTTCTAAAAATACAGAAGTCTTATTTTAATTATTATTTATTGATTATTTGAAAGAGTTACAAAGAGAGAAGGAGACAGAGGACAAGATCTTCCATTAGTTGGTTCACTCCTCACATGACTGCAGTGGCCAAAACTGAGTCCGACCAGAGCCAGGAGCCCAGAACTTCTTCCAGGTCTCTCACATGGATGCAGGGGCTCAGGCTTTTGAGCCATCTTCTGCTGCTTTTCCAGGAGCACTGGCAGGGAATTGACCGGAAATGGACCAGTTGGGACTGCCACAATGCTGACCCCAGCATCATTATTTTTACGACTATTATGTGCTAGTCTACTATTGCTGAAGATTTCTCTTAATTTGGTCATTATATGATTATCTGTACCTTATGGTTTTTTTTATTTTTAAGATAAATTGTTAGATTAATTGGGTAAAACAGCATGTTCTCATTTATGGCTGTCAATACATATAATCTAATTGTTTTCAGGAAAGTTATTTCTGTTTAACCTCTCTTTATGCTGTGTGTCCATCTGTAAGAACATGGTATTTTTAATCTTTTGATCTAACAAAAATAATATGTTAGCAGTTTATTATTAATGAAGTTAATCATGTTTTCATTATCAGGCTAATTTTTTTCCCCCTGTTGTCATTAATCATGTGTTCATGTTCCTTACTTTTTTCTGGTTTTGGAAAAACGTCTTTTTTTTTAAGACTTATTTATTTTTTTTGGAAATTCAGATATACAGAGAGGACGATCTTCCATCTGATGATTCACTCCCCAAGTCGCTGCAACAGCCAGTGCTGCACCGATCCAAAGCCAGGAGCCAAGAACTTCATCCAGGTCTCCCATGCAGGTGCAGGGTCCCAAGGCTTTGGGCCGTCCTTGACTGCCTTCCCAAGCCACAAGCAGGGAGATGGTTGGGAAGCAGGGCTGCCGGAATTAGAACTTGTGCCCATATGGGATACCAGCATGTTCAAGGCAAGGACTTTAGTTGCTAGGCCTCAGCACCAGGCCTGGAAAAACTTCATCTTTAGAAAGGATACTAACTCTATACTTAACTGCATTTGTTAATTTTTTTACAACTTGTGATTTGTTTCATGATAATGGTTTTATTTGTTTTAAAGATTTTATTTATTTATTTGAAAGGCATGGAGACAGAGAGATGAATAAGTAGAGAGAAAGAAATGTTTCTGCTGAATCATTTCCCAAATGGTCAAAACCACTGGAACTGGGCCAGGGGAAACCTAGGAGACTGAACCTCCATTCAGTTCTCTCACATGTGTCGCCGTGCTGCGACACTAAAATGACAAGGAATCTCGAGGCCTGGAACCGCCACCACAAACGGCACACACACACTGAACGAACACTCGAACTGGATAGGCCGGTAGAATCGCTAGCCTATCCCTGTGACTTCCTGTTTACCTGCTGGGAAGACAAATCCCACATCCTGGCCCTCAGCCAGGCGCCATCTTGCTGCGGCCCCTCATACACGTGGGGTCAGATGCTCCCCACAACATGGATACCAGGAACCCAGTGCTTTCCCAGGTGTTTCAGCAGAGAGCTAGATTGGAAGTGCAGCAACCGGAACTGGAACTGGTGCTCTAATGTGGAAGACTATGGTTGCAGACAGTGGCTATAACCTGCTGGACCAAAAAATCTGCCCCTGTTTTAATATCTAAAATACCAGCCTAGGGTCCGGCACAGTGGTCTAGCTAAAATCCTCACCTTGAACATGCTGGGATCCTATATGGGTCACCGGTTCTAATCCCGGCAGCCCTGCTTCCCATCCAGCTCCCTGCTTGTGGCCTGGGAAAGCAGTCAAGGACAGCCGAAAGCCTTGGGACCCTGCACTTACGTGGGAGACCTAGAAGAGCTCCTGGCTTCGGATTGGAGCAGCACAGCGCAGCACCGGCCGTTACAATCACTTGGGGAGTGAATCATCGGATGGAAGATCCTCCTCCCCCTCTTTCCTACTCGCTATATATATCTGACTTTGCAATAAAAATAAATAAATAAATCTTTAAGAAAATACCAGCCTATAAAGTAGGTTTTTAACCTGTGAAGTCACATTACCGTTTTAGACTAGAAGCTACCAAATAAAGACCAAAAATCAAAATGAAATAGAAGCTAAATTTTAATTTTAATCCTTAGTGAAATTAGTGAAATTGAATATCTGATACGATAAAGCACTTAGATATGTGTTAGGGGTCAGTACTGTATTTGAAGTTAGTTTCTCACTAACTCAGGTAAGAGGGAAGCCAGCAGCAGAGGAAGAGTTAGAAATTAGAATTAGTTTATTGGCTTAAGACAAGTGTGTGGTGAAGAGTGAATACAAATACAATGACAGCATGTGCTGTTTATTGCTGAGTTCTTACAGTGTGTTAGGTATTGTAAATTTTGTTGGGTTTGATGTCAAAAAAGAAAGCTATCATATAACTATCTATTGCTGTTATGAAAGAAAGTCCTGGACTGGATGGACCACGAGTATGATCCAGAAATGCATGATTTATGAAAGCTTTTAGTTCTTATGTAACTAATTTTTTCTTTTTCAATTCTATAGGATTTGATTAAACAATATAATACGTTAATAGAAGAAATGCTTCAGGTCCTCATCTATGTTGTAGGTAAGATTAAAGCAAAGAAAATGTTTTGAAACAGTACATGGGTTATTCTTTATAGAGAACCTTAATAGTTACATAATTAATAGTTTTGTTCCTATTTCACATACAGCATAGAATACTAGTTAGAGGTTAATGTGATAGATAAAATTAAAACTTAGCCAGATCTTACATCTTTATTTTTTGTTACTTGATTTGTAACTTTTGGACTTATTTGGAGATCTGGTATTTAATTATCTCAGACAGAAATGTGTATTTTAAGAGATTTCATTTAGTGCTAAAAATTTTATGTATGTTTGAAATTTAAACATAGCAGTTCTAAGGAAAATGTATCTCCAGTGTGTCATTGTTAAATTACTTGTCCATTCTTAGCTTAATGATTACTTAGAAAAAGGAAAAAAGAATGTTCGTTGCCAAAAAGATTTTTCCTAAGTTACTTATGGCATTGCCCATTAGACATATGTTTTACAATTCAGGTGAAATTAAGTGTTTATTGAAGAAACAGATTCTAATGTATTGTGTCCCAATATACACCATATAATAGCATCTAATGATTTTATCTGCTGGGCATAATCTTTTTTTGCCATCATATGTTCTCAGCTTCTCATTCTTGTTTTTGTTATTTACTTTACTGAACCAGACATTTGTTTTAATTCCTAGTAAGGATTTTACCCATTATCTAAATCTGTAAAGATTTATTCATTTTATTTTATGTTCATTAGAGACATTTTTTATTTACTACCTGCTAATTTAGGAGAAAGTATAGTAAGTCTTTATTGCTGTGTGAGACAAAATTTCCAGGCTGTTAGTTCTTTCTGTCAGAATGTTCTAGTAGGAAACTGAAGGGGAAAAGATGGATATTTTTAAAATATGTGGAAATTTTTAATGCTGATTGTATACTTTATTGAAATATAAAAAATAGAGAACTTTTATGTTTCTCCTTAGGAAATTATATGAAGAGTTTCCAATTGTACTTTAATTTTACTGTTTTTACTTTTTTTTTAAATTCATTTTATTGGAAAGTCAGATATACAGAAAAGAGAAGAGACAGAGAGGAAAATCTCCCTTCCAATGATTCACTCCCCAAGCAGCCACAATGCCTGTAGTTGAGCCAATCCAAAGCCAGGATCCTGGAGCCTCTTCTGGGTCTCCCACATGGGTATAGGGTCCCAAAGATTGGGTCATGCTCAACTGCTTTCACAGACTACAAGCAGGGAGCTGGATGGGAAGTGGAACTGCTGGGATTAAAACTGGCACCCATATGGGATCCCAGTGCATCCAAGTGAGGACTTCAGCTGCTAGGCTACAGTGCCGAGTCCAACTGTTTTACTTTTTGCTATCTTACTATGGCTACTATTATTTTACTATTTTTGGGTGTCTTCCATATGGTTTGATTTTTTTCTTTTTAGTTAACATTTGGTAGATTTCAGTGTAAGTTCAGATTTGTCTAAAAGAATTTTAATATATGATTTTTTAAAAAAGATTTTATTTATTTTTATTGGAAAATCAGATTTATAGAGAGAAGGAGAGATGGAAAGAAAAGTTTTTCATCCATTGGTTCATTCCCCAAGTGGCTGAAATGGCTGGAGCTGAGCCAATCTGAAGCCAAGAGCCAGGAGCTTCTTTTGGGTCTTCCACATGGTTGCAGGGTCCAAAGGCCTTGGGCCATCCTGCACTGCCTTCCCAGGCCAGAACAGGAAGCTGGATGTGAAGTAGAGCAGACGGGATAGAAACTAATGCCCATGTGCAATCCCAGTGCAAGCAGGGTGAGGACTTTAGGTAGTAAGCTATTGCACTGGGCCCTAATATCTGATTTTATAATGGTAAAGACATTAAGTAGAAAAAAATTTAGATTAGGAATTAAGATCTAGTCTTGGCCATGTTGTCACTATCAAGAACATATGCCACTTGAACTGTTTGAGCTTTAGATTCCTGATTTATAAAATGTAGGTGTAATCTACATAGTCCCTAAGATCCTTCCAGCACTGAAATTCTAGTAAATACTGCTTCTGACCCAAGAAAAAGCTATTGCAAAGTACTGTACAAATATAAACATGAGTCTTGGAAACAAGGTCATTTAACTACATGATTATTTGACAGATTAGTACTATCAGTGAAGTCTCTTACGCAAGGAGTTTCTTTGTAACCTGCTCGTAAATATCATAGGTGTTTGTACAAATGTTGTAGGATTGAGTCAACATAAAGCCAGGTGTTGTATTCCTTCTCGAGGCACTGAGAATTAGGTGATGTCACCACTAAAATTCCCTAAATAATGATTTGTTTCCTAACTTCATTTGACAGTTTATTATTATGATTTTTTAAAGAAAATGAAAACTTGACCATAATAGGCAATTTGGCAGCACTATTCCATCCCGATACATATGACTGTTTTGATATTTAACCCATAAGGACATTTTTTCAGTAATTTGTTTTTTAGTTTTCATTTTGTTTGTTAGAAAACAAGTAGAGACATAATTGAAAAAGATCTTGAAAGGAAAGTTATTAAGTGATGGCCATTGCTCATCAGATGCTATCTGTATTGCTTCTGGATTAGGAAGGAGCACATGCTAATTTAGTCGAGAGGCCTTGTCTGTAATATCTGAGCATGTGTATGTGTTTATAAGTAAGACATGGAATCTTTCTCAGGTCAATTCAGCATTCTCCTTTTGTCTGTCAGCAGATAAGTTCTTATTCAGATTTAGGAACATGTCTAAATACTTTTCCATCTCCTCTCATAGACTTAATTTACTGCACTGTTCTGTATATGTATATTCCTGGTGGGAAGATGTTTAAATAGAAAACAATTTCTTTTTCTTTCCATTGTTTGTATTAGGTGAGCGTTATGTGCCTGGGGTTGGAAATGTCACTAAAGAAGAAGTCACAATGAGAGAAATTATTCACTTGCTTTGCATTGAACCCATGCCACACAGTGCCATTGCCAAAAATTTACCAGAGAATGTGAGTCCTGTGTTATTTTTTCTTTATTCACCCTGAGATGGCATGGTTTTTTCCTTAACTGGAAGATGCTTCAGATTTCTGACAGAGTTTGTCTAACCGAAATCCCTATGTTGCTACCTTGTAGATGTAATGCAATTACCTTCATCCTGTAGTCATATAAGATTTTTTTCTGAGTGAAACTTCTTTACTTTTTATATTCTTAAACTAAGATTTCTCCAAAGAAGCAGAGTGCTGCATGAAATAATGAGATTGTACATATAGTGCATTAATCTGGGTGTTTTGAGAAGAAGATCTCATGGTTAAAGCATTAAAATTTTATTAGAGAAAATTATGGGACAATAGGGAAACCTATGGTAATGAAAATACTGTTGAAGTTCAAGTCCTGGTGAAACAGGGGTGATTAAATGGAAGTGTTTCAGACTGTTGGACATTGGCAGTTTCCTCTGTCATGCTGCGTGAGCCTATATTTTATCTGGGTGTAGCCCTTAAGAAGATTGGCCTGGGGCCCAGCGTATTGCCTCAGATGACTAATCCTTCACCTCTAAGCACTGGGATCCCATATGGAGGCTGGCTTGTGTCCTGGCTGCTCTGCTTCCCTTGCAGCTCCTTGTTTATGGCCTGGGAAGGAAGTAGGGGTTACCCAAAGCTTTGGAACCCAACACTTACATGGGAGACCTGGAAGAACTCCTAGCTCCTGGTTTTGAATGGGCTCAGCTCCAGCCAGCCCAGCCATTTGGGAAGTGAACCAGCAGATGGATACTGCTTCCTCTCTCTCCCCACTGTAAATCTGATCTTCCTTTCAAAAATAATAATTGTTTTTTAATATTTAACTTTTTCAAGATTTATTTATTTTTATTGGAAAGTCAGATATACAGAGAGGAGAGACAGGGAGGAAGATCCTCCATCCGATGATTCACTCCCCAAGTGGCTGCAATGGCTGGAGCTGAGCCAGTCCGAAGCCAGGAGTCCCCTCCAGGTCTCCTAAATAGGTACAGTGTCCCAAAGTCCTGGGCTGTCCTCGACTGCTTTCCCAGGCCACAAGCAGGGAGCTGGATGGGAAGCAGGGCTGCCGGGATTAGAATCTGTGCCCATATGGGATCCTGGGAGTGCAAGGGGAGGACTTTAACCATTACATTACCACACCAGGCCCAAAAATAATAAATCTTTAAAAAAAAAAAAAAGATTGGCCTCATTGTCACCAGAGCACAGCTAATGGCACATGGTAATTTACTTTCCCAATGAGAAACTACAAGGTGGATTGTTATTTTCTTTTAGTGATTTAGTTATTTTTATTGCAAAATCAGATATATGGAGAGGAGTAAGACAGAGAAGATCTTCCATCCGCTGATTCACTCCCCATGTGGATGCAACGGCCAGAACTGAAGAGCTCTTTGGTCTGAAGCCAGGAGCCAGGAACTTCCTCTGGGTCTCCCAAACAGGTGCAGGGTCCCAAGGTTTTGGGCTGTCCTCTACTACTTCCCTAGGCCACAAGCAGGGAGCTGGTGGGAAGTGGGGAAGACAGAACATGTACTGGTGCCCATATGGGATCCCGGTACGTGCAAGGAACCAGGGCTGGCACAAAGTTGACTCTAATAGCCAGCACATATAGTATTTGTTTTTATATATGAATACTGAAGTGATAGGCCTGAAGATTTGCCTCTTGTTTTATTTGAAAGACAGAGTTACAAGGAGAGATAGAGATATATCTGCCCTCTGTTGTTCCCTTATCAAATGGCTACAGTTGCCAGAGTTGGTCCCTATCAAAACCATTGGTCTCAAAATTCTTCTGGTCTCTGATGTAGGTAGCAGGGGCCCAAGCACTCCATTCATTTTCCAGTTCTTTCCCAGGTCCATTATCAGGGAGCTGCATTGGAAATAGAGCAACTGATATTCAAACTGGTATTCATCTAGGATGCTATCATTGCAGCAGTAGCTTAGCCCACTGTGCTACAATGCCTGCCCAGTCCTAACAATTTTTTGCATCTCATGTTTTAAACTTGAAATTTGGGTATGAATTAGAAAGTTTTATTTTGTAGGGAAACAATTACACTGCTGTTGTTAAGGCATTTCAGAAAGCTGAAATAGATATATGCTGTAACTTCTGGTCATATCTGTCTATTCCTAGATTATTTTTGTCTTTTTCCAGTTTAACTGTTAGTAATTCTCAATTTATAGTCATTTGGCATATCACCTTTGTAATGTTTGCTTAGCCATCTCACACATTATAAACAAGGCCTCTCAACTAAATTAGGTTTTCATTACCAATTACATATTTCCCAGCATAGCTATGGAGTAATAATCTAATTTTTTTGATAATACACATAAAAACAAACTAATTGTTAAAAACGTTTAATAAGTGTGACTTTGAGATTCCTAAAACAGTTTCACATATGACTGATGATATGTATATCATACTATGCAAAAAACAAACCCCACCAAAAAGTATTAGAGTATACTCAAACTTTTGTTGCTTACCTTGTGTCTGCTATTTTAAAAAGGTGGTTAAATTTCCTAATTTTTGCAAGACTATTACATATCTATCAGCTTACTCTAACTTTCATCCTGTTGTCAACTTTGCTTCATGGCTTTGTATTTAAAGGAATGTATAGTAACTGCGTAATAAGGACTATCATATCAAGATGTGAGGATGCAGAACACTATGTATCTCAACTTCTAAATCAAAGAGGGACTCCCAGTGTGACTGTTAAATGTATCTTGACAGTGGACTCTGCTATTGTCTGTACCTACAATGTCATCATCTACTTAAATGGCAGAATGCTGGACTTATGAATGTTCATAAAGGACTATGCATCGGGCCCGGCGTGGTGGCGCAGTGGTTAAGGTCCTCGCCTTGCACGCCCGGGATCCCATATGGGTGCCAGTTCTATCCTGGCAGCCCCTCTTCCCTTCCAGCTCCCTGCCTGTGGCTCAGGAAAGCAGTCGAGGACGGCCCAAAGCTTTGGGACCCTGCACCCACGTGGGAGACCTGGAAGAGGCTCCTGGCTTCGGATTGGCATAGGATCAGCTGTTGCGCTCACTTGAGGAGTGAATCATCGGACGGAAGATCTTCCTCTCTGTCTCTCCTCTCTGTATATCCGCCTTTCCAATAAAAAAAATAATAATAAAAATAAATCTTTAAAAAAAAAAGGACTATGCATCATGATGAAAGAGGAGAAGTCAGTGGGGGTGAAGGGACTTGGTGGGGGAGGGGGACTCACAGAGCTTATGGAACTGTATCATAAAATAATTTTTAAAAAGATAATTGATGACATAAATGACAAATTTATAACAATGTGTTGTGCGGGGGGGTGGGGGGGGGGAGGGAAACTCCAGCATGATAGCCAAAAAAGAATCTAGGCTTACTCTAGTAGCTTGACTAGGTTCTTATCCTAATTAAATTACCTCATAAAAAAATGTTATTTGGTCTTCAAGGAAAAAATCAAGTCAGTCACAAAGAAAAATACATGAGAATATCTATGGATATGTTTTGCCATAGATTACTATTTGAATCCTGTTTTGAGTTATGTGAGTTTTAAGGGTTAACTCAGAATGTGCATGTCCTTAAATAAGGTGCATGGTGAGCATGCTGCATGAATACTTTGCTTTAAACTGTTGGTAATGCTCCAGAAGCTGTTGGGTAGGGGAGGGTTATAGACAAACATGAAAGCAAATTTAGATTATGTTTCCTTCTTGGGCAGTTTTACTTTGGTCTTTTCTCTTAAGAAATGAGTCCCTCAAAATATACCTGCTTTGATGTAGACATGATTTAATACTAGAATGTTTTTTTGTTGTTGTTGTTGCTATTGTACAAAAAATTTCAGAGATGAAGTTGAAACTGTATTTTAGTTTGCTTAAAGAGAAAGTTATTATGAAGGCAAAAATAACAAAAATATTGTTTCAACAGGAAAACAATGAAACAGGCTTAGAGAATGTCATAAACAAAGTTGCCATCTTTAAGTAAGTGCCTACTACTTCTGTTTATTCTAAAGTAGATGATTGTTGTCTTTTATTTGGGTAATTTTTGAAAGCTCTGAATTTCTTGCCAGAATTACCAAGAATAGGAAATGAGTACAGGTTAGAGAGAGTATGGGTGAAGGGAAACTTAGTAGGCCCTTAGCACACATTAGTTGAATATATGAATTTTTCAGATAAGAAAATGAGAAATATCCATTTGTAATAGTAGATGAGTTACATAATAAGTAACTCTTCCCAGCAGTCTTTTTTCATTAGTTCAGAGCCATGACTTCCTGTATTCTGTAGCATTTACTTCATGTGCCAATTTTAGCTGTGTGAGTCTGAAAAGGAATTATTTTATAATCCTTTCTTTGAGACATAGATTGCAATGAGATTTTAATTGGATTTAACTTTCAAGATTTGAAAAGTTAATACAGTGATAAATTTCTATTTCTGATAGTACTTTATTAATAGAGAAATCATTAGTTTAAGTAACAAAGTGGTGTGTAGCTTACATTCTGACAATGTTGAGTGTAATATTTGACAAAAAAAAAGGATCAGATTTTTTAAAGATTTATTTATTTATTTATTGGGAAGGCAGATTTACAGAGAGAAGGAGAGATAGAGCAGGTTGTCCATCTGCTTGTTCACTGCCCACGTGGCCCCAACGCCCAGAGCTGAGCTGATCTGAAGCTGGGAGCCCAGCAACTCTTCCAGGTTTCCCACATTGGGTACAGGTCTAGGACTTAGGCCATCCTTCATTGCTGTCCCTGGCCATCAGTGGGGAGCCGGATCAGAAGTAGAGCAGCCAGGATACGCACTGGTGCCCATATGGGATGCTGGCTCCACAGGGTGAAAAATCAGCATGTTGAGCTATGGTATCAACCCCCAAAATCTTTTGAATGTTTAGAACAAATCCAGTGTACTCTTGACGCTTTTCTTTTTTCTTTTTATGATTTGCTTATTTATTTGAATGACAGAGTTAACAGAGAAAGAGAGATGTTCCATCCACTGGTTTACTCCCCAGGTGGTCAAAAATATGTAGCTAGTCCAGTTCAAAGCCAAGACCCAGGAACTTCTGGAGCTCCCACACAGATGCAGGCACCCACATGAGAAGCTAGCACTGCTGATGGGGGTTTTACTCACTATACCACGGTAGCAACCTCGATCATTTTAGTAGGCTAAGCCTCCACCTGCTGTGCTGGCATCCCATATGGGCCCTGATTCGAGTCCCAGTCCCTTCCTTCAATCCAGTTCCCCGCTAATGCACCTCAGAAAGCAGTGGATGCTGACCCAACTCTGGGCCTTTGCACCCACATGGAAGACTGCAGAAAGCGTGTGCTCCCAGCTTTGGACTGGTCCTCTCTGGCCTTTGTGGCCATTTGGAGAGTGAACTAGTAGATGGAAGATTCTCTCTGCCTGTCCTTCTCTCTGTGAAAATATGCATTTCAAATAAAAATGAATAAATCTGTTAAATAAGAAAATAGAAATTGGATTTAAAAAATACTTCCATCTTTTAAAAATGCTATATTTTTCATTCAGAACTTGCTGAGGATACGATCTCTTACTGCCTTTTTAGACTAGACCTTGTACAGTGTAGTGTGCTGTAAAAGAAGTCTTAGGATTTAAGTAGTAGGGGAGGTGTTAGATCTAAGTTGTATAAAATGAACCTCCTCAGATTTGTTTTTCATAGATTTTATGAAATGTAGCTGAATGTTATCAGAACTTTGCATTTACAGTGCAGCTTTTCAGTTTTACTATTTTAATGAAATTTATCACTTTAATTTAAGAAAAGCTTAGAGTTTTAGGTTTATGATTTGTTTTTATTCTGTATTTCAAAAACGCTCATCTGTGTATTTTCCCCCTGCTTAGGAAACCAGGTGTATCAGGTCATGGAGTTTATGAACTGAAAGATGAATCATTAAAAGACTTCAACATGTATTTTTATCATTACTCCAAAACACAGCATAGCAAGGTAGGAAAAAGTATCTTCTTCAGTAAATAGTGTTAAAATGCTTTATCCTAACTTGTGCCATAGAAAAGTTCTTTATTCTTGTGTATTTTCACACTGGTTCTTACTGGTGGGAGGAGGACATTATCATAGTCAAGGAGTAGAATCAATAATGTTTTATGTAGGCAAAAATCAGATGTTTCCAATAACATCAAAATGTCCCTTTTAGCCACCTTTGGAGGAATAGGTTACAATCATACAACTTTAACTTACTAATCAAATGTATTGTTTGCTTGTCGTGTTTCTGTAGGTTCTTTATTTTAGGATAATTCTTTTTTGGTTTTTTTGTTTTTAAGACTTATTTATTTTTATTGGAAAGTCAGATATACAGAGAGGAGGAGAAATAGAGAGAAAGATCCTGTCAAATGATTCACTCCCCAAGTGGCCACAACAGCCGGTGCTGTGCTGATCCAAAGCCAGGAGCCAGGAACTTCCTCTAGGTCTCCCTCATGGGTGCAGGGCCTCAAGGCTTTGGGCTATCCTTGACTGCTTTCCTAGGCCACAGGCAGAGAGCTAGATGGGAAGCAGGGCTGCTGGAATTAGAACCAGCACCCATATGGGATGCCAGCGTGTTCAAGACGAGGACTTTAGCTACTAGGCCACCACACTGGACCCTAGGATAAATCTTTTCCTAAGGTGACAATGATGTTTCTAGGACAGGGCTGCATTCTAAATATATACTACTGTATATAAAGTCTTTATAGATGGCTGATTCTTTCTTGACTTCATTTGTTTCAAGATTTCTGAATAGTCTATTTAATGCTTTTTTTAATAGGCCGAACATATGCAGAAGAAAAAGAGAAAACAAGAAAACAAAGATGAAGGTAAAATGTGAGATTCTGAATTGACTCATTTTGACTTTTTTTTTTTTTTTGAAGGGCAGAGTTACAGAGAGAGAGACACACAGAGAGGTCTTGCATCCTCTGTTTCACCTGCATATGACTGAAATGGCAAGAGCTGAGCCCATCCAAAGCTGGAAGCCAAGAGCTTCTTCCTGGGTCTCCCATGTGTATAGGGCCCAAAGACTTGGGACAGCTGCTGCTGCTTTCCCAAACAATAACAGGAAATTGGATAAGAAGTACAGCAGCCAGGACTGGAGCTGGTGCCATATGGAATGCCAGTGCCACAGGCAGAGGCTCAGCTTACTATTCCAAGACACCAGCCTCTCATTTTGACTGTTGTATCTGGTTTTGTGTCAGTACAGCATATACTGGTTTGTTTTTGTTGGATTTTTTAGAGTAGAGAACTAAAAGGAAATGCACAAAGCCTTTTGCTGCTCCACATATTAAAATATGGCCTACATCAGTGACGATGAGATTTTATAATTAATAGCAAATGGAGTTTGAGCAACTGACAGTAAAATAAAAATATAACTGCTAATTTTCTTTTCCCATCCATTCTATGCCACTGTAGCATTGCCACCACCATCACCTCCTGAATTCTGCCCTGCTTTCAGCAAAGTAATTAACCTTCTCAACTGTGATATCATGATGTACATCCTCAGGACCATATTTGAACGGGCAGTAGATCCAGATTCTAATTTGTGGACTGAAGGGATGCTGCAAATGGTATGTTTATGTGGAATATTTTCTCTACATGGATTCCTACAGTTCTTGGGGACCTAGAGAAGATCTTCACTCTAACATTAGTTGGAACTTATCTAGAATACCCGTGTCTGGTACTGATTTCTTTAAGTGGCACATTATCCTGGTGCCATTATTCTTATGCTTGTGACCCATCCATGTATCTATTTTTAAAAACATTTATGTGTTTATTTGAAAGCGCAACAGAAAGAGAAGGGAAGACAGAGAGAAAGGGATCTTTCATCTGCTAGTTCACTCCCTAAATGAGCCAATGGTTAGGAACCAGGCCACAGCCAGGAGCCAGGAGCTTCTTCCGGGTCTCCCGTGTCAGTGGCAGGGACCCAAATGCTTTCCCAGGTGCGTTAGCAGTGAGTTAATTTAACTTGAAAGGCAGAGTTACAGAGAAAAGGAGAGACAGAGAGGTCTTCCAGTCGCTGGTTTACCCCCAAAATAGCTGAAATGACAAGAGCTGAGCCCACTCAAAGCTGAAGCTGACAGCCAAGAGTTTCTTCTGGGTCTCCCATGTGTGTGCAGGGGCCCAAAGGCCTGGGACAGCTTCTGCTGCTTTCCCAGGCCAATAACAGGGAACTGGATCAAAACTGTTTGGAAATGGATCAACTGGGAATTGAATCGGCATCCATGTGGGATGCCAACATCACAGGTGGTGCCTCTGGCCACAGCGCCACAGTGCCTATCCCAAAACCATTCATGTTTTTTTTGAAAAACTCACAAAAGCAAGGGAAGATCCAATGATGCTAATGAAAAGCTGTCATATCATTATTGTATCATGATTTTTCATATTATATTTCATATTAACATAAAAAATGTGGTAAAGACTTAATGGTGAGTCTGGGACCTGTAAGTTCTCCCACTTCTACTTATACAAAGTAACAATTTACTCATCAGTAAAAGGCTATGAGAATTATTTCATAGAGTTGTTATGAGAATTAGCTTGTGGACGCAATTGTTTTTCTTTACACTGCTGTAAATAAATTACTTCATGTTAATACTTTTAGTATCTATTACTGGTTATTTATTTAACAACTGCCTAACCAAATTATCTTTTTTCCCTTGGATATTGTTATTCTGGATGTGTACTTTTTGTTATAACCCTAGTAAATACAACACATGCAGTATTAAAATGTAAAATCAGCTGTATTTGAAATCATGTTGAACTTTTTCTTTGTTCTTTGAGTGGCCTGCATAGCGGATAAACACTATTGCACTTTTTTTATATTATAGATATCATTCAACAGTAGCAATCGCTATCTACTCTATTCCACTGTATGATACTATAATGTATTTATTTAGTCTAATAATGGACATTCAGGTTGTTCCTAGGACTTTGCTGAAATGTTAGAGCAGGAAGATGAACATCCTTGTACAAATAACCTTGTGAATTTAAGTGAATATATTTGTCATTCATTCTTGGTGCTGGCTGTATCATTTTATGCTTTTAATAGATTTTTCTGATCGACCTCCAAAAACGTTAACACTAGTTTGTTTCCCCATTACCAGTGTGGCAAGGAGTGCCACTTTCGAATACCTTTGTCAGTTCTGTATTTTACTAACCTTGAAAATGTTTCACACCAGTAAGTGAAAAATTGGTTAATCTTATTTCAGATCACATTTCTTTACCTGATCATTTTTCCTATCTAGATTCATTTCCACTTCTGTGAAATACATATTTTTAACCTTTACATAATTTTACCTACTCAGTTGTTTATTTTCATACCTCCATTTGAAGTATATTTAAATGAAGAAGCACAGTTTTAAAGGTCTCATATTTTTTTGTGCAGGCATTTCATCTTCTGGCATTGGGTTTGCTAGAGGAGAAGGAGCAGCTTCAGAAAGCTCCTGAAGAAGAAGTGGCATTTGATTTTTATCATAAGGCTTCAAGTATGTTTGAATTTCTGTTTGCACGCTGTTCTGTCTGGCTACGCATTTGTAATTGAAAGTTCAGCTCTTAATAGAGTTTTAATCTGATAGTCCTTAAAATGTAGAGTCTGGAAAAAATTTTTTCTAGCATTGTTAGTTTTTAGTGTTTCCCAGTGGACATATGCAAATGTGTTTTTCAAAAGCAAGAACTGTTTTGTTGATTCCAAGATTTAATCAGTTCTGAGTCTGACCGTTGTTTTATTGCCACCCTTCTCTTCCTAACCACCAAGTATAGATCTGACTCTCAATTTGGGGAGATTTTGCACTGCAAGGACATTTGGCAATGTGTAGAAACATTTTTATTTGCCACAACCCAGGAGAAGAATACAGAGTGAGCATCTCTAATCCAAAATTACAAAGTTGGAAATATATAAAATCCAAGGCTTTTGAGAGCTGAGATGGCACCACAGTTGGAAAATTACGCACTGTAAAATTTTCCCATGCACCAAATAATTATTATTTTAAAAAAGCTATTATTATTTCTTATTGGAAAATCAGATATACAGAGAAGAGGAGAGCCAGAGAGGAAGATCTTCCATGTGTTGATTCACTCCCCAAGCGGCTGCAATGGCCGGAGCTGAGCCAATCCAAAGCCAGGATCCAGGAGTTTCTTCTGGGTCTCCCACATGAGTACAGGGTCTCAAAGCTTTGGGCCATCCTCGGCTGCTTTCCCAGGCCACAAGCAGGGAGCTGGATGGGAAGTGGAGCTGCCAGGATTAGAACTGGCACCACATGGGATCCCAGTGTGTTCAAGGCGAGGCCTTTAGCTGCTAGTAGTTTTAGTAGTGGTTAGTAGTGTTGCTAGTGGTAACTGTGTGAGAGAGCGAAAATAATTCAAGAGTTTCTCACACCATTTTAAAATGTAGCCCTTAATAAATATATTGTAACTCAGTATTTTATGTAATTGTGATTTTGTTGAAAAAATAATGTGGTTAAAGGATTCTCCAAAAATTAGGTATAACGTGAATAATACAAATGTTAATTTCTGCATCATTATGAAGGCATTTGTATTTATTTTATGTAATTTTGTGTTTTAAAAAAGGATTGGGAAGTTCAGCCATGAATGCTCAGAATATACAAATGCTTTTGGAAAGGCTCAAAGGAATTCCTCAGCTAGAAGGCCAAAAAGATATGATAACGTGGATACTCCAGGTAAATGAGCACAGGAAACCATATCCTGATTTTAGTACAGGCATCTGTTGCTTAATGAATTCCATCATTAAGTGATTTTGTCATTCTTTGAATATCAGATTATACAAAACTAGATGAGATAGTTCAACACAGATGTAGTCAAGAGACACTGTAAATGTTTGATGTCTGAGAATGTTACTGATATAACATTATGTAATACTTTACAAAGAAGTTTTTAAAAACTATTTCTTTTGTTGTCCTAACGTTAAGCTTTTGTGTTTTATTTTTGTTTTTATATTCACTTATTTCTATGCAAAAGACAAAGATACCAGGGCATGCAGAGGTACTCGATCAGCTGGTTAATTCCCCAAATGCATGCTACTGCTTCTAGGAGCTAGGAACTCAATTTGGTTCTGAAGTATTGGTAGCAGGGACCCAAGTACTTGAGCCATCCCCTGGTGCCCTCTGCACATTAGCAGGAAGAGACAGGAAAAAGCAAAGCTAAGACTCAAACACAGGAAGCCCAGTATGGTATGCAGGAATTCTGTCAAATGCTTCAGTTGCTGTGTCAAATGCCCATCTCAACTTTTTAAATAAGTAATAAGAATATAGTGTAAAATAATAAATTATAGTAGAACAAGTATATAAAATATTAAGTTTTTACTTATCAAATATTATGTATTACACATAATCATACATGCTGTTTGTGTCATATCTATAATGTTGAAATGATTTATGTCAAAGACATTTGGAGACATAATGAGCAAATCAGATGAGTAATTTTTAGTGATCCTTTTAAGTTTAACCAAATCTTTTAGCATTTCATTTTTTTTTTTCATAGATGTTTGACACAGTAAAGCGATTAAGAGAAAAATCTTATTTTATTGTAGCTACTACATCGGGTTTGGAATCCATTAAGAATGATGAGGTAATAACTGAAATAACTGTGATATTAATCTCTAACTTTGATGAAGCTTGTTGATTTAAGGAAGTTGCTGCTTTTTGTTAAAAGGAGCCTGTTTATTTTAAAGCATGTGATATCAGTCCTTTTCATTATGCTTTTGTACTAGGAACTAATAGTACTTGACAAACAGTTATTTAGTATAACTTGTATGTTTTACAAAGACAGAGGAAATTGATATACAGTGGTCCTCTATTGGAAATATCATATTTTATTCATTTTTAAGATATCTTACTGTCTGAAATTGGAATGTGTTCCACCACCTACTAATTTCCATAATATACTGAATCATTTTGATAACTTGGTATTGCAACTATTTTTCCTGGAGGAACAATACAATGCACTGAAAAAAATATCAGTAACATTGTTGAAATTCCCAGTGTTAGGAATAAATTTATTAGTCTTAGAAATTAAGTTGGTTTAAATTGTTTGTTGCTAATTAAGCAATTGAAAAATTATTTTAAATTTTCTTGTATGAACTTTTTGCTGTATCTGCACTGTGTATGAAAAGTAGTTTATTTGGTATTTATAGTGCTTGGCCTTTTGCATAAGTAATTGGGATAATCAGAGGGAGCACAATTAGTTGTGTGATGTGATGCAGCTTTTAAAGCTAATTTGAAACATTAAATTGAATCTAGGCATTATGTGATCATCAAGTTTTTCAGACTTTCACTTTAGGAGATTTTCCAATTGAACAATATACAAATAAGCATCCTTAAAAAATCAAGACTGGCAATGCTGTGGAATTTGAAACTGATTACTTATGCAATTGTTCCTAAATCCAAGATCTGAAACAGTTTTGGTTCCAACAGTTTCGGATAAGAGCTGTTTGACCTGTAAGTATGTTTTTAGCAACATATCTTCCCTCATGTTGTGGTTTCTTCATAACCCAGATTACTCATGATAAAGAAAAAGCGGAACGGAAAAGAAAAGCTGAAGCTGCTAGGTTACATCGTCAGAAGATCATGGCTCAGATGTCTGCCTTACAGAAAAACTTTATTGAAACTCATAAACTGATGTATGACAATACATCTGAAATGTCTGGGAAAGAGGACTCTGCTATGGAGGAAGAGAGGTAAAGCCAAAACCTAAACCAAACCGGAAACTAGCAGCTTAGTTTTTGAAGGAAAAATGTTTACTTTATTATTTTTTTTCTAAAACATTTTATAAGAGAAATTAAAGGTCAGAATGAAGATTCCAAGGTGAAGTTATTGAAAATATAGTTTTGTTTGATAAGTGGTTCAAGTATACAGTAAAGTTGTGTTGGGAACCATTATGCTCAAAAATATATAAGGATAGACAGATGAAAGCCATGAAGATAGAAACCCTCCCATTATTTTAGATTGAATGCATGCTTTTGGGTACTCATGCATCCCAGTTCATGTATTCTGCAGCATTTTTATGATGTCAATGAAAAATGACTCAGTTTCTGCAGATTGAAAACAAATTCGTGGGCCCAGCATTGCAGCCTGCTGGATGGGAAGTGGGGTCACCAGGATTAGAACTGGTGCCCATATGAGATCCTGGTGCATGCAAGGCGAGGACGTTAGCTGCTAGGCTACCGTGCCAGGCCTATAATTGGGTGTTTTTAATACTTAGCAGTACAGAATCTAGTTTTTAGTAGTGAATTTTCTGATAAAAGCCTGAGAGGACAAGGGGAGCATTAAGCTAATATTGCTATGAATATTATAATTTTTATTGCGAAAATTCTTACCTATAATTAAGAATTACCAAAATATAAAAAAATAATGAAAATATGTGTCTTTATTTCTGTTCGTTTGTTTTGGTAGCATCCCAACAAGCAGTGACTACTCTAAAATTGCTTTGGGTCCTAAACGGGGTCCATCTGTTACTGAAAAGGAAGTGCTGACATGCATCCTTTGCCAAGAGGAGCAAGAGGTGAAAATAGAAAATAATGCCATGGTTTTATCGGCTTGTGTCCAGAAATCTACTGCCTTAACCCAGCATAGGGGAAAACCCATAGAACTCTCAGGGGGTATGTATTGTGAACATATTGTTTCATACCTATGTACTAAAGAAATTTACTATTTGGAAGAAGTTTGGAAGTGAGGTTGAATTTATTCTCATTAAGTCAGATCACAATTTGCCCATATATAAGATAGATCTAGATATTTACGTGCCATTTCAGATTTTTTAAAATTTTTATTTCATTACTCATTCTCTTTTTCATTTTTTCTTCCTGAACAATACAGTAAAGTGTAAGCATCATGATGTTTCAGCCCTAAAATTTCACACATGCATTTTTTTTTTTGCATTTAAGAAAATTAATAATAGTTTAGGAATATCATCTGTTTTAAAATTCATGTGTACATAGTGGTTCTCAAAATTGCTTTAATAACTGACCTTTTTTTTTATAAAAAGCTGAATCCAATCATATTTCATGTGTTGCTTTAATTATGTTTTTTCTAGTCTGTTTTAATCTAAAGAAATTCCTTGCCTGTTTTTGTTGTTGTTGTTGTTATTGTTGTAGTTTTGTGGAATTTTTTTTTCACTCTGATGATATCATGTTTGAAGAATATAAGCCAGTTGTCTTGTCCTGAGTATGACTTGTGAATTTGTTTGCTGCCTCGGGACTAGATTCATATTAATCTTTTATGTTGTGGTCAGAGACATAGATTAGGTGGAAAAGGTTGCATTCCTTGTATCAGTAGTTAGCTGATTCATTTTAAGGATAGTGTTGACTGATAATAATGATAATAAAGGCTAACATAAAAAAGCATGCCCGAGGCACTTTTTACATGCTTTTTGAATATTTGTTTACTTAATCTTTACAACCACTGTAGAAGTTAGGTGCCAGTATTGGTTCCGTTTTATAGCTAAGAGGACTGAGCCACAGGGAAGTGACTGAGCCAAGACCACAGGTTATAATTGATAAAACTAAAATTTGAAATCTCTATTGTATGCTTCTTTCTGCTAAGTTATAATGCCTCTGTCACCCCAGTCAGATATTCTTAAAATGATAAAAGTAAAAAAAAAGGTAAATGGTGCTCAAATCATAGAAAATTACCACAACAACTAAGATAATGTAGCTCTAACCTGATGTTAAGAATCAAAATGTTGGGCCTGGCAGCGTGGCCTAGCGGCTAAAGTCCTCGCCTTGAATGTGCCAGGATCCCATATGGGCGCCGGTTCTAATCCCGGCAGCTCCACTTCCCATCCAGTTCCCTGCTTGTGGCCTGGGAAAGCAGCAGAGGACTGCCCAAAGCTTTGGGACCCTGCACCCATGTGGGAAACCGGGAAGAAGTTCCTGGATCCTGGCTTTGGATCGGCATAGCATCGGCCGTTGCACTCACTTGGGGAGTGAATCATCAGACAGAAGATCTTCCTCTCTCTCCTCCTTTCTGTATATCTGACTTTCCAATAAATAGATCTTTAAAAAAAAGAATCAAAATGTTAATCAAAGAATGGATTGTACATACTAGTTTTGGAATCACATCTGAGATTTATGTTTAAATTTCTCATCCCCTCCCCTGGCGTTTTTTCTTGTTTTTAAAAATATAGATCCTACTGTCATGGTGTTGTGACATTTTATTATTCATAAAAAAGCTTGTGATTAGAATTTTAGATCTGATAACCTCTTCTCTCTTCCTCTCCTTTTTTTCATGTTCTTTTTGTTATAAATTCATAAGATATAAATATATACTTCTTATTTTTGTCTTCTGTACCAGAAACCCTGGACCCACTTTTCATGGATTCAGATTTGGCCTATGGAACTTATACTGGAAGCTGTGGTCATGTGATGCATGCAGTTTGCTGGCAGAAGTAAGTTGTCCTGAGGTGCTCTTTTTTTTATACCTTTTTTTAAAAGATTGATTTTATTTTTTATTGGAAAGTCAGATATACAGAGGAGGAACGACAGAGAGGAAGATCTTCTGTCTGCTGATTCATTCCCCAAGTAGCCCCATTGACCGGAGCTGCGCTGATCTGAAGCCAGGATCTTGGCGCCTCCTCCCGGTCCCCCGTGTGGGTGCAGGGTCCCAAGGCTTTGGGCTGTCCTTGACAGCTTTCTCAGGCCACAAGCAGGGAGCTGGATGGGGAGCAGGGCCAAAGGGATTAGAACCTGTGCCCACATGGGATCCTGGCACATGCAACACAAGTACTCTAGCCACTAGGCTACCATGCCAGGCCCATGACATGTTCTTGAAAGAGACTAAGAGTATTGATATTTAGTGGAGACCACAAAAAGGCATGTTTTCCATGTCTTCCTTCCTTTTTTCTTATTTGAATAATTAAAACAGTCTTACTAATTGTATTTACATGATACTATTGTCAGCTTTAGACTTTGGAATATGAAGTTATCAACTTTTTAAGATTTCCTCTTTCCTTTATGCTTCCTGTCTATAAACTAATGAATTGTTCTTCAGTGTCCACAGGAAAAAAATAATAATCTTCATAAAAATTTAATTTCCTTCAAAACACGCAGTGTTTGAGAACGATAAGATAATCTTTTTCTTTATCTGGAAAATTTAAAAATTTTAAAATGTCATTCCCAAGAATAGTTTTTTTGTGTATGTGTACCTTAACCTGTTTAGTATTGGATTAAAGTACCTAATTTTCCTGAGATAGTCCTCACTGCACTATTTGGCTGTTAGAAACTGTGTAGAGTCCTTATTGCACTTCCATCCTCTTGAGGCAGCAAACAGGTTATGATCCAGTAAGTTTACTTCAAGTTTATACCTTTTCTGAGATACTCCAGTCTCCTCTACCATGGTCACCCTACTTCTTCTATAATAATAACATATAGATTTTGTATGTAGGTACTGAAGATTTTTGGGGAGGTGGGAGGTGACCCAAATTTCAGATTTTTAAGCAAGATTTATTTAAGAGATCTTCCATCCACTGATTCTACTACCCAAATGACTGCAATAGTTGCAGCTGGGCCGGGCCAAAGCCAAGAACCAGGACCTTCATCTGAGTGTCATGTAGGTACAGAGGCCCAAGGATTTGGCCATTTATCCCTGCTTTCCTAGGCACGTTAACCAGGAGCTAGATCATAAATCCGGACTCGAACTGGTGTTCATATTGGATGTTGACATTGCAGGTGACAGCTTTCTTTACCTGTTATGCCACAACAGTCCTCCAGAATTCCAGATATTTAAACTTGAGCTAACGATGCATCTATAGTTCTAAATGAACCTGTGTCTTCTGAGTGTTACAGGTATTTCGAAGCTGTACAGCTGAGCTCTCAGCAACGCATCCATGTTGACCTTTTTGACTTAGAGAGTGGAGAATATCTCTGCCCTCTATGCAAGTCTCTGTGCAATACTGTGCTTCCCATTATACCTCTGCAGCCTCACAAGATAAACAGGTATGTTGGAATTGACGTTTTCACTCTTCAAAGGGCTTAACATTTTTTGTTTCATAGCTTATATCATACTGATAATATGTGATTGAAAGCCCAATGCTTGGTCTCAGAGGATTTGAATCTTCCTTTACTCAAATATTTATGTTGTATAAAGACCAATGAAGCAGCAGAACTGTGACCTCTTAGCACCTATGGAACAAAATAAGGTGCAAAATAATCCATTCCTATGCCCTTTGCTACCACTGCAGTCACTGTTTGAAGTTTCATTGTGGTTAAAATCTTTGTGAAATTTTTAAAATTAGATTTTTTTCTGGGGCCAGCATGGTAGTACCTCAGGCTAGTCCTCCTTCCTGTAGCATTGGCATCCTACATAGGAACCAGTTTGGTTCATGTCCTGGCTGCTCCACTTCTGATTGTGTTCCCTGCTTACAGCCTGGGAGAGCAGCAGCGGATGATTTAACAAGCTGCAGTAAACCAGTAAATATAACGTGTTGAATAATGAGAAATGCTTTGAGAAAATTAAAGCCTCAGAGTAAATGGCTAAGGACAGACTGGGGCAGACAGGTCCTTGTACACAGGGTTGTTAGGGAGTCCTCCCTGAGATGATCAAGACCTGAATGGACTGAGAGACTGCAATGCTCCTGTCTGGAAGCTTGGAATTCCAAAGACAGGCAGTGTCAAGAGCAAAGGCCCCAGTTGAGGAACACAGTTGGTATGTGTGAGGTACAAGAAGGCACGGAAGGGTTTGTGAAACTAATGTAAGTTATTTTGTATGTGGTAGGAAGCCACTGGAATGTTTTGAATACGGAAGTGATATGAGCCAATTTATATTTTTAGAATATTCCTCTGGCTGTTGTATGATGAATTTATGCTTAATAATGAAACACAGGAATAAAAGCAGGAAGAACAGTTAGGAGTCTGTTGAAGTAGTCCAGGTAAGGGATAATATGATTTGGACTTGGGTAGATAATTATAGATGTAGAAAGAAATTATCAACAATATATTTAGAAGGTGAAATCTGTAACAATAGCTAATAGACTAAAATGTGTAGGGTATCAGGATATCAGAAATGAATAACAACACCTAGTTTTTGTCTTGAACCACTAGAATGTTAATTCATTATTACTGGCAGATCTATTACTTCTGGGTGATGGGCACATAGGGGTGGTATCTTATTCTTTATAATATTTTTTATTTCCTCTCCTTTCCCCAAAAGGTACTCTTTAGAAATATTTCTGTGACGTGGAAAGTTAATCTGGAAAAATATGTCCTTTTTGTGTAGCCATTTACGTCAGGGAGTACTACTCATTCAACTTTTCAGTTTGATTTTACAATTTTTAACAATTTTTAAATCTCATTTTTTCAGTGAGGATGCAGAAGCTCTTGCTCAACTTTTGACCTTGGCACAGTGGATTCAAACTGTACTGGCCAGAATATCAGGTTATAATATGAAACATGCTAAAGGTTTGCTTAAAATATATTTTATGTTACCTATATGAGAGTTATATATTAGGATCTTTAATATTCTTAAACTAATTATAGTAAAGAGTGATTCACAAGTACAGATTTGTTGAATATGTGAAAATAGAATCTTTTAAAGCCATTATTATTACTAAGTTTGGCTTCAGTCATGTACAGGTAGAGATTAACCTGGAGTCAGACCATCTGATTTTGTATCTCTGATCTGGGGCAGGTGTTGTGTCACAGCAAGTTACACCACTGTTTGGGATGTCACCTTCCCATATAGGAGTACCAGTTCAAGTCCCAGCTGCACTACTGTTCTCATCCAGCTTTTTGCTAATGCATCCTTGCCATCCACGTGGGAAACTCCATCTGACCTTTATTTTTGGGGGATTTGTGAGGATTGAACCCACAGATGGAACCTGTGTGTCTCTCTTTCTTCCTTTCATCATACAGTATTTCAAATTGAGAAAATAAGAAAATTTAAATAAACAAACAGCAAAGAAATAAATCTTAGTTCTAAGACCCATAAAAAAAATCAGTCAGAGGGGCTGGTGTTGGCATGGCAGCTAAGACAATTGAGTCCCAGCTCTTCTCCCAGTTCCAGTATCCTATCAGTATCAGCCTGGAAGGAAGTCAGTAATGACTCAAGGAGTTAGGTACCTGAAAACCATGTCTGATACCTGACATTGAGCTCCAGGTTCCTGGCTTTAGTGTAGCGCAGCCCCAGGACCTACAGCTAATGAGGACTGAACCAGAATATGGGACTTATTTCAGTGTGTGTATAGGTCTGCTGCTCAAATGGATAATTTTTAAATTAAAAAAAATGATGTAGTCATGAAGTGATTACGATTTTTTTCCAACACCAGAAATATGAGGAGATAAGAGGTGGTGACGAGAGGTAGTAGCTATAGGTGTTGATAAATTGCCTCTAAATGTTTTTAAAATCACTAATTGGAGAAAAGAAATAGCCTACAGATTGCAAAGGAAGGATTAAAAATTAAGAATATAAGAGTTTATGGATATTATGAGGTTAGTACATAAGAAGGAAAACATAGTTAATGGATTTGGTTTATTTATTTTCATGCTATCTTGTTTAATGCATAAAGAGATTTAAAAGCACAGTAATAGTTGCCTCAGGTCAAGGTACATTGGGCAGAACAAATGTTTCAAGAGAGCTGCTCCTTGCTATCAGCGCCTAGGGATGGGGACAGTCATTAGATGCCACCTTGGTGATCCTTATGAAGGAAGAATGTTCTGAGGATGTTACTTGAGTGTTCTTGACAGTTTTGAGACATTGTCAGCTTTGTTGCACCAAGATTCAGAAAATTTTTCCAAGTTCTGTTGGCTGACCAAGTCCACCTTAGTGCATCCACAGACACAGACCTTTGCTGCATTTTGGCCAGGACAAGCTGCCCAACGTGGTATGCCCTCTGTCCTCTGACAAGGCATTTGAAGTTCTCTGCTGGACTAGATGAGCTGGCTATCATGTCCCCTGTGTGCATCTGAGCATGCTGCCAACTGCTCAGGCATTATCAAACTGATAAGAACAGATACTACACTTGATCTTAACCCAAAAGGCCGAGAAGCGATGCTCAGGCATTATCAATTGAGGAGACCCAGTCCCAGGACATGCAGTAGGTTGGATTTATTCTAAGAGTACAATGATACATTGAGAGTTTTTATATTAGCAAGTTAAACAGGAAAAATGACATAGTAATTGTAACTTTGTTTAAAAAGATTTATATGTTTTTATTGAAAAAGCAGATTTACAGAGGGAAGGAAATAGAAAAAAAATCTGTCCGATGGTTCCCTCCACAGATGGCTGCAGTAGCCATAGCTGAGCTGATCTGCAAGCAGGAGCTTCTTCTGGGTCTCCCACATAGATACATGATACTTAAGCTTTGGGTCGTCCTCTAATGCTTTCCCAGGCCACAGGTAGGAAGCTGAATGGGAAACGAGCACCCATATGGGATCTTGATGCATGTAAGGCAAATATTCAGCCACTGAGCCATCACAGAGAGCCCTCGTTGTAACATTTTTTAAAAAGATATTTTATAAAAGTCAAGGTCTATTCCTAATGAATTCCTAATAAACACACTTTCACAGAAAAAAGTCAGAATACCTAAAGATTATGAGAAGTGAATAAAACAAGTAGATTCAAAGAAAGCCAGAATGTAAAGAATTGAAGCCATAGGCAATGGATTTCTTGTTTTAAATTAAATTTTTTTCTTCTTTCTTTATTTCCTAGTGTTAACCCAACAGCTATCTGAGTTATAAAACTTTGTATAGGGCATAAACAACATAAAATTCAAGAGTGATGCTCTGTTTCCTGTTCAAAGAAAAAGAAGCCTAAAAGAGCCAGAGAATAGAATGAGAATCTCTCTGTTATTTTATTTCTTCTTTGGCTCTTTCCCAAGAGGTAGAGGTAAACTACCATGGTACCCATGGAGATACCCAAAATCTCAAGTGAAAATGAGCTTCTTTGACAAGGAGAACCTGCAAAAGGATTTAGACCTAGGCTACTTTTTTCAGATGTTTTAATATCTTTATTTTTCATATACTTTAAAGAAAGATAAATATACCCCCCCCAATCCACTGGTTTACTTCCCGAATGTGCCCATAGCAGAGGGGAGAAGAAAAGGAAACAGGAATGAGGAGAGAGAGAGGTTTTCCATCCATGGGTTCACTCCATATGTAACTGTAATAATCAGAACTGGACCATACTGAAGCCTGGAGCCATGAAATCATCCAGTTCTCTGACGAGGTGGCAGGGACCCAATCATTTGAGGCATCCTCTACTGCTTCCCAGGATGCATTAGTAGAAAGCTAGATTAGAATCAGAGTAACCAAGGCTAGACCAGCACTCCCAAGACCTGCCCCAGATCCTTCATTCTTGTTCTCGATACATGCTGCTGTGCTGAGAGGATACCTATGCAAGTCTAATTATTAAAAATGGAAATACAGAGGGGGATTTACTGATATGAGAAGACTATTAGGTGAAAAAGCAAGATGCAGAAGAATATATAATGTCTTTTTTTTAAAAAAAACCAATATAAGTGGTCTCAAAAATTTTATGGAAAATGTGTATTATACAAAAAAATGCAGATTTCAAGATTTTTTTTTATGCTTCATTTATTTTTTTTCAATTGCCCATGAACTTTTTGAAGTGTCCTCATGTGTGAACTATTTATATAGAAAACAGAAGGGTGTTAACTAAATGCTTTTTGTTTGTCTTGGTAGAGAAATTTCAAGTTCTCATTAATTGCTTATCAGCATTTTCTGACTTTTCTGAAGTAATCCTAAGTGATTTAAAAAATCTAGAAAAACAAAATCTCAAGATGATCCCATTCATGATTTTTTTTTCCTTCTATTAGGAGAAAACCCAATCATGCCTGTCTTGTTTGATCAAGGAATGGGAGATTCCACTTTTGAGTTCCATTCCATACTGAGTTTTGGAGTTCAGTCATCGTAAGTATCTAAGTAGTTCACAGAAGTTTGTGAATGGTGGTGGAAATAAAAGTGAGAAATATCCTTACTTTCTTCTTTTGTTCCTTTTATTTGTGAAATCGTTTATTTATTCCATTTTTTTAAAAAATCTTGTTCCCTACTTCCTGGAGTTTTATTTTTAATCATAAAGTTAATCTATGTTAGGGTAAATCAGACCTGTACATACCCATTTTGACCAACAAAAATGCCAATTCTGTTTGTTCCACCCTGCAAAAAGGCTAAAATTTAATTGATTTTTATTAGGATCACTTTTAACTTGCTCTGTGACTTTTTGAAAATCTCAGTTCGTATAGTAACAACCCTCATTAATTTCAACCCTCATAAAATTAAGACTGTGGCTGCCTTCTTTTTTCTTTTTTAAAAATATATTTGTTATGGGGCCAGAGTTGTGGCATGGCATGTAAAGCTATCGCCTATGATGATGACATTCCCAGCTTCTGGCTTTGGCCTGGCCCAGCCTTGGCTCTTGAGGCATCTGAGGAATGAATCCTCAGCTGGAGGATCTCTCTGTTGCTTCCTTTCTACACCTTAAAGAAAATACTTGTTACAAATAGAAGTTCCTAAAGCAGATGTTATCATCCCGAATACATAATATTACAGATAGACACAACACACCCACAGGCACACACACAGACACTTACTCACCCCGACGTGAAGCACCAAAGCCTGTCAAGTCAGATTGTTTGCTCTGAATTTTATTCCTTCTCTGTCTGTTCTATCCTAATCTGGACCTTTCCAGATGTGATAATTTGCTTCATCTGTACAAAGCATGAGGTTATTTGGCTCATTAATACTTTGCAAGATGTATTTCTGTACCTTTAGGAGACACAGTTCTGATTTTCCTGTTTTATTGAATAAATCATCAGAGTGATTTGGTAGAAAGCACTTCACTTATGTCAATGGAGTTTTTTATTTTTGTTGCTTTAGTATCTAGTTGAATGTCTCGGTAAGTGGCCCTCTTTCTAAATCATTATTTAAACCTTTTCATTTTTAGGGTTAAATATTCTACCAGCATCAAGGAAATGGTCGTTCTCTTTGCTACAACCATTTATAGAATTGGACTGAAAGTGCCTCCCAATGAGACAGATCCTCGCGTCCCCATGATGACCTGGAGCACGTGTGCTTTCACCATCCAAGCAATTGGTAAAGCATCTAAGAACACCTGTTTGAAGGCTTCGGTGAAACAGCACCATTAGTTGGCTAAAAATTGCTGCTTCTTGCTCTGATGGTCCAGAACAATTTGACTAATTTTGAAGACTGCTAGTATTTTACTTTTCTGAGATGGCCTGATGCCAGTTGGTCTAGAAATTTATTTTTTATTGATCTCTTTTTAACTATCATTATGACCATGTGGTGTTATAATGTAGTGGGTTATACCCCCATCTGCAATGACAACATCCAGTATGAGCTCCAGTTTGTGTCGCAGTGGAAGATGGCTGCAGTGCTTGAGCCCCTAGTTACCTATGTGGGAAACTTGGAAGAAACTCCTGTCTCCTGGCTTCAGGCTGGCTCTGTCCATTGTGGCTATTTGGATGGGGGGGCCAGGGGTTGATGGGGTGCAGCAGGAGGGGAGTGGTTGTGAGCATTAGATGAAAGACCTCTCTGTCTCTTTCTGTAACTCTACCTTTCAAATAAATAAAATAATTTTTTTTTAAAAAAGTACATCTAAAAATTTTTTTAAAAAGAACGTCTGATACAATCAATATGCTATACAATTTTAGGATTTAAGATTTATTATTTTTTTGCTTTCTTTATTCTTTGAGAAAACCTACTGGGAGACGAAGGAAAACCTCTGTTTGGGGCCCTTCAGAACAGGCAGGTATGTATATTTCAATGAGAGATAAATAACTCATGGGTTTCTTATTTTGTTTCAGTTTTTAGTAATTTCATAGTTTATCATTTTAAACAAAATCTTTACTCTTTTTCTATATAAATTAGCAAGATGCTGTAGAGCAGAAAGAGGAGCTCCTTTAGTCACATAGGAAACTGAAAGACCAGTGTCGCATGCTTTACAAAGTTTAGTCTCTGTGTTTAATTATATTTCCCATAGATTTCAGGTGATATTTAATATCCCCTTCCTTGTTTATTGCCAAATCAGAAGCTTGACATCTCCTCCACTTCCCACCCCTCATCCCTCCCACCACCCAGTACTAATTTTGCATCTTCAGATAACATTGAGTATTAATGCTGGCTTAGCTGTAGCTGATTCATCATACTAAAATCAAGAGGAAAACTAAGCCAAAACTTCTTGGTGGACAGATCCTGATACTGCTTCAGGACTGTATTTCTGCCTGCCCCAAGCTTCCTTATGTCGGTGACTCTAGAAAACGGTACTCAGGAAAGATGCTCAATTACTCTGTGAAAACGCAAGGACCACCCATCTAAGAGGCCCTTCCCTCCCTCTCCTGATGCTTGGTACAGGGGACTGACTGCTCACAGTGTGTTTTCCTGTAACTCTCATCCTGTCATTTGGGAAACAAATGATCTAGTTCAGTGGTTTTCTGCCATTTTAGAATTTCTAGAAATAGACTTTCACAGGCCTCAATAGAATAAATTAGGCCAGACTTTTAAAAAAAAATTAGACTCAAGAGAATTGAGTGTCTAACTGGGAATTGAAGTGATTATTGCCTTAGTATCTCTGTGTCATGGGAAAATCTATTAGAAATCTAGTAAGGTCCTGAAAACTTTGTCGGTGTTAGCATTATGACTTATTTGTAAGAAATGTTAAGTAAATAATGAGTGTGCAGCCTCTGCCAGATTTGAGTTAGTTTTGCTGTGAATGTTTTAAGTCTATCATCACTTTTTCTTTTTTCTTCTCTAATGATCTAGCATAATGGTCTGAAAGCATTGTTGCAGTTTGCAGTTGCACAGAGGATTACCTTTCCTCAAGTCCTGATACAGAAACATCTGGTTCGTCTTCTATCAGGTAGAATCTTCAAATGATTTTGTTCTTGTTTGGGTGCTTTCCCCCCCTGCATTTCTGACTAGTTGCTACATCAGGAAACAACAGACTGTACTAATTATGAATATTAACTAATCAAATGCTACTATCTAAAGCAGACTGACAAAATACAAATACTGTGCTAACATACTTGCAGTCTGATTTATTTGAGAGGCAGAGAGAGAGAGGGGGGAAACGAGCTGTCATTCGTTGCTTTAGTTCCCAAATAAATGCTTGCTACAACTGAACGGGGCCAGGCGAAAGCCAAGATTCAACAACTCAGTCCTAGGCCAAACACCTAACTCTGTCTAATTTTTTATGAGTTTTTTTTTTTTTTTACAAAAATATATTCATTATTTACCATGATTTTTGCTTCCCTTCCTCTTTTTCCCTCCTTTTTCTCGCCCCACTATTATTCCCCAGATTATCACAGTGGCAGAGTTCCTTAGTAACAATTACAAAATAAACTTTCTAATAGTTGCTGTGATAAAACTGTGAATGCCTGACACAAAAGATGATTGCTTGATGGGCTTTGTGCTTGTTCACATCTTTGTGTTTATTTGCAACTCATTATTCATAATTTCTAAGTCACTCTCACTGAGAGAGAAAAATAAATTCCTGAGCCACACACACACAAAAAATAACAAACTTTCTGCTCCTTAAATATTGTCATGATATGGTAGAAAATCTAGTCTCATAGTTGAATGGCTATATTTACATGTCTCAAAAAGGGACTCCTACTTTTATTCAGGAACAGAGATATGTACTGCAGTGTAACTTTACTGCCCAGTATGCTAGTATCCATTATACCATTCATCCATGAGAATATGTGTAAATACTTGATCACCTGTATCTGTTTATTTTGCAGTTTTCCTAAAGGCTGTCTTAATATCAGAGAGAACACACAATATTTGTTCTTTTGGGACTAGCTTATTTCACTAAGCATCATGGTCTCCAGTTGGGGCCATTTTGTTGTATTTGTTGTTTTTTTTTTTTTAAGATTTATTTATTTATTTATTTTCATTGGAAAGGCAGATATACAGAGAGGAGAGACAGAGAGGAAGATCTTCTGTCTGATGATTCACTCCACAAGTGAGCGCAATGGCCATGCTGATCCAAAGCCAGGAGCCTCTTCTGGGTCTCCCACGTGGGTGCAGGATCCCAAAGCTTTGGGCCGTCCTCGACTGCTTTCCCAGGCCACAGGCAGGGAGCTGGATGGGAAGCGGGACTGCCGGGATTAGAACCGGCGCCCATATGGGATCCCGGGCGTACAAGGCGAGGACCTCAACCATTGCGCTATTGTGCCGGGCCCTGTATTTGTTCTTGAATCAGAATAAACAAACACTGATATTCATGTATCTTAAGTGTGATTAGCAAAGGAAAAAATGGGGGCTGGTATGGTGGCATAGCACATTAATCCTCCACCTGCTAGCATCATGTACCAGCTGCACCACTTCCTGTCCAGCTCTGGGTTTGTGACCTGGGAGTGTAGTGGAGGGTGGCGCAAGGTCTTGGAACCCTGCATCACATGAGAGACCCAGCTTCAAATCAGCTCAGCTATGGCTGTTGCAGCCATTTGCGGAGTGAAGCAGTGAATGGAAAACCTCTCTGTGTCTCCTTCTGTCTCTGAAAATTATGCTTTTGAGTAAAAATAAGGGATTATAAAAAGGGAGGAGAAAAGGGAGGAAGAATGCCATGCATAGGTTATTCTAAGATATAATTAGTTTTGGGCCCAGCACAATGGCTCAGTGGCTGAAGTCTTTGTCTTATGAGCACCAGGATGCCATATGGGTACCTGTTTGTGTCCCAGCTGATCAGCTTCCCATTCAGCTCCCTGCTCGTTGCCTGGGAAAGCAGTAGAGTATGCCGTAAGGCCTTGAGACGCTGCAACCACGTGGGAGACCTGGTTCCTGGTTTTGGATCAGTTCTGCTCCGACCATTGTGGTTACTTAGGGAATGAAGCAACAGATGGAAGATCTTTCTCTCTGTTTCCCCTTCTTTGTAAATATGATTTTCCAGCGAAAAATAAATGAATCTCTAAAATACATATATATATATATATATATGTGTATATGTTTAAAATAGCTTTGTTAGTGTATAAACTAATAAAAATACCAGGTGTGCTAATCTGAGAATTCAGGCCCATGCGCTTTTATTTGAGAACCAGTTATAAACAGCTAGTTTTCTCAATCTAACAAACTAAAGATTTTTTTAAGATGTATTTATTTTTTATTGGAAAATTAGATTTACAGAAAGAAGAGGAGAGACAGAGAGAAAGATCTTCCATATACTGGTTCATTCCTCAAGCAGCCATAATGACAAGAGCTGAGCCGATCTGAAGCCAGGAGCTTCTTCTGAGTCTCCCACATGGGTGCAGGGTCCCAAGGCTTTGGGCTGTCCTCGTCTGCTTTCCCAGGCCACACACAGGAAGCTGGATGGGAAATGGGACTGCCAGTATTAGAACCGATGCCCTTATGGGATCCTGGCATGTTCAAGGCGAGGACTTCAGCCGCTAGGCCACCACACCGGGCTGTCCTTAGAATCATGATCAGGGGTTTGAAAATTAGTCTGAGGAGAGTCTTCTGATCTTTGTTTTATAAAATAACTGATTTACTGAAAAATTATTCATTCCCCCACACAAAACCATTCCTGTCTTTATGACTTCTTTATTTCACTTCCTTTCTGACCTCTAGATTGTTGCTTTTCCTTAGAGACTGACCAAATTATAAACTTAATAGCTTTGGAGCTGTCTGTATTTCCTCATGGTCATTCATCTTTATAATCCATTATCTAATTTTGCTCAGGAGAATTTTCTACAAATCCATTTTACCCATACTGCTTTGTGTGCTCTCGCTGCTGCCCTCTCAGGTGTAATCACATATCATGTATTCTAGAACATGTGAGAATATACAGTTGGGGGGGAAGTGATCCAGGGAACATTGTATAAAAGCAGCTCTTCCTCATTATTCAACACCTGTTTATTGAGTAATCACTGTTTCACTCAGCCTGGTTCATTTATCTCACCCTCTTGAGATCTCATCTTGTAACTGTAAATTGTGTACATGGTTTTAGGAACCTTTTCTCTATTTGTCTTTCGTTCCCATTCCCATATCTTAAAACTGTGATGTTCTAGTTTCTGTGTTTTAAAAGCATGTTATGTTTTTGTTTAGATGTTTCCTAGCTTTCATTTTAACTGCATTGCTGTCTTGTTGACTGAAGTACATTAACTTCTTTTTATTTTTATTTATTTTTTAGTTGTTCTTCCTAACCTAAAATCAGAAGATACACCATGTCTTCTATCTATAGATTTATTCCATGTTTTGGTAAGTGTTCACTACAATTTTTTTCAAGTTACTTAGGTTTGCAATTTTATGTGCTTTTCTCTTTCAAATTCATGCTCTGTTCATGAGAAGTAAAGTTTGCTCTCTTATGTCTTCTGTTGTCTTCTGTTTGTAAATAGAGACAGAGTAGATTGAGGCTATTAAAATCACTAAAAAATAATAGCATATTTACCTTGAGCTTTGTAACAATTCTTGTTGTACTTGTTTTTAATAGCTAATGTTTATATAAGCAAAATTTTCTGGGCCTGGTGGCATGGCCTAGTGGCTTAAGTCCTCGCCTTGAACGCCCTGGGATCCCATATGGGCGCCGGTTCTAATCCCGGCAGCTCCACTTCCCATCCAGCTCCCTGCTTGTGGCCTGGGAAAGCAATTGAGGACAGCCAGAGCTTTGGGACCCTGCACCCGTGCGGGATACTCGAAAGAAGTTCCTGGATCCTGGCTTCGGATCGGCATAGCATTGGCCGTTGCGCTCGCTTGTGGGGTGAATCATTTGACGGAAGATCTTTCTCTCTATCTCTCCTCCTCTCTGTATATCTGACTTTCCAATAAATAAATAAATCTTTAAAAAAAAAATAAGCAAACTTTTTCTAATCGAATATTATCCTTTCTCTAATCTACATTTTTTGAACTACATTTTCTTATTTATATTATAAGTAGTGAATGACTGTGAGCTTTCTTAAAATTTATTAATAAATTAATGTTAGGGTCTCCATGCATGCGTTTTGCCTTTCTCAAAAACCTATGAATAGGTGACAACTGTTTTGAAACCTACCTTGCTTTGTTTCTTTCCTTTCCTTTTCATTTTCTTTTTCCTTTCCTTTTCCTTCCTTCCTTCCTTCTTTTTTCCTTTTTTACGATTTATCCATGCACTTTTAAGATAACCAGAAAAAGAGAGAGAGTTCTGTCTACTCATTTACTCCCCAACTGATCACAACTGCTGTGAGTGTACCAGCCAGGAGCAAGGGACTTCATCTTATTCTGCTATGTGGCAGGAACCCAAGTGTTTGAATCGTCTTCTTCTGTTTTGCAATAACAAGGAGCTGAATTTGAAATGGAGTATCTCAGGCCTGGCGGCATGGCCTAGCGGCTAAAGTCCTCGCCTTGAATACACCAGGATCCCATATGGGCGCCGGTTCTAATCCCAGCAGCCCTACTTCCCATCCAGCTCTCTGCTTGTGGCCTGGGAAGGCAGTCGAGGATGGCCCAAAGCCTTGGGACCCTGGACCTGCGTGTGAGACCTGGAAGAATTTCCTGGTTCCCGGCTTCAGATCGGCACAGCACTGGCCTTTGTGGTCACTTAGGGAGTAAATTATCTGACAGAAGATTTTCCTCACTATCTCTCCTCCTCTCTGTATATCTGACTTTGTAATAAAAGTAAATAAATTAAAAAAAAAAAGGAAATGCAGTATCTCAGACTTAAGCTGGTAGTGATATGAGATGCCAGTGTCACAAGTAGCAGCTTAATACGCTGAACCACAACACTGGCTGGCCCTGGTTTGTAATTTCTTGTAGAACATTTCCATTCCTTCAAACTAAGTTCTGTTCAGAAAGGGTTAGTGGTATAGGGAATATGGAGTTTGTGACTGCATGGCCAACCATCATCTCCATCCTCATTACCCAGACCTTTAGAACCCAGTGGTTGTCAATCTTGTCGTTTGCAATTTTCTGGGAACTTTGAAGGCTATGGGTCACTAAGAGTGATTTAGTTGGAATAAGATGTGGTCATGTAATTTGAAGAACTCCCTGGTGACTGTAATGGTGAATTTTCTGAAGCACAGTTGAAACCACCACCTAGCCCCAAAATAAGTAGGCCCAGCAAGAGTAATTTGTTTGGTAATAACCTTTGTCTTCGATTCATGAATATGCTGATTGTCTATTGGATAACTAGTAAAAATATAATGGTTATTTAAAAACCCCATTGTGCAACATCTGGTACCCTTTACATTTAGCTATTAATTTGTGTTGGTCTTTTGCTATTACCCATGTTGATGTCCTTTTTTCTATCATAGGTAGGTGCTGTATTAGCATTTCCATCTCTCTATTGGGATGACACAGTTGATCTGCAACCTTCATCGATTAGTTCTTCGTACAACCACCTTTATCTCTTTCATTTGATCACCATGGCACACATGCTTCAGATACTTCTTACAATAGATACAGGTAAAACTTCTATGTGCATGTTGATCATGAATATTTAACCATGCTTTGTTGCCAAAATTAAGTGTATTTGTGGTAAACCATTTTATGCATGTCTGATTCTATTTTGTCTTTTGCAGAATAATTACTCATTTATTTCTTTATGTTTACTATTTAAACGGGGAAAGGTAGAATAAGCTCTGAAAGAAGTAATTAGCTGAAACCATTAGATTCCCTCACTAATTTGTAACCGCCTTTCAATTTGGACCTGCTTTTCCCGATTTGTTTATTTCTTTAATTCTGCAGTCTGAAGCTCTCTCCTACCTGAAGCTTATTCCAGCCTGGGAAATTTGATAAGCCTGTCTTATCAAAAACACAATTCTCTCTTTTTTGGAAGATTTATTTCTTTTTATTGGAAAGGTAGATTTACAGAGAGAAGGAGATACTGAGAGAAAAGATCTTCCGTCCACTTGTTCACTTTCCATCTGGCCACAATAGCCAGAGCTGACCCAATGCAAAGTGAGGAACCAGAGCTTCTTCTGGGTCTGCCACATGGGAGCAGGGTCCCAAGGCTTTGGGCCATCTTCTACTGCTTTCCTAGGCCAAAGGAAGGGAGTTGGAAGGGAAATGGAGTAGCTGGGATGCAAACCAATACCCTTATCAAATCCCATATCAAATCCCAGCACTTGCAAGGTGAGGACTTCAGCCGCTAGGCAACTGTGCCAGACTCAAAAGGAGCCATTCTTGATTCCTCAATAGTTTTTGTTTGTCTTTTAGTATTTGTTTTGTAGTTATTGTGGGTATATCTCGCTGTTTTTTGCCTTTCCCTATTCTTCCTCTTCTCTGCTACTGTATCACCAATGTGGGTTTTTTGGTGGTAATAAACACTCCAATTCAGACTCTCTGTTTTACTAAGTACATAAATGCTCATTGAATGTTTTTTTTATAACTGCTTATTTGAGGGTTATTGAGTAATATGGCATCATGAAATTATAGTATACTTGTCCTTCTAAAGTCTAGTCTTTAGAAAAGTCTTTAGAAAAGTCCTGATAGTATAGACAGTTTAGAAGATAAAGAGATAATCAGAATAAAAGATAGTAAAATGACATATGCATTTATCATTCCACTCATCAATTCCACTTTGAAGAATCTATCATAAAGCTTCATGTGAAAAAGCATTTGAGGGCCTGGCATAGTAGCCTAGTGACTAAATACTCACCTTGACATCCGGCAGGATCCCAAATGGGTAGTTGTTTGTATCCCAACTGCTCCAGTAGTCATCCAATTCTCTGTTTGTGGCCTGAGAAAGCAGTAGAGGATGGTCCAAAGCTTTGCGACTACCCCTCTACCTACATGGGAGAGCCAAAAGAAGCTCCTGGCTCTTGGTTTTGGATTGGTTCAGCTCCAGCCGTTACGGCCACTTGGGGAGTGAGCCAGTAGATGGAAGAAATTTTTCTCTGTATATCTGGCTTTCCAAATAAATAAAATAAAATAAATAAATACATAAATAAATAAAATCTTTTAAAGGAAGAGAAAGCATTTGAAATTATACAGTCACAATATTCATTATGGCATTGTTGAAGTATCAAAAAGTACCAGCATCTCAGCTAGTAATTGAGGACTGGATTGGTCTGTCCATACTGAAATACTATACAGGCAAAGGAATAAACAAGATCTTCTAATATGATGTCAGGATATATTGTTAAGTGAAAAAAGAATAATACAGAATACAGGTTATTATATAGCATTTATTACAAGGTGTTTCAGCAAAGTATATATATATAATATATATACTCACATAGATTCATATTTGTGTTTTATAAGGAAAAATTAGAAATGTAAACAGCCAAAGATAGTTGCCTATAAATAAGCTAAAGATACAAGGTTAGAGCAAAAATTTCAGTGAATAGCCTTTTGAAATAAAATTTTGATATTGGTACCCAATAAATATTTTCTTCCTCTTCCCCTCTCCTAGAAAAATGGGGAAGATTTAAAAAATTTGAAAAAACAGATGAGTCTGATTAATAAAAATACCAAGCATATCAAGAAAGTGATTGCTTTAAGTGACTTTAACCCACAGGATTTCAGGGCAGGGCTTGTGGCACAGTGCAGTATCCCATAGCAGAGTATCACTTGCAAGGTCTTACCACTCTGCTTATGATCCAGCCTTCTGCTAATGTGTCCTGGGAGGCAGCACACGGTGGCTCACATGTTTGGGCTGCTGTCACTCACCTAGGAGAACAGGACCGACTTCCAGGCCCGTGGTGTTTGCCTGGTCCAGCCCTGGCTTTTTGGAAGTGAGCCAGCAAATGAAAGATATCTCTCTAGCTTTTACTGTCTTTCTGCTTTTCCAATAGATGAAAAAGTTATCATTAAAAACAAAAGAATAAATAAAACATAATATATCAATGACATTTCCTTTGTAGAATGCGTTTTGACAAAGAATTACCGCCTCTAGATCATCGTAAATTGAAATCATTAATTTTTATTTATTTTCAAAGGCATTTTTGTTTTTGTTTTTTACTTGTAAGAGTGAGAGATCTTCCATACTCTGGTTCACTCACCAAATGGCTGCAATAACCAGAGCTGAACTGGTCCAAAGCCATGAGACAAGAGCTTCTTCCAAGTTTGCCACACAGGTCGGGGGTCCCAAGGCTTTGAGCCATTCTCTGCTACTTTTCCAGGCCACAAGCAGGAGTTAGATTGGGAAGTGGACCAGCCACGGCACAGATTGGCACTCATATGGAATAACAGTTCTGCAAAGGGAAGAATAGCCTGCAAAACAACCACTTCGGCCCCTAAATTGACATCGTTTTAGTGGTACTAGTATTAGTTAATAATTAGGGGATACACCCAGTAAGTAATGTGTTAATGTTACTTGGAATCAAGATTTTTGAATGTAAGAGGGAAGAGACTCAAAAGTAGAATCAGAAAAATTAGGTTAAAAACTCAGTAGTCTCTCCAACAAAGTTCCTACAAGGCATTTTGTGCATACTGACAAACTGATTGTAAAGTTTATACAGAGAAGAAAAATACCCAGAAGATCCAGCTGAGTACTGATGGAAAAGAACACAGTTGTAGGGCTGACACTACCCTACTGCACCGGCCAGCAGAGCCAGCGAGGGTCTGGGGATGAAGCACCGACAGGAGACCAGTGGTGGTGGAAGTCTCTCCAAAGCCTCCCTTTATTACTCCTTATATACTCTTTCCCCCAGGCCCTTTAATAGAACAATAGGATGCCAATGCGTCTGATTAGACCAGGGGCAAGCCCATTTCCTGTAGTGCTCAGCTTAAGGACTGCTAATCAACTCCTTAGCCCACAACACCCTACCTTAAGACTTCCTATAAAGCTATAATAATAATATGTGTTACTGGCAAAAAAAAAAAAAAAAGATGTTAGAACATAATAGAGAACCCGAAAGTGGATACATATAGATGTAGTTAACTCATCTATGACAAAGAAACAAAAGCAGTAAAATGGAGTAAGAAAACAGACAATTGAAAGTATATAAGGGCCCGGCGGCGTGGCCTAGTGGCTAAAGTCCTCACTTTGAACACGCCAGAATCCCATATGAGCGCCAGTTCTAATCCTGGCAGCTCCACTTCCCATCCAGCTCCCTGCTTGTGGCCTGGGAAAGCAGTTGAAGACAGCCCAAAGCCTTGGGACCCTGCACCCGTGAGGGAGACCTGGAAGAAGTTCCTGGCTCCTGGCTTCAGATTGGCATAGCACCGGCCGTTGCGCTCATTTAGGGAGTGACTCATCAGATGGAAGATCTTCCTCTCTGTCTCTCCTCCTCTCTGTATATCTGACTTTGTAATAAAATAAATAAATCTTTAAAAAAAAAAGTATATAAGATTTTGCTCTTCCGGGATGGTGCTTAGAGACACCCAGGGTGATGCAGTGCTTGACCTACTGCTGTAGGCTTTCCTACAATATAGCCTCCAACAAAACCAGACTGTCCCGAATTCCTGGGAACAGAATTGTCTACCTTTACACCAAGAAAGTTGGGAAGGCGCCAAAATCTGCATGTGGTATGTGCCCAAGCCAACTGCGAGGGGTTCGGGCTATGAGGCCTAAAGTTCTGATGAGGTTGTCCAAGAAGAAGAAACATGTCAGCAGGGCCTGTGGTGGCTCCATGTGTGCTAAATGTGTCCGTGACAGGATCAAGCGGACTTTCCTTATTGAGGAGCAGAAAATCGTCGTGAAAGTGTTGAAGGCACAGAGTCAGAAAGCTAAATAAAATCATGACACACTTTTTAAGTAATTAAAAGTTCAAAAGATTAAAAAAACAGTATGTAAGATTTTAAAGAATCTCTCACTAAAGAAGGTAGAAAAGATGCCTGTAATTATGTGTAAAGGTATCTAGCATCTATATGTCATTAGGTAACGGCATATTAAGATACCACTGCACACTTACTAGAATGGTCAGAAATCCAAAACACTTGAGGCCGGCACTTTGATGTAGTGGCTAAAGCAATTTGCCTGTGGTACTGCTATCCTTTATGGGTACTGGTGGGAGTCCTGGCTGCTGTACTTTGAACTAATTCCATAATACTTAAAACACTACCAAATGTTGGTGACAGTGGGAACAGTACCAACTCCTTGGGTGGGTGTTTGGCAAAGTACCTAGTGCAGACCCTGAGAGATAGCAGTGATGGCTCAAATGATCGGGTTCATACCATCCATGTGAGAAACCTGGGTTGAATTCCCACCTGCTGGCTACACTTCCCACCCTCACACGACCCCTAAGAAACCCTATTTTTTAAAACGAAAAAAAAAATAATTAGTAGTATTCATCTATAAGATAAAATTACTCAAGATAATTTTAGTTGTGACCTTTCAGATGAATTAATGCATAAGCAAAAGCTTTGCTAAAAGTTATTTTTAAAGCAAGAGAGCACTGCTAAAATATGCTGTAATCATCCCTCACACAAATCTACAAACAGGCATTTTAAAACAGAGGTATCTATTTCTTTGACAGGCAGAGTGATGGGGGAAAGGTGAATGGGTGGAGAAAGAGAGATCTTCCCTCTACTGGTCCACTTCCCAAATGCCACAACAGCTGTGGCTGGACCAGACTAACACCGGGAGCCAGGAATTCTATTCATATCTCCAGCATGCTTGTCAGGGACCCAGGTACTTGGATCATCAACCACTGCCTCCCTGACACGTTGGCAAGGAGCTGTATCCGAAGCATGAGTAGACAGGACTTGAACAAGGCACTGTAGAATGGGTTATGGGCATCCTTAGCCACTGCACCGCAAGACCTACCCCAACAGTGGGCTTTTTTATTTCCCCTTTCAATCAAAATTTAAGAGATAGAGGTGACCCATCTGTTGCTTTGCTCCTCCAGAGCCTGAATAGCTGAAGTTGGAGCCTATAGCCAGTAACTTAGTCCAGATCTCTCACATTGGTTGCAGGTATCCCACTACTTGAACTATTATCTGCTGCCTCCCAAGGTCTGCATGGGAATGGAACCAGACATTGAACCCAGGCACTCCCTTAAGGAATGTGGAATTTTTTTTTAAGATTTATTTATTTTTATTGGAAAGGCAGATTCATAGAAAGAAGGAGAGACAGAAAGATCTTCCAACCACTGGTTCACTCCCCAAGTAGTCGCAATTCCCAGAGCTGAGCTGATCCAAAACCAGGGGCCAGAAGCCTCCTCTGGGTCTCCCACATGGGCATAGAACCCCAAAGACCTGGGCCATCCACCGTTGCTCTTCCAAAGCCACACTCAGGGAGCTGGATGGGAAGCAGCTGAGATATGAACTGGTGCCTATATGGGATACTGGCATGAAGAGGGAAGGTTAGCCAGCCAATTGAGCTACTGTACTGGTCCCAAAATGTGGAAATTTTAACTAGCAACTACTAAGCCAAAGACTTGTCCCTCATCCTCTTTTGATAAAATAAAGTTCAGAGAACTTTAGTAGCTTACTCAGAGCCTCACTGTAAGTAGCAGAGTTCTATAAGGATACAGAAAGGTTTGAAATGTTCCTGAGTAAGGATAGGTCAGTGTAGGAAAATGACCTCTCAAGATTATTTACATGGGCCTGGCACAATGATTCCATTGGCTAATCTGCCTCTTTCAAGTGCTGCGTTCTCATTGGGTTACAGTTCATGCCCCAGCTGGTCCACTTCCCATCCAGCTTCCTGCTTGTGTCTGGGGAAGGAGTGGAGGATAGCCCAAAGCCTTGGAACCCTGTACCCACATAGGAAACCTGAAAGAAGTTCCTGGATCCTGGCTTTGAATCAACTCAGCTCAGCTCAACTCCAAACTTTGCGGCTAGTTGGGGAGTGAACCAGTGGATGAAAGATCTTACTCTGTTTCCTCTTCTTTCTGTAAATCTGACTTTTCAATAAAAAATAAGGAAATTTATAAAGAGAGGTTGTTTACATGGAGCTGTTAGTTTGAGGGTGAATGCAGAAGATAAAGACAGAATAACTTCTTTGTAGACATTGAATTTCCACTTGCTAATTAAGACTACAGGAATGAACCCAAAGCAGGTAGATCACTAATTTAGGAAGTAAAATTTTAAAAAGCAAAACAAAAGAAACAAAAAGATTTGTTTATTTGAAAGGCAGAATGACAGAGGAAGGGAGAAGGGAGGGGAAGAAAGGAGAGACAGAAAGATCTTCCATCTTCCAGTTCACTCCCCAAATGATTGCAACAGTCAGAGTTGGTTCAGGTAGAAGCCAGGTTCCCGTCTGGCTTGCCCACATGGGTGGCAGGGACCCGAGGTCATGGGCCATCAAGTGCATTAGCAAGGAGGTGGGTGGGAATTAGAACATGTAGCATTTCAACTAGTGCTGAGATGTGGGATGCTGGCATCACAAACAATGGCTTAACCTACTGTACCACAACACTAGTTGCTGGGAAATAAATTACAAACATCTTTGTGTTATGTCAGTCACTATTTGATAGCCATTATTAGGTGGTTCTGCTTTGTTTCTACAGCTAGTGTACAGATGAAGTTTACATACATTTTTAAATATTGAGAGGCAATTATTTAGATTGAGAACAAGGGAAAGAACTTTCTTTGAATCAACGTTATCTTGGAACCATGAAAATAAAGTATAATTTGTAAATTGCATAGTAAATTCACAAATCTACCTTGTGTCATTTCTTCCTCAGATCTCCCCCTAACTCAGGCTCAGGAAGACAGCGAAGAGGCTCGTTCTGCTTCATCTTTCTTTGCAGAGATTTCTCAGTATATAAGTGGGTGAGTAGTAGTCCATTAGTATACTCTGCTTCGGTATAACTGTGTTCAAAATTCTACTCCTGTTCAGTTGTTTTGCGGGGTACTGTGAATAAACATTTTAATTGCAGTTTTATAAAATAATTTAAAAGCTGTTTAGTATGTGATTTTGTTCCAGCATAGATTACAGGTTTTTATAAAAAATGACATTACTTTGATATAAAAGTATGTTGGGGTCCGGCACAGTGAGATGCAGGCTATTTCTGCCGCAATGTTGGCATCCCATATGGACGCTGGGTTCATGTCCCAGCTACTCCATTTCCAATCCAGCTCTCTCTAAGGCTTACAAAAACAGCAAAGGATGGCCCAGACCCACATGGGAGATCTGGAAGAAGCTCCAGGCTTTGGATTGCCTCAACTCTGGTCCTTTGCAGCCATGTAGGGAGTGAACCAATAGATGGAAGACCTCTTTTTGTCTCTCCTCTGTAAATGGACCTTTCAAATAAAAAAACATTTTTTTTTTAAAGAAAATGATATGTTAGAATACATTATCTAGTTGTTTATAATACCAGATGAGTTCACTATACCATTCTTCTTAAATTATTTTGAGAACACAGGCAAAAGATGGAATTTTAACATATGGCGATATTTAGAATTTACATAAATGTAGAAAGTAGGTTGTTCTTTTATAGCCACTCATGCAGTTAATATACTTGATTCACTTAAAAGGTTACATTTGCCTGTCACATTGAAGTTTTGCATTTTCGGATTCAACCAGCCACAGATCAAAAATATTGTTTCAAAATTGCATCTCTAATGAAATTTTTTTCTTGTCGTTATTTCCTAAGCAACACAGTATTAGAGACTAATAGCAGAATGTTTATATTATGTCTAGTATTACAAACAATGTAGAGATGATTTAAAGTATGCAGAAAGGGTTGGGCATTTGGTCTTATGATTACAATGCCAGTTATAACACTTGCATCTCACATCGGAATACCTGGGTTCCATCCTGTCCCCATTTCCTGATTCCAGCTACCTAGCAGTGTACAGCCTGGGAGGCAGCAGGTAATGACACCAGGAGTTGGGTCCCTGCCACTCTTGTGGGAGGTGAGACTGAGTTCTTGGCTTCTGCCTTCAGCCCAGTTTTGTCACAGGTGTTGCGGGCATTTAAGGAGTGAGCTAGTGGGTAGTGGATGAGAGAGCTATCGCTCTATTTATCTTTGTATTTGTCTACCTCTGCCTCTCAATTTTTTTTATTATTAAGAGATTTAAACTCTAATGTTATTAACTACTTAAGTGTTTTGTTCTATGCATTTAAAAATTAAATGGATAAATGGTTAACTGTGATTTTGAAAGAGGATTTCGTTAAAAATCTAGGATTTTAGACTGACAAGTGTTCTGTTCTATTCTGAAATTCAAGTCTCAGCTGCGCTGGCTGTGGTATCCCTGGCTGGTATCTGTGGGTCTCCTTGAAGAATGGCATCACCCCTTACCTTCGCTGTGCTGCATTGTTTTTCCACTACTTACTTGGGGTGACTCCACCTGAAGAACTGCTTAACAGTAAGTAGGAAAATAAAGTCACAAAGCAGAAAATGGAAGATGTTCTTTTCCTAAACTTCAAGCTCCAAAACACACACTAAAGCAGGCAAAACTACTTCTCCATTTCCCACATAGTTCATCTGTGCTCATTTCAAACTTGTGGGCAACTGCCCTGGTAGAAGTTAGTGAGGCCAAAAGCCAGATACACCTCATGTTCAGCAAGACCTACTCTTCGCTATTCATGTGCTTGAGTTTTAAAGTGTCTGCCTGCAGGATAGAACTAATAGGACGATAAGAACTGGAAATATTTTTTGCCTCTAGAGAATGGCATTGTTTAGCTGAAGTAAGGAGTACACTTGATTGTATATTTCATTATTTGAAATTCAACATATGACTGTTAAAGAATTAAAATACTACTGGGAGATATCTGTGGTAATCAACCTAGGCCACATACAGTTAAACAACAGAGTCATTTTCTTTATTACTTATTCACTTCTAAGTCCAAAGCTAAGTAGAGAAGGCTAAAAATCAGAATGTTTGTATGATTTTGAAAGTCATCAAAATTGTCAGATTCTTGTTTTTTGAAAATAAACTGAGATCACGTTTACTGTCAACTTCTTTATCTAGAGCTCAGTTGATTGGGACTTACCTGATCCAGGGTTGTCTTGAATCTATACAGAATAGGATAATAATGATAATAATAATAATAGTAAGGCCTGGTGCGATAGCCTAGTGGCTGAAGTCCTCACCTTGCACGTGTCAGGATCCCATATCGGTGTCCATTCATGTGTCCCAGATACTCCACTTTGTATCTAGCTCCCTGCTTGTGGCCTGGGAAAGTAGTAGAGGATGTGTCCAAAGCCTTGGGACACCCCACCTGCTTGGGAGATCCAGAAAAAGCTCATAACTCCAGGCTTTGGATTGACACAGTTCCAGTCATTGTGGCCACTTAGGGAGTGAGCCAGCAGGTGGAAGATCTTTGTCTCTCCCTCTCTTTCTGTATATCTGCCTTTCCAATAAAAATAAATCTTTAAAATGATAATAATAATAATAACTCCATAGGATGCTACTATCTTACTGACTGGTACAGATCTGATATTGGCACATCCACAAAACTCTTGTTTATTCATTTCCTAGATGGTATACTGTGGCAGTGAATGTCTTCCAAATATAAGTAAACAGAAAAGTTTCTATACTGTAGGTGAAGTGGTGAAAAATGCTACAAAGAGCAGTAGAGCAGAACATGTGAATAGAGAGTGCTGGAGAATAGGGAACTCTTTGGCATGTAGTCATGGAAGGCTTCTATGTGAGGAGACATTCAACAGAGAGCTGCACAAATAAGGTCATGCTGCACAGGCAGTTGGCAGAAGAGTATTTCTAAAAGGAAGGAATAGTAAATACAATAGCATAATTTGGCATAAGTAAAGAAGAGTGAACGGCCCATGCCTTGGAATAGTATCTCCACCTCTAGGGTTAGCATCCCATATAGGCATCAGTTCATGTTCCGGCTGCTATACTTCTGATCCAGCTCCCTGCTTGTGGCTTGGGGAGCAGCACAGGATTGCCTAAGTCCTTGGCCCCTGTACCCATGTGGAAGACCCAGAGGGGCTTCTGGCTCCCTGCCTCAGATCTGCTCAGCTCTTACCACTGGAGCTATTTGGGAGTAAAGCAACTGATGGAAGCTCTCTCTCTCTATTTCTGTCTCTCCTCTCTGTAACTGTCTTTCAATTAAAAATAAGATAAATCTTTTAAAAAAAGAAATATAACAGTGAAGACATGAAGTGGCTAAAACCTAATGAACAGACAGAAGAAGAAAGCAGGTGGTTGATCCTGGAGGCAATCAAATGCAGCTCACTTAGGGTAACGCATTTTACACTAAATGTGGTGGTTAGACATGGCAGTCATCTCATCAGGAGAGTGAATCAACCAGATTTGTCTTCCAGAAGGATCTCTGTGGCTTGTTTTCCTCCCACAATTTTATCAAGTACCAACTGTAGTTTCTTTATATAGGATAGCAAGCATAACAATGAAACAATTCTATTGACATATTGACCAGGTAGAATAGTATGCTTACTGAATATATTTTTCTTTCTCTTACAGATTCTGCAGAAGAAGAATACACTGCACTCTGTAATTATCTGTCTTTACCCACAAATTTGTTCCTACTTTTCCAAGAATACTGGGATACTATAAGGCCTTTGCTGCAGAGGTACTATGGGGGCAAAATATGTCATTGTTGGGCTCCTATCTTGTTTGAAAAGTCTAAGTTAACAATTCTTTTCTAAGATGTTAGGATTACTGGCATTATTTAAAGGGATAGCCAAAGTAGAGGAGAATCCTAATTTGCATACTTCAGGTTAGGAGAGGGGAAGACTGGCAGCAGTAAGCAGTTGCTGCTTGTCTACCATGGAAAGCATACAAGCGTTTCTCATATTTCATTCCAGCTTTAAGTCAGAGGTCGGGGAGGAGGCCTGTGACTAGCTGATATAAATCGCAGTTCAGTATCAAAATCACCCAGTGGGATCTCATTTGGCAGCATACATCTTAGGCAGGTAATTGGGGATAAGGGAGAAGTCATTTGGCAGATGAAGGATGTAGCAGTGAAATTTCCCAGAGGAAAGTTTGTCTTTTCAGAAGAATTTTCCCTGTTTCTCACTGGCCTTCTTATTCAGTAGTGTTAAGTCTCCTAACCTCCAGCCTCCCAATCCTGTTTCCCTGTATAATTTTCCATCAGTTCTATAATCACTTTCCACTGTTACTCTTGCTTTATGTCCCTCATGGTTCTGTTTAGTCTCCTTGTTTTTCTCATTTTTCTTTAATCCATGTTCATTTTTTCGATACCACAGACAGGACTTGTGGCAGCCTCTTTCTCCTGTCATCCTTCTTATCTCTTAGCTTTTTTTCTTTGCCTCCTTTACTTCTCATGTGGTATTCTGAGTTCTAGTATTACCCAAATGAATTATTAAAAAATCAACATTGTGTGTTCTGATGAACATCAACACAGAAGGTTGTTCTAATTATACTTTTATATTCCTGGAGTACTTGAATTTTGGACTTACGATGTAGTTTAATTAAAGTTTGGAGGCAGATGTTTGGTGTGGTGGATAAAAGACCACCTGGGACACCCACATTCCTTATTGGAGTGTCCAGGATGAACGCCTGAATATCCTCTGTATTCCAGCTTCCTATTAATATGAACCCTGGGAGACAGCAAGTAATAGTTCAAAAAAACAAAATCCCTACCAACCCCTTTGGGAGACCTTGCTTGAAGTTCACCCAATAGGCATTTGGGGAGTTAACCAGTAGATGGGAGATCTCTGTCACCAAGTAAATAAAAAATAAGTTAATGAACTTAAAGGAAAAATGCTCTTATTGAAATACTTACAATAAATTCTGTTTTTCTAATAAGGCTTGATTGCAAAAACTCTTTTTTTAAAAAGAGAGGAAAAAAATACAGTAAGAGTGTAAGTGTCATGAAACAGCTGGTTAAGCCACCACCTGCTTCATGAAATCCTGTTCATGAAATCCTAATTGTCTCACTTCTGATCCAGCTCCCTGCTAATGCACCTGAGAAAGCAGTCGAATGTGTTGCAAATACTGGGGTTCCTGCAACTCACATAGGAGACCTAGATGGAGTTTTGGACTGCTGATTTTGGCCTGGCCCAGCCCCAGCTGTTCATAGCCCTTTAGGGTATAAACTAACAGATAGAAGATCTCTCTCTCTCTCTCTCTCTCTCTATCTGTCTCTCTCTCAATCTACTCCTTTTCTTTTTGTACTGATTTTCAAATAATAAATAAAATAAATTTGAAAAAAATAAGAAAAAAGTAGCAAGATGTTAAGAGCAAATGAATATTGGATGAACACAAAAGGAAAGAAAGAACTGGAGACAAGGACTTGTTGAAAGTTATGCTGAAGTTGTGTTAATCCCACTTGCATCTTCTCTTGACTCTACATATAGGTGGTGTGCAGATCCCGCCTTACTAAACCATTTGAAGCAGAAAAACACTGTGATCAGGTTGGTTTTACTGTTTGATGTTTTCCTCCATCCGCATGGTGTGGTTAGCTGCTCAGTCCTGTCTAGGCTGCCTGTTCTTTCTCAGTACATTGCTTCCTACATCTTTTGCTAGGTCTTCCCCAGAAATCAAATTTTTCATAGAATTCTTAAACTAGCTATCCTTTCCCTCTTAAATTATTAGAAGCCACTGGCTTGTTCTGAGAGAATCTTCACTAAGCTGGTGTTTGCCGTCGAAAGACAAGGCAGGAGACAATATCTTGAAGCTGCTGATATGTTAAAATCAGAGGGGAGTAGTTTATACTGTTTGTAGAAACCCCTTTTTCTTTAGAGGCCAAAGATGTAACTAAAACTCTCTCCTGCTTTCCTTTCACGCCTGTATGTCTGGACTACCCAGAAACTAGTCTTCAGCCCTTCCTGACAGTTCCAATTTTGACATATTATGGTTCTGTCAAAGTCTGTTTTTTGGAACCGGTGTTGTGGTGTAGCTGGTGGAGCTACCACTTGTGATGGCAGTGTCTCGTATCAGAATGTCCATTTGAGGTCCGGTTACTCTGCTTCCAAGTTAGATTCCTGCTGATGTGCCTGGTAGGTATCACTTCATGGCAGAAGCTTGGGTTCCTGCCAACCACAAGGGAGATTCAAATGGAGTTCCCGGCGTCAGTCTGTCCTAGCCCTGAGGGGTGAACCAGCAGGTGCAAGACATTTTTTCTCTCTCTCTCTCTTCCTCTGTGGCTCTCTCTCTGTACATGTGTGTATATATCTTCTTTCCCTGCTGCTCTGCCAGTCTTTCAAATAAATGAACTTATCTTTTCTTAACAACAGCAAAAAATGTTTTAATTCTTCAGGTATCAATGCAAATGCAGCCTCCACTGTGAGGCCTTTTTCAAATCTGTATCCCCCTGTGCACGTGTCTATATGTGTAGCTACTAGTACTCTGCACCACCAAACAGTAAGTTCAGCAAGGCTGAGGACGGTATTCTTTCAGCCTGGTTTGTATTATGCAGGGCTTCTTTAGATTCAGATTGAACTGCATCAATAACCAAGCAGAGAAACTGATGCTTACCTATAAATACGCACATTAGTAAAATTTTTCTGTGGATAAAGCAAAATTGTGAGGCAGTGTACATTTGCCCCCCTGTCTTGCCATCTTCTGTCAGTCCTCAACCTCATTTCAACTCACTGCTCTACGTTACCTTTCCCGACACTGAGGAAGCCCATAGAGCGCTTTCCGTCATCACCGGCTTCGCTGATTTAGAAGTCATAGTTCCGCTCTGGTGCTCAGTGTTAGTCACATCACCAGGAAAAGAAAGATCTTAGAACTTGGGAGGACAGAAAAGTTTAAGATACGAGACATACTTTTGTCTCTGGAGTCTCAGTTTTTCCTGGATTTCAAGTCGATGTGTGCTTTCTATTTCCCCAGCATGGTACTGAAATAATGGCAGACTTAAAGGAGTTAATACGTACAAACTTTTGGTCATGGTAATCTATGCTTTACTGATTAACATGAAACCCAAGACATAACATACAGTGTAATGATATATGGGATATACATTAGCGCAATAGAAATTGAAAGAGATGTGCCTGGTACAATAGCCTAGTGGCTAAAGTCCTCGCCTTGCACATGCCAGGATCCCATATGGGCTCCGGTTTGAGTCTCAGCAGCTCTGCTTCCCCGCCAGCTCCCTGCTTGTGGCTGGGAAAGCAAGAGAGGATGGCCCACAGTGTTGGGACCCTACACCTGTGTGGGAGACTCAGAAGAGCTCCTGGCTCCTGGCTTTGGAGCAGCTCTGTTCATTAGGCCAGAGTAGATGGAAGATCTTTGTGTCTCATTCTCTGTAAATCTGACTTTCAATAAAAATAAGTAAATCTTTTTAAAATTTCCTTGTTTATATTACTCAGTTTACCATTTTTTTAAGTCAGTATGAAACTTTTAGTTGATAAGTTCATTTAATATAATATTTCTCTTTTTACCCCCTGTAGATCTATTAATACATTGATGGTGTGCCTATTGAACCCTAGTATATATGCAAGGATACAGTAACAGATTAAGTTCAGAGATTTATCAAGTGTCAAAAAAAAAAGATTTGTAATTAGCTTGTCTGACTTTAAAAGCTGAATTTTAGCCACTATTTTGTGTCACCTTTTTAGAGAGTATAGAAATCAAGCCAGAACAGTTAAGTGTTAGAAATACTGGAAGTTAAGTTGGGAAGGTAACCAGCCAATGAAAAATTTGTAATTCTAACTTGATAAATGTAGATTAATACAGTCAGTTGGGAGATGGAGGGTGCTATGGTCCAATGACTCAATTAGCTAGTCCTCTACCTCCAAGTGCAGGCATCCCATATGGATGGATACCAGTCTGTTTCCTGGCTGCTCCACTTCCCATCCAGCTCCCTGCTTGTGGCCCGGGAAAGCAGTAGAGGACAGCCCAAAGCCTTGGGACCCTGCAGCCATGTGGGAGACCCAGAAGGAGCTCCTGGTCTCGGTTCTTGGCTTCAAGATCAGCTCAATTTCAGCTGTTGCAGTCATTTAGACAGTGAACCAGTGGATGGAAGTTCTTTGTCTCTGTCTTTGCTTCTGTCTGTAAAACTGCCTTTCCAATTAAAATCAATAAATCTTTAAATATATATCTTTATATATACACATATATATCTTATATATATTTTTATATATATATACACACATATATAGTCAAATGTAGGAATTAGTTTGTACTATAATTATTGATCTTTCGATTATTTTAAAGATATTCTATCATCTTGGCCAATTTTTGATCTAGGCTTATTGACTCATAAATAAAATTGCCTTTTAAATTATATTTCTAGGTACCCTAGAAAAAGAAACAGTTTGATTGAGCTTCCTGATGACTATAGCTGCCTCTTAAATCAAGCCTCTCATTTCAGGTAAGAAGAGAAACTCCGTATGTGTGTGTGTGTGTGTGCCTGTTTGAGCTTATAGTATATAAACAATACCACTAATAAAGCTTTTCAAAGGTAACAACTGAACATCCTCTCTAACGGTGACTGTCAAACTTTTTAAACTGATGTGAAACTTAAATAACATACAATTAATCATTATAATGTTTTAATTTAGTTCACAGATTGTATGTGTGTCACACAAATTGTAACAACCATGTCTCTAGTTTGACAACCTTTTTTTTGGTCACCCCAAACGCCTCGTACTAATAATCATCCCCTGTGTTCTTTCATTGGTAACTAATAGTCTGTTTTCCTCTCTGGATTTGCCTTTTTTGGATATATAAAAGATATCCTACAGTCAGTGATCTTTTGTGTCTGGCTTTCTTTAGTCTGAGGTTTATCCAGAGTGCAGCATGTGTCAGTACTTTGTTCTTTTTTGGGTTAGCTAATGCCCTATTGGAAGGATATCCCACAGTGTAATTCTGCTCTAGCCATGAGAAGGGGCTTTCACTATTGTGAATAGTGCAGCTATTCACATTGATGTACAATTATTTATGAAGTTTTGTTTTCATTTATTTTGGATGTACATCTAAGGGTGGAATTATTGGGTCACCAGATAATTCTGTGTCACTGTTGGAGGAACTATCAACCAACCTTTTTTCACAGTGGCTGTGTCATTATATATTCCTGCCAGCAGTGCAATGTGTGAAGCATCCGATTCCTGCACATTCTTGTTAGTCCCTGTGTGAACTACCAGACAAATCTAAATTTATAACCCCAGTTATTGGAGGACAGGATCCCTGTTGCCCATACTGACACAAGCAAACCACATCAGGAAAATGAGCCACTACGTCTGTATCTGCCTCTTAGGGCTGGGACAGAGGCTGGGTGCTGGCACATAGAATGCCAAAAATCACCAGAATTTGCCAACTCCCTCCTTTATCACTCCCTTTCCTGGATGCAGCAAGTGTTCATCTAGGCTGAGAGTTTCTAAATTGTTGCTTTAAATGATTCCTGTCAACTCATTGTTTTGTTAGAGTGGCTGGTTCCTGGATCTCCCTGTCCTCCATCCGTTGTTTTCCTTAAGCCCTAGGAACTCTGATTTCAAATTAAATCTTGTGTGGAAGCCCTTTATACTCATAGAAGCCAGTAGGACAGTAGCACTGTGACTCGGGCCATGCCTGCATCCTGGAGAGAAGAGTATACACCTTTAGACTTTTCCGGACCCATGTCCTCTCCCACATCGGTCACAGTGTGTAAGGAGCAGGCATCTAGGGCTGTGGTTAGGATGCAGACACATGTGAACCATATCAGAATTCCTGATGTGGTCCCAACTGATACAGTCTCCACTCTGCTTCTGCTGCCCATATCCTACTGATACAAACACCTTGGGGACTGGTAGGGAATGGCTCAAGTGATGGGGTCCCTGTTTCCTGTATGAGAGACCCACATTGAATTTTGGAATTCTGGTGGTCAGACTATTGTTGGCATTGGGAGAATGGGCTATCAAATGGGAGAGTGCTTATTTTCTGTTGCTTGTCCTTCCTCTTCCTCTCTCCCTCTGCCCCTTTCCCTGCCCGTGCCATGTCCCTGCCTCTGCCTGTCTGTCAAATAAATTTTAAAAATTGAGGGAAGAAAATGGGCTGGCCTTGTGGCACCATGGGCTAAGCTGCCACCTACAACTGTGGCATCCCATTTGGGTGATAATTAGAGTCCAGGCTGTTCTACCTCTGATCCAGCTCCCTGCTAAAAAATCTGGGAAAGGCATAGGTGGTGGCTCTACCACTCATTTGGGAGACCCAGGTGAAGTTTCATCCTCCTGGCTTCAACTTGACATAGCCCTGTCTTTTCTGGCCATCTGGGGAGTAAACCAGCAGATAGAAGATTTATCTGCACAATTCTGCCCTCCAAATTAAATTTTTAAAAAGAAAAAGAAAAGCAATCCTAACTTTTACAATTCTACAATATCTCATGGTTGTAAGAAAAAAAATGCAGTGGTTACAAATTTTAAGAAAATAAAAACAGTGGTTCTCATTTTATTTTTATATCTGTTTTTGCAAATCACTTTAACTGGAAAAAGAAATACATGATACCAAAGATTGATGATACACACAAAATTAATTACAAAATACTCGATATGCACAATACCTGTTCATTACTTTTGTAAGAGAAGAGCACAAGCTTAAACGTGATTTTTTCAAGATTTTTTTTATTGCAAAGTTAGATATATAGAGAGAGGAATAGAAACAGGATTAAATGTGATTTTATCTGATAAAATAATGTACTATAAAGTTGAAAATTTTATCACATTTACCTTGTTTTAATGTAATGTATGCTGTTTAAATAGCATAGAACCAATGATCACTGATGAAGTGTTGTTGGAGAACTGTCATTCATGTCTGCTTCAGCCATTGCAGTATGAATATTTCATACTTGAATCATAATGTACTTTGTCTTGAGAATAATAAAGCAAAACTTCTTTTGATATATTTATATACTGTGGACATTCAAATGGTGTCACGTCACCAACAGAAAATCCAATTGATAATAGTGACACGCAATTTGCAGTTACTTGTAGTTAAAAGACAAGAATCTGAGCAGTCTGAAAATTACAGCCTGTGTAAGACTTCAATAATTGTAACACTAGTAGTTGATTGCATTAATCCCTGGAGTTAGCAGGAGCTTTAGTAACCCACACTGCGGCCTGTTACCAGGCTGAATTGACTTGAATGTTTTAACTCTCTGGCTAGTCAGCCAATTAAAGGAATGGTTGAGTCAGAAAGTTAGCTAGATAGAGGCTAGTATTATGGCTTGCTGGGTTAAGCTCCCACTTGCAATGCCAGCATCCCATATGGGTGCTTGTTTTAGTCCTGACTCCTCCATTTGCATTCCAAATCCTTGCTAATGCACCTGGCCCAAGTGCTTGGGCCCCTGCTATCCACGTGAAAGACCCAGATGGAGTTACTGACTTCTGGCTCCAGCCTGGCCCCAGGAATGGCTGTTTTGTCTATTTGATGAGTGAGCCAGTGAGTGGACAATTTCTCTCCAGCTATCTATATCCCTCTCCCTCTCTCTTCCATTCTGCCATGCAAATACATCTATTTATTTTTTAATAACTAGATGTTTTCAAAGATTGCAGCTGCTTATAAATTCACTGATTCTCTTACTATTAAGGCTCCATTTCTACCACAGAAGCCTGATAAAAGCAGGTGTTTGGTGCATCAGTTAAGACACTAATTGGTAAGCCCAGGCACCATATTGGAATGCCTGGAGTCAAGTCCATTTCTTCTCCCAATTCCAGATTCCTGCTGATGTGCACCTTGGGAAGATTTCTGCCACATGTGTGGGAGATCTGGGTTGGGTTCCTTCCTCCCAGTTTTGACCTGGCCCACATCCAGACATTGCAGGTGTCTGGGGAATAAACTTGCAGATAGAGCTGTGTCCGTCATTTCTCCTACTCTTTGTACCCCTCAAATATATAAATGACATTTTTAAGGAAAGATTCCATAGAGGAGTCTCAGTGTTAAGGAATCTAATTGTCAGACTTTGTGAGAATTATCAGGATGCCTTATATTTAATAATAGATTTTCTTACTGTGAAGGATTGCAGTTTTTTGTTTATTTCCTCAGGGAGAAGTATTAAAGAGGAATCGTCTAATTAAGTGTTTCATTCTATTTTGAGAGTTTTTGTTGCTGGAAAGGAGCAAGTAGTGAAAAACGTGCTTCATTATTTGCTGGTTTATCGTGTTCTGTTTTTCTGCCATTCTGAATATTTCCTTCCCTTTTGAGGTGCCCACGGTCTGCAGATGACGAACGAAAGCACCCCGTCCTCTGTCTTTTCTGTGGGGCCATCCTGTGTTCTCAGAATATTTGCTGCCAAGAAATTGTGAATGGGGAAGAAGTCGGAGCTTGCATTTTTCACGCACTTCACTGTGGAGCAGGAGTCTGCATTTTCCTAAAGTGAGTCAGTATTACTGATTGCATTTTCCTACATCAGCAACAATGCAACATCGTTTGCTCTTTTATTTAGACAAAACTCTTTTTCATCTGTTTGTCTATGTTTACATTATCTCTGCACTAAATCCCTAGCAGATATAGGCCATGGCTTTTCTCTAGAATAACTGTACTACAGTGCTTATCATACATTTATCATACATTTAATCATAATTCCTGGTGTAAAAGATTAAGCTACAGCTTAGCACACCACATCCCATATTTGATTGCCTGAGACCGAGTCCCAGCTCTGCTTGAAATCTAACTTTCTATTAATGTGCACCCTGGGAGGCAGCAGATGATTGCTCCAGTACTTTGATCCCTACCATCCAAATAAGAGACTCAGATGGAGTTCCTGGACCAGTCTCAGCTTGCAGGCATTCAGAGAGTGAACAAGTAGGTTAATGAATGGAAGGCATTTCCCACTTGCCTTGTATCCCTTGTTCAGCTGTTCAAATAAGAAAGAATAGTAGGGCCCGGCGCGGTGGCACAGTGGTTAAAGGTCCTCGCCTTGCACGCCCGGGATCCCATATGTGCGCCGGTTCTAATCCCGGCAGCCCCGCTTCCCTTCCAGCTCCCTGCCTGTGGCCTGGGAAAGCAGTCGAGGACGGCCCAAAGCTTTGGGAACCTGCACCCACGTGGGAGACCCAGAAGAGGCTCCTGGCTTCGGATCGGCATAGTATCGGCCCATTGCGCTCACTTGAGGAGTGAATCATCGGACGGAAGATCTTCCTCTCTGTCTCTCCTCTCTGTATATCCGCCTTTCCAATGAAAAAATAATAAAAATAAATCTTTAAAAAAAAAAAGAAAGAATAGTAAACTTTTTGTAAAAACCATATTTTCTCTGTGTTGTGTTCTTTCCTTCAGAATCAGAGAATGCAGAGTGGTCCTGGTTGAAGGTAAAGCCAGAGGCTGTGCCTATCCAGCCCCTTACTTGGATGAATACGGAGAAACAGACCCTGGCCTGAAGTAAGATTTTTTTTTTCTTTAATTGGAAGTTTCCATTCTATTATTAATTACATATTAGTCATGATAGTGTATATGAATGGTAGAAATTTCTTTAAAGGCAAAAATTTTCTTCCTGTATAAATTTTGAATGCTTTTGTAAAACTTTAAAGACACCATCCTAATTTTTGAATATTTTTATAAAACCTTTCTTCAGAATTAATTAAGTTTGGCAGTGAGTCTACGAAAGAATTTATAGTGTCCACTGAAAGAGTTTGGTTTAGAGTGAGCTTTCATTGTTCCTATTGCTGTACTGAAGGTTTATGTTAGTGGCTATTAGTGGCTTTGTGACTTCTGAGCATTAACAAAATGTTCAGGATTCTTTTTGTTCCTTATTCCAGTAGTAGGAACTGGAACCCTACTCATTGCTTTTGAGAAAAAGAAGGTAGATCACATTAGCAATGGTACACAAAGTACGTTTAAATAAGGATTTGATCCTGTTAAAATAAACTGTTTCTTTTCATGCAACTAAAATTTTGTTATTTTAACATGTTGCTGATATAATGAATAGATTCCTTAGGTAGGACTCAAGATCTCTGCATCGATCATACAGAAATTTGTTGTTGTTGTTGTGATAACATTTGACCTACCTTTAAGTGTTGGACCAAAAGGAAAAGCAAAACTGACAGGATAATTTGAATTGGTCCAGAAAGGGACACAGAAGCAGAGCTGTAAAATTAGTTAGGCTGTTTGAAGATTTTTCCAATCAGCCGAGACATTTGAATGCTTCATGAGATGAAATCACACTTTGTTGACAAACGCCAAAAGTTAGTCAAACTGCAACTCAAGAATGGCAGTGACCTTACTTTCTTTAAATGTCTGCTAATCACCAGCAAGTTTGTTGATTCATAAGGACAATTATAACCAAATATTTGTGAGGGTTTAGTGTTAGGTCTCAGACATAATCTATACTGTGTAAAGATCATAAATTGAAGCTGTATAAATTCTAAAGGGCAAAAAACAAGCAAAAAATACAGCCCCATGTAGGCTAAAAGAAAATAGTGCTGCTTCAAGTTACAAACTGCACTGACTATTTAAATAAGGTCTCATAGTATCTGTGGGTGGGCTTTGTGACCTATTTTCTGAATAAGCAACCAGTGGATTTCTGCCTCATTACCTGAATAACCTGTCAAGCTCTGAGTGACCAATGGAGAAGGAAAGCTATCCCCTGTTACACTCTTTTTCCCGGTTCTAGGAACTTTTCCAGATTGCATACTAATTTAGACCATAAGGTCATGACAATTATTTGATTCAAGCTTGCTTGTCTTATTTTGCTTTTTTCCCCTGTAAAGGAGAGGCAACCCTCTTCATTTATCTCGCGAGAGGTATCGGAAGCTCCATTTGGTCTGGCAACAGCACTGCATTATAGAAGAGATTGCCAGGAGCCAGGAAACTAATCAGATGTTATTTGGATTCAACTGGCAGTTGCTGTGAGCTCCAACTCTGCCTCAAGACAATCACGAATGGCTTCAGAAAAAAGACTGATTCAAAATTACGGAGACCTTTCTAAGGGCCGGGGAAGTATTGGAGGGTTTTGTGCTCCATGTCCAGATTCACGTACATCAATAAAATATTCCTTAATGGAGCATTGTTTTTGATTAGCAAATGTATACTTCAAGGGAAAGAAGACCTACATTAATCTATTTTATGTTCTAGAACACTAAAAAGATGCTTGTTCACCCTCAAGAGTCTGATTCTGCTAGTATTTCCAGGAAGTTTGTTTCCCTTCATAATCTGTCCCATTTCATTTCATCCACCTTGTGAATGAAGTCACATCAAGCAAGCTGTGGACAACAAGTTTGTGTCTGGCGTTTGTTCCCGCAAGTTTAGTCGAGCTGCCGTTGGATCCCTGACAAGAGCAATGATCTGTGGTAGTCTTCCTTACAGTAAGAGAAAAATTACAGAAAACATGCACAGAGTTCATTTGAGGAAGACTTACAAAATATAAACTTGTTTTAACAAATACCCCTATTGATCCACCTACTGTTTTAGCCACAAATTAAGCTAGATGGACAAATTGTATGTAATTTCAGCCAGTCCAGAAAGTGTTGTTTTTTGGTTTGGGGCTTTTTTGGTTTTGTCTTTTTTTTCCCCTTGTAGATCCCAAGAGGAATTAGGATACTGCTTCTATTATTCACTTTCCATTTCCCAATAGCAAATTTCTACAATAATATTTTGCATCTTAGTTATGGCACCAACCCTATCTGACTCTTAGAAACCTGTTAGGATTCTGATGCAAACTCTTTGTAGAATGAAAATGAGACAATTTTCCCAATGAACAGAGCATGACAACTGTAAATTAAATCAATCAAATTTAAGCCAATTCTACTTCCTATGACTTTGTAAAAGACAAATCCTTGAATTTTGTCCTATGTGCAACCTTTTCATAAACTCTGGTTGTGTGGCTAGTATAAACAGCTTAAAACAGCCTTGTGGCCAGTAATCTACACCCTCGTTATAAACATGCTGTGGTTGAGCCGTCTAGTTTATAAATATAGAGCTCTCCTGAATTTGTGCACACATTTCTTGGTTCTTGGCTTTAACTTTTTTATACGTCAAGAACTTGTGATATAAAGCAAAAGACAGAAGATAAATTGAAACCTATTTTTAGCTTCTGTTGTCTATGAGGTAATATTAGATGTCTGAAAGATACTAAGACTGTCTTATTTTGACTTGCTATTACTGTCTTACATGTGTAAGTATTTTCCTATCTTTTTGCTCAGCAAAGGCAAGCAAGTGAAAATACATTTGCTAAATGGTGAATGCACATTGGGGCTAGGGTTTTGTTGTTTGGTTTTTTGTGGGGTTTTTTGGGTGATATTTTTATGTAGAGAAAAAGTGGATTTCGTGATCAGGATTTGGCATGAGTCAGTCTCAGAATCACAATCATGAGTTTCTACTTGAATAATTGCTCTTCAGAAGATATCAGGAAATACATACAGCTCGATGAACTTGTAACAATCATCACAAGGATCAGAAAACTTAGTATTTACTTCATCAGAATTGCCAATTGAAATGATATGAACATTTCCTTTTGTTTCTTGTGTCATTTATCTGGCGGTTGGCTTGGGAAGTCTGGCCTAATATAAGCAGCAAGAGAAGCTGAGATTTGCCCTGAGTGGCCCCAGTTTTAACAAAATAAACTGACTTTCTGTCAAATCTTTTTATATCTGCTTCATAAATCCTGGAGTTAAATTCTCAAGGTGCCAGAAGGACTTTTCCAGCACTGGGCAGCCAGACATAACCTGCCAAAGGACCCATTTCTTGCTGAATTCTGCTTTTGTTGAGATGGATTCAGATCTCTGCATCATAGGTGGACCTAAATCTCGGCATCAAGCCCAAGCCCAAGGGATTTCTCATCATACTCAGATGTCCCAGTGGTTTGCCTTCATCATTGCAAACAATTATGCTTATAACGTTTACTTACAAACAAGCATCCAAGTCACTTTATTTTCTTTAACATAGTAAATGAAGGAACAGATTCAACAAGTCAGCTCCAAAACTGTGTTTCTCTGATATTTGATGAGGGGCTGGCAGGAATTTTAAGGATACAGTGAAGAAAAACTTATATCTGTATAATTAATTTATTATGTTGATATATGGGCTGTGAGTTCACCTTTTAGTGGTCATTTGTCATTTCATAGTAACTATGCATTTTTGGTTCACTGTGATGATGATTATATTTAGTGATTGCAACATGTTTATACCACTGATTCAAATTCCATCCATGATGAAGTTATACAAATAATGCATATATTGATATCTTTTATTGCAAAAATGTAAATTTAAAACTTGTATAATGTTCCTGTGCTTTTTGAAATAAAATGTATGTGTATATTTAAAAAGGAAAAAAGGGACTTATGTTTGGGGATTTTGATTTAAAGTAAAAATTCATTTATTTTTTTAAAGATTTATTTATTTTTATTGCAAAGTAAGATATATGTAGAGGAGGAGAGACAGAGACAAAGATGTTCCGTCCAGTGACTCACTCCCCAGGTGACCACAACAGCTGGAGCTGTACCAATCCAAAGCCAGGAGCCAGAAGCTCTTCTGGATCTCCCATGCAAGTGCAGGGTCCCAAGGCTTTGGGCCATCTTCAGCTGCTTTCTCAGGCCACAAGTAGGGAACTGGATAGGAAACAAGGATGCCGGGATAAGAACCTGTGCCCACATGGGATCCTGGCACATTAAAGGTGAGAACTTTAGCCACTAGACCACCATGCTGAGCCCTTGAAGAATAAAAGTTTATAACAAGCACAGAGTTCCAACTAAGCTGTGACACCCAGTAGTAGGAATTGGAATGGGTGTGGGCTGGTTGGGCGGTGCCACTGTTCCTGCTGAGATAGTAGGTGACCAGGTCAGCCTAGGAGAAGGACCAACCAGTGTGCATGGATCTGCCACTGGTAGGAAACTTGGTAGAAGAGCTTGGGAATTGTTCTGTTGGGATGCAGTCCCTGCAGGTGAGCACAAGAACCAAGGTAGGGGTGAGGAGGGGCAGCCCAGACCAGGCCAGGTTGCAGCACCTACAAGCATGCATGTGGGTAAGGTCTAGAGGTGGGCCAGGTTGGGCCCGTTTTTAACACCCACTGGCAGATCTTCTGAGAACCAGGACGGAGTGCAGGACTGGTCAGTTCACATTAAGGCAGGAAATGGGGGCTGGCTGTGCTGAGTTGGGCAGCAGCACCCACCAGCATGAGCTCATGGCAGACCAGACCAGGCTACAGCACCCTCTGGCAAATGCCGAGGTGAGATAGGCTATGCCAGACTGGGCCACAGCACCCACCAGCACATGCGAGACCCACACGGCAGAGGGGGAGGGCAGATGGAGTGAGTCTGGGAGGGGAGATAGGCCTCTGCTGGGCCACTGCTCCTGCTGGTGAGTGTGAGAGCTGGAACAGGGGACAGACCAAGTCGCACAGGGCTACAATACCTGTTGGGCAGCATGTGACCTGGGTTAGGAGGAGAACCAGGCTGGAGTGACTATCCACTGGTGCAGGCATGAGCCAGAGTAAGTGCAGGCTGGTTGAGCTTTGCCACAGCATCAGCTGGCAAGTGCTTGGACTGGTGGGGGAGGGAGGCATGTCTTGTCAAGTTAGACTGCAGGAACCACCTAGAGAGTAAAAGACCTGGGGTAGGGAGTGGGTCCAGTAGGGAGACTGTGGACACCTCTCTGATAGGCTGCAGCTCCCACTGGTGAACACAAGAACCAGGACTAAGGGTGGGCCTGGCTAGGCAGGCAGCAGCCCCTGCTGGCATGAATAAGGGCTGCTCAGCCACGAAGAATGGGGATTCAGTCAGCAAGCCCTGGGGTGGCTCTATTGCTTAGCCTGTCCAGGCAAATTTTTTAGAAAACATAGATATTTAATGTCAGTGGGATCTCCATGATTTTTGACCATAAATTCCATCTGTAAGCAATTTCTAAGTATGCATACCAAATATATGTATCAGTACATATATTTTGAGTTTATGTAGTACTGTACTACTGTATATTCATGAGAAACAGCACAGAGGTGGGCTTTGGCCTCAGCAATTATGACCCAGATTGGGGCACTCACCTCTTGTATGGATATACCTGAGTTTATGTCTGGATTCTGTTCCAGATATTTTCAGCTTCCAGCAAATGTGCACCCTGGGAGACAGCTCAGGCAGTTGGGTTCCTGCCACCCACAAGGGGGACCTGGATTGAATTCCTGGTTTCTACTAAAGCCTGGCCCAGCTTTGACCACTATGAACATTTGGGGAGTAAACCAGTGAATGAGAATGTTTCTCTCTCCTCTAGTAAATAAAAATAGTTTTTAAAAATATAGCTCAAGGGAGGGTGGAAGGAGAAATCCCTGAACCTAAAGAACTGTATCATGAAAAATAGAGAATAATAATAATAAAGTACAAGGAATGGAGATGAAGCAGTCACTTAAAACAGAAATAGATATTTCACTCTATTCCCAGGGAATCTTTGCATCCTTTTGTGTATGCTAACCTTGTTGGACACACCTGTTGGGCCCCCACTGCCCTGAAAAACTCTGCAAGATGGAAACGTTTCGGCTTTGCATTGCAGGATAGTGGTCACTATCTTTGCGTTGCTATTCAACACCTTGAATGTGACTAGTGCAACTAAGGACCTGGATTACTGATTGTATTGACTTTAGCTAAATTTAAGCAGTCATGTATGTGTTAATGGCTGCCATCTGTATGGGGCATTGCATGTTTAGCAATTGGTTCACAAACTGCACTATTCATTAAAGGCACCTCAAGAGTTCTAGCAGATTCTCAGTTTTCAACCTGGGGCTTGAATCTGAGTTTGCTGAAACTGAACCTTAAGCTAATCAGGGGGTGTCCTTTACCTTTCAAGTCACAACTCTACACTGGGATGAAGCTTGCTTCATTTGGGTTCAGTATTGTTTCAGACTAAGCAGGTGCAGGGACCCAAGCACTTCGGCCATCTCTGCTGCTTTCCCAAGCACATTAATAGGGAACCTGCATCCTTATGGGATGCCAGCATTCCAGGGCATGGCTTAAATCACTACACTGAAGTGCTGGCCCCCCACTATTTTACTTTTAGTATTTAAAATACTCTAGGAATTAACAACATAGAAGGTAATGAAGAAAGGCTTTCTTTTGGAAAGAGGATGAAAACATAGGGCACTGGTAACTGAAAGAGAAGATCACTAAGGAATTTTTGCCATACTTACCTCACCGAACTTGGGCACTACTAGGAAAATCGGATCATATACTCAGACATACTTATAACTTACAATAAAAATGTAAGTTATAATCATGTTACAAAAACTGCCATTGATAAAGTTCAAAGGCATCCAGAAAGAAATGGCATTAGCACATTAACAATATAGTCTCTCCCCACAACTTTTTCAAAAAACACACCATCCAGGATTGCAAAGAAATAAGCCCAAGGTTGATATATCCAGCAAAACTGGACACAAAAGAATCTGTTGTACTCAAGACATCAGCAACGGCAGACATTGTGTGATGGCAGCGGAGGAAAGTGTAAAGGCGTCTACTAACAATCAGTGGCAGAACTGAAAAACTGCTAGTAAATAACCTACCCCAGCAGGGACCTCACGCAATAGAAATGTGGGCAGTCCGATCTGAGAATTACTAGGAATGCTAACAGAAGTCATCACAGAATTTAAATTGGAGGGAGGTGAAAAAATTAGTCTTAAGAGGATCAATATGGAGGCATTTGTAAGTCCTCTAGGTTCTTATAAATTATCATTAAATACTGCTTTCATTAAGGAAAGAGCCTCACGCTGTGGGAAACTGCT